GATTATTTTATCATCAGTCTGATAATTTTGGAGAAAATTTCACCACACATCAAGTGTTAATTATTTTTTTGTTGTACAATTTTCTGGTTTTTTAACTGTACAAAGTTAAGATAAATCATTTCTCCTATTTTCATTAGAAAGTGTAGACTTTGAAAAGAATTAATATATTATGTTATGTCCAATCAAACCACAACACCAGCTCTTTCAGTACCTCAGTTATCTTTTTCAGTCCAGCAACTTAATCCCAGCATATTTTGATATTTTTGTAAATGAATATTTAGCATATTTTGTAATGATTACATTGACATTTGAATGTCATGTTCTATCAATGTAAAATATTATTTTGAGCATTTGGATAGTTGGGTAATAATATTTATATACTTAAATGATAACAACAATRGATTATTTTGTCTTAGTTGTTTGTAAATAGCTAAAAAGACTTAAAATCATCAAATAAGAGTGTCTAAATACTGTCAGTACCTGTAGATAAAAGAAAGATATGACTAAACTAAGATCTAACATGTGTCATGTGTCTCTGCAACAAAAACAGATGAAGTAGTCTGTTGTAAAACCAACCTTTAAAAAATGAAATATTCTCTGTATTCTTCCTGTTTCATTATATATTTTGTATTTTCTTYCTTTCTTTGATATTCATCAAGAAAAGAACATTGAAATTTGAAGCTCTAAGAARTCTTTAACCCTCAAAATATGTGAATAAAAAGATATCACACTTCAAGAAATGATAGAAAGTGATGCACAAAATGTGTCCAGGTGCTCRTATGAATACTTAGTGTGCAATARCATTGTTGTGTTGGTTTCCCTGTGTAAAGTATGTCACTAAMCTTTGTTGTTGCTGTCCTGTCTTGTCATAAAGTAAAGCATRCACAACCAACATGGTKTAGAACTTGAATTTGAATTGATTGGAATCACAATCTTTGACAGTCTCATACTTGTCAAAATGATATTTATTTACTACCTCTATTCACAATTATTTTGATGCTGAATGACCATTTGTAAATACAACAGGGTAAATATATGTTCATTGTTTAGATGTGTAAAAAGACTTGGTTAGGTTTATGGAACTCAGCAAACAACCCAGAACCTGAATCAAGAGATGAACAAAAAGTTAAAGACTTCATGATACAAAAGTATGAAAGGCGGCGGTGGTATATACCTCCGCAGCAAGTCATTAATTCAAGTTCAAACAGTAATGCAACACCTGAAGCCAAACCCTTAAAACAGCTCTTAGGAAAAGATTCTCCCAATTTACAAGTTAGTAATGTAAGTAACTGCAGTCTGTGAACTACTTTTTGCATGTTTGGTAACTTGCAGGATTGCTTATTATTTTGTCTTTTTGAACAATATACACAAACATGTTTATACTTCATAATTGGAAAGGTAGCTAGCCAGTTAGCACCTCGTGAGATTTTGCTCAACTCAAAATCAGAACAGTGCCAATGGTCATGGTCTTACTCTGTGGATTATGATCACTCATTCATCCTAATTCCTTCCTGTTTGTATTAATAAATAATAAAAATATTAAATTGTAAAATCTTKCTATGCTGAATTATTGCTTCTATGGACTTCAGAGTTCACCCACAGTTACTGCATCCAGAGAAAGACCTCGCACTTCTAGTCAGACAAGCATACCCAGTGCAGTTCCTCCTCCAGTCAGTCATCCTGAACCAGTACCACAGGCAGCTAAACCTGCAACATCATTTGACCTGCTGTCTGATTTAGGTGCTGATCCATTTGCCCAGCAAACACAACAGACTCAAGGTGAATAATTTTATKTTTAGGTATAGAGCTGCAAATGGGGGTTAGACATGTATTGTGTGTGAAGTAATGTTGAAAATCCTCTTTTGACAAAACTGTGATASAAGCTTCACCAGTTCGTACCAATGATAGTTTTTTATTAGCAAATCATTAAAAGTCTTTGAAAATCCTCTTTTGACAAAACTGTGATACAAGCTTCACCAGTTCGTTCACCAGTTATTAGCAAATCATTAAAAGTCTTTGAAAATCCTCTTTTGACAAAACTGTAATACAAGCTTCACCAGTTCGTTCACCAGTTATTAGCAAATCATTAGAAGTCTTTGTTCTTTATTTTTTTATTGCCAGGCTTTGGGGCTTTTAATTCTCAGCCTCAGCAGCCTTCTGGGGGAATTCCTGGTTTTGGTGCATTTAATCAACCACCCCCTGCTGCTCAACCGTCTCAACCAGCTTTTGATCCATTTGGATCAATGCAGTCAGCGCAACCAGCACAGCCTACACAACAAGCAGGATTTGCTAACTTTGGACAACAACCACAGCAGCCTCATCAACCACTTCAACARCAGCAATCTTTTGATGCATTTGGTGCATTTAATTCTCCACCATCATCTGGTAAATAATTTACGTGCTATAAATTTGAATGAAATACATCTTGTACATTATAACTCTATGGACTTGGTTGTGCATAAATGCTGATTTGAGCTCTTCATTTGTTTTAATTTTTTTAATCTTACAGCTCCWGCTCCTCAGAGCAGTGGTTTTGGTCCAATGGTATCAGCTTCAGCACCAATGACCACTCCAGCCTCCAATCCAACACAGAGTATGGGAGATAAGTATGCAGCATTAAGTGAGCTGGATAATTTGTTTGGACCAAGTCCTAGTAGCTCTAGTAGCACCCATAGTGTGTCAACTAGTGGTGATTCAGTATTTGGTATGAGTAGCACATCTTCAGGTATGTCTTCTGGACCTAATCCTTTCTCAAGTGGAAGTGTACCCACACAGCAATCAGCACCATCATCTAATCCATTCCAAGGTCTTGGTAACCTTAGTGGATCTGGAGGATCCTTTGCTACAATGAATGGCCCAGGTCGAAGTATGAGTCCAGCCAGTAGTGCTTCCACRGGGATAACCTCCAGTGCTGGATTTGGAAATTTTAGTAGTGCTCAGTCCTCTAGTACATCCTTTGGTCAACCAGTRGCACAGCAACCCCAAGCAATGTCAGGTTGGGGTGGACAAGCTATGGGTATGCAATCAAGCACTGCATCACAAAATTTCAGCTTAGGAGGAGCAGGCATGACTGTAATGGCTGCTAACCAGTTTGGTAAAATGGGAAATCAACCTGGAAGTTTTGGGGGCATGCAAAGTGGTTTTGGAGGAGGCACACAAATGGGAGGGAATACTGGAATGGGTACAACACAGTCTTCAGCTCAATTTGGTCAATGGGGATCCCAAAGTACCCAGGGACCAGCAACCAGTCAATCAGGATCATTTGGTAGTCTTGGRACACAAGGTCAAGTTGATGGWTTTGGTGGACAATCCCAARGTTTTCGAAATATGCAAAGTGGCTTTGGTGGTCAACAGTCAACCTTTGGAGTGCAACAGTCAGGCTTTGGGGGCCAACAATCAGGCTTTGGAGGTCAGCAGGCAGGTTTTGGTGGACCACAGGCAGGATTTGGGGGTCCACAGACTGGATTTGGGGGACAGCAATCTGGTTTTGGAGGACAACAGGCTAGTCTTGGAGGACAACAAGGAGGTCAGTTTGGTCAGTTTGGAGGTCAACAACAGACAAGCAGTGGCTTTGGGGGATCTGKTGGTGGATTTAGCGGACAGGGTGGCAGTGCATTTGGTGGTCAGTCAATGGGTCAAGGAAGCAACTTTGGGGGTGCAATGATGGGTGGAAGTCAGTTTGGTCAACAACAACAACAACAACAGTTTGGTGGATGGCAGCAAAATTCTCAACCAAATCCATTTATGGTATGGCCTCTTGATTGTATTACAATTTATATTTATCGAATAGTTTAAATAAATGATAATGAACTTCAGCACCTTTTAAGAAGTACTATTTAACTGTTAGTAGGCAATTTAGCACAAGTTAATTCTTGCTGGTATAACACACTACACTCCTTACCTCTTGTGTACTGTTTAAAAAAAAACAGCAATTGAGGGAATCAGGTGTCAGCAGGTCATACAGGAATCTGTTTTGATTTCTCAAGTAACGATGCATGTACTAGATTGTTGGATGAAATTAAATTGTGTCTTTTTTTCCAGGGTGGCGGAGGACAACCACAAATGCAACAACAGTCAACAAACCCATTTATGTAGTGAAAAATCAAAAAATAAGCATAATAAGTATATGTACTGCCTCTACAACTATGCAGAATGACAACAATAACAACTGTCCAAGGCAAGCAGTAGAGACASTTTTGTAAATGGTCACAGTTGTGTGATTGTGTATAGGTACATTAATTTCTAGGATAAGGGATGATTATATCAGTTGTTGGGAAGTTGCAGGGACACATATGTACAAAACCAGACAACAATAAATGAGCCAGTGCAATATGATATGATGAACTGTCCATACCGGATGAGTATGTTGATAGTAATCATAATGCCTTGAGAGTTCATTAGCGCAAACAAGCAGCAATTTCAAATGCCAYCCTTTTAAGTAATGCTGCCATAGCATACTACTACTGCAATTTTGTGAAGTATTAACAAGCATGATGTAAACCATTTCTCTGTTCTGTACAAAATTAGCAAATTAACCTAACAGAGCAAAGAAAGTAAGAATAATAAACCTACTAAACTATTGTCCCAACACTCCTTTTGCATTCTGATTGGCTATTTTACTACTAAGAMAGCATAATAGTTAATTTGCACTGAYAGCAAAAGTCAAAGAAGCAAAAATATTTTGTGAAGATTTATATGAATTTTATYTAGAATTTACCTTTCATTTTATCCATTCAATGAGATATTCAAGATGACAATAGTATATTATGCTGAATATGGATATTGTGTTGATTTGAGTTTGTCACTGTAGATTATTTTGCCTTCAAAGTGCTGTTATGACTAATTAGTAGGTATATTATTGTTGGAAAACACTTTTATTAGACCTTTGGGTCTTTTGGACTACTATGCAATAGTTTATTACATCTTGATGGATGGGTTTTTTACATTGCCTAGAAGCCCACTTGTTGTAAAGGTCTAATTATTGAATATTGTATTTCTTGCTTCTCGTTAGTTGAATTATCATTACTGTAGAAAATTATTTGAGTACTAGCATGGCATGTATACAATGCCCACCAAAAATAGTCATATATTCAACTTTTCCAAATAAGCTTCAGTTGTTAAAAGCTTTACCTTGATTTAGATAGCTTTATATTAATTGCTCAAGTGCTACATTTCTAACCATTATCTTTATGCAGATCAATKTGTTAAGTTTTATAAAATACAAGAAGATCATCCTTGTAGGATGGACAGAAGCTAGTAGAAAGCTTTTATATTTTGCTTTAGTCATGAATCAGGATTTTTGTCTTAATAAAGACAACCTTTACTCAGAGTAATTATACTAAACTATAGTCCACTTCAATTAAGACACCAGACTGGCTCTTCASTCAAGTTTGTGKCTAGACAAARCAAATTTAGACAGAAGAATACAGCTGACAGAATGTTTTGTYATWCAAATGGCTTTGGCTTCCCAAACTCATTTGGTATGTTGCACAAAATTGACCTTGAATGACTATATAATACCAACACTCAACAGATAACAAAGCTCTTAGGATTAGTATCAACCTTTTGTGTGTATTCTGGATAAATTTCGTATCATTTAGTGACTCAAGCATTCATTCTCATACATGTGTAGGGTCACAAAAAACTGTTTTCAAAATTTTATATTTGATGATTTGTTTGCTCAGTGGTGGAACTGAAAATTAATGATTAAAATATTGAATTAATTGCAGCCAGCTCTCTTAGAATATTATTGACTTGCAGCTTTAGGCAACTATTAACAGATTTTTCATTAATCACATTTTTTCCCTTGATGATACTGTGTTTGTAAAATATTGATAKTCTGATTTGCAATTATATTTGAGTGATCGTTATATGATTTGATTTGAAAAATCACTGACCTATGCCATTAAGTGTTACCAATGTTCAAGTGTATATTATGTCATGGGAGGTATACATGTAGATGTTTTCAATAGACTTAAATTGGATTCATTTGTTATTGGTATATTAGGAAAATTAAGTGGACAATTATAACTGAGTCGGGTTCTATTTCCTAATTACTAATAGCAATTCCCTATGATAGTGTAATGATTATAATTATGTTTTATTACTCTCATGACCCRTAATGCAAATTAATGGTAGAGTTCTTACACTAAATTCAAATTATTGTAAAACAATTGGTTTAGCCCTATCAAATCTGCCAATTTGAATATATTTTGGTCAAATGACTTATGATTATTTTGTTAACAAATTTCTAATTCAAAGCAAATYGCTATGTTTGTGATGAAACTATATTACTGCTCAAGTAATTTAGAATTATAATCGAAAATGCTTTAAGTTTTAAAAGCTGCTGTATGTTGTAATATTTATGGCATAGGAGTTGTTCTCACRCACAATGACAGTCGGACAGTGCTTATAGTCTTTGTAAAGGTGGCAGTGCTTTATAGTTGTTTATCAACAACAAATTTTAGTTCTTTACAAAATTGATTACTAATATAATGTAAGTAGACCAAAAATGTTGCAAATATATTTTTGCATTGTAAACATTAGTATTAGATGTGTAATAAAGAAAGCCTCAGTTGGCTTAATCGTGATGGATTCACTTTTATGGTTTTCCTGATTGTTATCAGACACCAATAAAAGAGAAGAAAAATGCAAGTAAAATTGGCCCATTGCAGCTGGAGGTCACGTGACCACACCTACCTTAAATCAATCAGCTATCAAAAAATGATGTTCAGAAATGGAAAGAAAATGTTGGTAAAATGGCAAAGTGTCATGTCTCAACTCTAAATACTTCAAAAATCACAGCAAATGAAAAATATTGATTTTTCTAAATAAATGTATGGGGAAATAGAACTGGAGAGCAAGCCTTGCTCTCCAGTTCTGTTTTTGCATATGCTTATTTAGAAAAACATTATAATTGCTATTAATTTTGAAATATTTAGTGTTGATACTTGAAACTATGTCTTTTTACTTATTTTGATCCCCTCTTTCCATTTCTTAACATCATTTTGTTATTGCTGATTGATTTAAGGTAGGTGTGGTCACGTGACCCCCAGTTGGAAAGGCCCTATTGACTTATAGCTTTGTTCTGCCCCCAAATAGGAATGCCTGCTGACACAGTCCATTCCCAAAATATAAAACTGATCTTCTTTTTGTTGGCATTAACCAACTGTATTATTAAGACAAACTTTCAAAAAATGCTTATCTGCAGCGACCAAGATCAATAAAAACAGTTTGAGCCGTAGTTCGARCTAAGCTAATTTAAGAACAGCCTGAGGCTTTGGAACTTGTGAGAGTGTTAGGCTTAAATATTTTTTAACCTAGTCTCATAAAAAACAGTTAAAAAATGTTTTATTTCCCGAATTCATAGTTAAAAGGTCATTTGTTACCCATTTTACCTTTTGAATCGCCACTCCCTTTTTCCACTGCACAGGGAACCCAAAAAACTTTAATTTTTATGTTTTATATTTGCAAAAASTATAGGTTTCAGACTCAGCTATTTACGTATTCCAATAATTGGGCTAGCTTGCGTTTTTCGTTGATGATTCATTCCGGATATGAGATGTTCACATTCCGTCGAAGCATGAAAAGTGAGCAGGGAGAGTACAGTGAACTGCTAAGATTGTACTCCGCCCATGTGACACAACTCCAGCCATGCACTTTCACGACCCAACGATTGACTGTTTGTCAAACACTAACAAAATGGAATGATTTTGAAGTATATTTTAAGGCAAAGTGAAGCCTTGTTTATCTAATAACTAATTCTATCATGGGGACAAGTGCACATCACTCGTTAAAATGGCTAGCCTCTCTAGGGYTAGTGCATGACAGCTCCGGCGAACATGGCGAGAATGCCGAAAGACTGCTTTCAGAAAAACTCCAAAATGGCAATGTACTGTGTCATTTGGTTAATGTTTTGAAACCAGRAACAGTCGAAAAGGTGCGAGAGTATTGTTTTAGCGCCAAGTGCTAAGTGTCAGCGATATTATAATACAAAGTAAATGATCAACTTGAACTCGATTTTGTCATTGTCAAACTGTCTTTCGATTTCTTTGAGGGCAGATTYACGATACGCCGACCACCGAAGAAGAGAAACTCTACAACTTTGAATCATTTCAAAAGGCTTGCCAAGAGCTGGGGATTTGTGCCGAAGAGGTTTGATCAAGTTCCAATCCAATCCTTTACGTACATCGGCGTAAGCTTATATTATGAATATTTCATGAGCTCATTGAGCAGACTCCGAACTTCACACTTCACACATTGACAGAGAAAACGTCTGAACTTTTTATCGCTATGACTGAATAGGTACCCTCCATTGGTGAACTTGAAAGTCCAGGAAACAACCAGAAGCTTCTACAGACTTTGGAGCGCTTAGAAAAGTTTGCTGGAGGTGAGGAAATATGTACTTTCTTTGTGTTATTGTGTGAAATGCAATACTGTCAAAGGCGCCATTTTGAAAGCACGAGTTGATTTCGTAAAGGAATTTGCTGTTTTATTTTACATCAGAAGTTCCTTTATATAAATCGGAGTTTCAAATTGTACACATGGAACTCACAAAAAGTCAGCATATATAGAATTTCCGGTCTTTTGTAATAATTTAGGTGGTATTTTGCTGTCGTTTTGTCTGCTTGGTTTCGAGCTTGTCATTAACTTTAATAGTATAATCTTTAAAGAATGAAGATCTGTGCTGCCAAATTAAATCTTTCTATAACTTAGTAGGTTTGATATCCATGTTATAGAGWAAGTTCAACTGTATGAATTCGTTTTTACTCAGTTATTATGGATTTAARGGATTAGAATACTTCTTGACTGAGAATAAATGTTAACATTGTTTTGTTATTTTTCACCGTCGGTTGTCTTTGAAAGTCGAACGCGAAACCTCCTAATAAAATTGCTAAACACTTTCCAGCTCTACATGTTTTYATTGTTAGTGTGTTTAATTAATTTACGTACTTCTGTTTAGTTTTTGTTTCGTTTGAGTTGGTTCATGACAAGATCATTCGATAGAACAATAAAAACTGAATAAGTTAAATATGAATCAAAACCATGTACCGTAAAATTGACCAGACTAGCTCAAAAATTAATAAGTAAATAAAGTTCAAAGTTTTTGTGTTTGATGACTCAATGCCAATGATTTAAATGTTTCATAATTCAATTTATGATGTCATCACCATGTAGTAAAATTTGGTTTTAGGGGTTTCCCTCTATCACTAGAGAGTCACATTATGAAACTATATTTGTCTTCCTTGTAGCAACTACTGTTTCAATTTCCCTTTCYCTGCATTGTCTTTTGGTCACATGTTTAGTCAAATATGGTACATATGTTCGTAATATGTAGCTTTCACTAGATGTSAAATAAACTTCCACTTTTACAAGATGTTGAAGCAACTGTGTCGTACACTGCATTTTCACCACCATGGCAAGTATATTGAAAATTGAAATAATACCGAAAGGAAGTAGGTCAAATACAATCTTATTAAGAGATCAGATTTKTGTAGTTTAATTGCAAATGCAATGTTATTTATACTTGTGACATAACTCTTTTTATGAGTGGTAAATTTATGATTCCAAAGTTTGCCATGCATTTTTCAACGATCATTATTCAGTTTTATAAAGCTTCATATTCCTTACTACATTCTCATCGTATGTTTCTCATGATATTTTAGGAATATAATTTTTATTATTCATGTTCTAGTGCAAGCTATTGTTATTTCTGTAAAGACTTCCTCTTTTATTGGTTTTTTATTTCATTTGGTTTCCGTATTCTTTGCCTTCGTCCATTTCAGCAATAATAATCATTAAATGATTGTTTTTAATTCATGGGATATTAAAAACTGTTATATAAATGTATTTATCAAAAAAAAATAACCTTGATGATAATAATCTAGGAATTGCCTGAAGAAGAACATTACTCATTCACAAATAATGCTATTTCTAGAATCTTCATATTCAAAAAATGTTGACATTAAGTTTGCGAAAACTTGGATACCTTAGGCATAATGRATGTAATTACTTGATGTTCCTTTATAAATCAAGCATAATTTCTTGTMTTTCTAAAATAATTAGAAATCTTTACAAATTATATTGTCAAAGTCAATTAATTAAAAGCAAAACTGAAAAAATATTGATCTGTACACATTTCAGTGTGCATTTTTACTAAATTAGGTTAAGTTTTCTTTGGCTAGCCATACAAACTATGTCCTTGTTTGTCATGTTGCTATTAAGGGCTCAGTTCCTTAATAACCTTTGTATACTTAAAGCACGTGGTTGTCATGATATTATATTGATGCTAGTAAAGTGYACCATAAAAGTGCATAAGCTTTGTTCATTACTATACTTAGGATTTTTGCATAGCTTTATATGTAGTAGATTTGCTCTGTTCTGTTTCAGTATTTGTTTCATTATTTTGATTTATTTTCAAATCCATGTTATTTTTGAGGATAGTTTTTACTGTCAAGATTCAAAGAAAATTAAAAACCTAAAAAAACTGAGAAACAAAACCAAATATTAGGGTGTAGATAATTGCRTTCATAGCTTTTAATAGCTGTTTGCCTTTGATGTAATCATGTTTACTTTAAATACTACATCTGATAATATAACATGCTTTTCATTCTTTGATTAGGTCATGGCTTTGGTCCTTCTGACTCCAAGCCACCATTATTGAGCAACACTGAAGCCSTTGAARACAATAATCTCATTACAAGCCCACAGAGAAAGGTGAGGATTACAACTACAGAATCACTAGTTGGCAGACACTAAATTATCTTTGGTGTGGTCAAACTAGAACAACATAGTTATAAATTTTACACATTGAATTATTTCAAGTATTGTCACAGAGTTCCTTATAATTTACTTCTTAAAACATTGATTATAATTTGATTATAATATATAGCTAAGTACCAAAAAGATTAATAGAATTAATGTGTTTATGAACAAATACATGAAGATAACTAAAACTCTGCTTTTACCTAAAATAAATAGGTTCAAATAATAAGTAATAAATATAAAAATGACTGCTTCATTATATTTGTTATGATTTAGATCTTCACCTTTTTCTTAATGATTAATAATTGATTATCAAAAGTGTTTTGTTGTTATACTGATTTATAATTGTTAATGACTTTTGGTAGGCTTTTTTTATTATATTTGTTCAGTGTTTAAATATATGATTTTTTGTTAATGATTATTATGGTGTTTGTCTGATAGGAGATGACAGACTATGGGGGTGGTGGTGTGCGTCTTGTCAAGGCAACATTTCCATTCCAGGGCACAGATGACGATGAGGTATTGATCACAACATCTATGTGTTCCTTATTTTCCTTGTAAAACTCCATTCATTGTTTTATAATTCATTCATTTCATCTTCAATTGAATCATTCTACTCTATTCATCCCATTTATTTCTCCATCAATTCATTTATTTACTTCAGTTATTCAGTTATTATTTTTTAWTGTAACAGATTTGTTTCGTCAAAGGTGACATTTTGGAAGTGACAAAGGTAAGGGATCCTACATGTAAGCTCTTGGTAACATTGTGTGATTCATATTCCCACGGACTTCTAATTCAGTCATTTCTTGTTACGTTTTTCAAAGGTTGTTGATGGTGGTTGGTGGGAAGGAACAATCAATGGTAAATATGGCTGGTTTCCTAGTAATTACGTCAAGGAAATCTCCTCAAGTAAGTGTTACTTTATTCTTTGAATTTGGAAAAGATTTGTCATKAAGGCAAAGTTGTGTATTAGTGCCTTTCTATTGAATTGATTGATAAAAYGAGTGAYTCATTTTCCAGGTCCTGAAGTACCAGTTACACCTACCACACCGTCACCTGATGCACTTTCAGCCAATAAAAGAGATAGTGCCAGAGTTTATCATAATCTGGTAAATAACTATTGCAGTGGTCGATCATTGTTTGATGGATGGAAACAGATTACAAATGGATATTTGAGAAGTTTGTTCTTATCAGAAGCTAGAGGGCAACTCAAGTGATTGCTCAATATATATCTTGAACTGTGAACTGATTATTATATCCCATTTATTTGATTTTCATTTATTCAATTCACTTCAGGTAGTGCAAAATATACTAGATACTGAAAGAGCTCATGTCAGTGAACTTCAGGTAAGTTGTCATTATATTAAAAATAATATATCCATCAGATTAAATAATGCTACTTATTTATGATCTTCAGGCATTGCTACAAAACTATCTGAAACCATTACAATGTTCAAATGTGTAAGTAACCAGAATGCAAATGACTCAAAGAAATTCAAATMAATGGTTGAAAAGCTCACAATCAATTTTGTTTTTCTTCTAGACTTTCCCAAAGAGATTTAAAGGTTCTTTGTGGAAACTTTGAAGAGCTGGTTAAATTTCAACAGAACTTGTTTAGTATCTTAGACGAATGTGCACAGTAAGTCATAYTATGCATTGGATTATATTATATAACTAGCAACAAACTGGCTTCACCTGCGTGGGTCTGTAATGAAATGGTTGGAAAAAGGGACAAATTATACACAGTCAAAAACTCGAAGACATTAGAATGCTTATTATTTCTTTTGTACAGTCAACCATTAAGTACACAGCGAATGGCAGCCAATTTTCTACAAATTGCCCCACAGGTATGTTCAGGGAAATAACATTCTGTGAAGAAATGAAAGGAAATTTAAACTGAAATTCATTTCTCGCATCTTCTTTGTCTTCAGATGAAGGAATTATATTTGACATATTGTGCAAATCATCCAAGAGCAGTTGAAATACTTACACGACACAGGTATGTATATCGTCGACTGATTGTTTTCATTTTTGCTCATCAGTGTCAAAATTATTACGACATGTAGTCTCATCAGTTTTTATCAAAAACAAAAACTCATTTATTATTTGTAATTATAATTTAATTATTATTGTTACTATTATTGACATATTAGGTTGTATTGCATTTGAACTTTAATGAAATGAAATAAAAAACGATAGGTTTATTAAAGACCCACAAGCGTCCAACAACATTTGCACAATTTTCTTACATATGAAAATTTGTCATCTTTTTCATGATTTTTTTTTTCATGACTTTGTCATGATTTTGAACCAATCAGAAAGCAACTTTCATCTTAAGATTGTTTGTCAAACAAAACAAACGATCATAAGGATCTCGGTTGCAAGTGGGCCTTTAAAATAGTAGGCATTATGACTATAATATCTTTATCTGTTTGAATAAAAAAAACACACTTACCTTTCCAAATTTTAACCAAACATTAAGTCTTTGTTACCCAACATAGTCTGCAGTGATAAATATGTCTTAAAAGTGTAACATTGATGTTTTTCTGTAGTGATGATCTGTCAGCATTCATTGAAAGTAAAGGAGCTCCCGCACCTGGAATCCTTACTCTGACTACAAGTTTAAGCAAGGTATATTTGAGTTTTGGTTTCTATTATTTATTACAATAACAACGAAACTCACTTGCAGTTTTGTGTCTTGTAGCCATTTCGTCATCTAGACAAGTATCCAACCCTTCTCCTTGAACTTGAGCGACATTTGGAGGTTTGTCTTTTTATTATTGACAATCATGTAGTAAGATAGATGGATAGAGTGATAGATAATTTATTTTAAAAGCATTGTTGCCACAAGGCTGAATTACAATTAAGTTAGAGTAGGTAAGGCCTAAAAAAATAAAGTTTTTTCATTATATGTTATCAACTTCAGAAATAAGTTAAGAAATCAAATCGKGAAAAAATGGAAATGATAAAAACCATACTGTGGCCTGTTTTATATTTTCTTAAATAAACTCCTTATCAAAAGTTATATTATTCTCTTGTTTGTTTTTATTGGGTAGTTAATTTTGCTTATTCAGATGACACTGCTGGGGACTATTTATGGCTCTTGTTTTTTTATAACTTTTTTAAACAGATAATTTCAATTATTGGATAGATTTGTGTTTTCACAGTTGTATTCTTCATTTATTAATGAATATTGATTTCAAACAAGTTGGTACATCAGCAGTTGGTCTGATATTAGAATGGATACTTGTATTTTACTTTACTCTCCCTTTCAGGATGGACATATGGACAAACTTGATACAAAGAAAGCCATTGCAGTTTTTCAAAATATCAAGGTACTAAGTTATCTATTATTTGATAATTTCTTGTGATATAGATAGTAATTAAATTTCCAAATCTGTGAATAATAATTATTTATTTATTCCGTATGATTGGATAAAATGTCATGTTTGTTTTGAAATAATGTTAAAAGGGTTAAGACTGTCTCCTTCTAAGGACCAGTTCAAGAACTGCTGTCATTGGAAAGGATCAGTCAAAAAACAATAATTATTAATTCCATATACAAAATGGGCACAAATTTGCTGTTCAAAGCAAAGAAAAAATATCAGTTGTTAAGACAATCTAAAGAATGGGTTAGCACTTGGCAGAATTGTCGCAAGTTTATTTAGCTTCGTTTTGTGATGATTGGAAAAAAACTCTGCTTATTTATATTTTCTTTTATTCATTTTCAGACCAGCTGCAATGAAATGAGAAAGAAAAAAGAAACTGAACTAGAGATTCTCACTGGTGACATCGAAGGTCTTGATAAAGAGGTGTGCAAAATATTTCCATTGTTAACACCTTAAACTATAGTGACGACATTAGAATAATATTATACCAACCTGCTATTTAATTATCATGGAATTCCATGATTTAGGAAATGAATGCAAAATCAGATCTTTTTAACTCCCTTTTAATCAATTTTAACACTTTGTTTGTCATTTTGTAAATGTGCTCACTATGTTTCTTTTCTTAGGAACTTTCAAAGTGCGGTGATGTTATTTTGGTGTCTCAGTTTTTAATTCATGGCAGTGAAGGGGTAGGAAGCATTAATGCGGGTGCTACTATTCTTTTATAACTATTATTCAATTATGACACTTATTTCTTTACTTCTAGGAAGTTAAAGAGAGATATTTTCTACTGTTCCCATCATGCCTTTTAGTCCTTCATGTCAGTGCAAAGCTGGATGGATTTTGCTTTGAGGTAGGTTGTTAGAGAGGTGCAGGCTATTTATTTTACAACAATTTTTCCTATAATTTTATTTTGATGTTTGGCTTTGAATGAATACTCCATTTTCAAGAATTTTTTTGTGCATATAGTGTAATTTTCAGCAGGGAATCTATTTTTATGCAAACACTTGGTGTACAAAGAAGACAAAATTTAATCTTGATTRAAACTAAGCTTGTACAAAAGAGAATTTGAAACTGGAGTATTCGAAGAATTGATTAGGAAAATAACAGGAATCCCATAGCATGTCATAAATCATGTGTACATATCTGTGTTTAAGTGAAATTTGCTTATTGGTAATTTTTCACTTTGTACATTTTTTGACCAGTATTGAATTTATTTGAAAAGATGTAAGTCGAAAGTTGTTGATTATTGTTTTACTGTAGAAAAAGTATGACTTGACGAGAGTTGCAGTTCGACTTTTAGAAGATACTGAAGGAATACTCAATGCTTTTGAAATAAGAGGTAAATAATGGGAAATAGAAAGTGGAAAACAAATGGAAAAAGAATGAGATAAATCAGAGATTAAAAGGGATTGAAATTAAAAATGAAAATATTGCAAAGGATTTCACTTTTTTCGCATTTTGGAAGTAAATGAATATCTCACTCTTAAGGAAGTAGACGCAAATTGCATTTATTAGTTTTGACTAATACGTGTATGTTTTTGTTACCAGCCAATGGAGAAGTTATGAAAGTCTCCACAAATCATGCAGGAGAGAAAACAGCTTGGATGGAGACCATGTCAGACGTTCTTGGTCAAGAATTCCATCAAGCTACTCCTAAACACAGCCCTAAAACCTTTGATAAACTGTGGGATACTAGAGTAAATGGCAAGGTAGAGAAACCAAGTGAATCAAGTGGATCACCTCCAGGAACAGGCTTACAGAAGAGATCAAACAGTGCATCAGTAACTATGTCACAGGTTGGTAGAGTACTGTGGAAATATCTGCTATAATGATCACTTGTTAACTAACAACTGTTTAGATCAGTGTACAAAATGTACCAATTTCAAATTATGATCTAAAAACTAAAAACATACTCAGAAATATGTAAGCAAAGTTTTATGATATTCTGGCTCGTATATTTTTTGTTGATATTCCAATGTTATAACTTAGACAATGGTACTTTTTTGCAGCCATCCACTGAGATAATACGATCCATGTCAACGTCACACTCTGCAGCAACTGATATGACATCTCTCAATTCCGTGTCACACACTCCAAGTATATCCAAACGATGGGATTTCTCTAAACTGAGACCAACTCCCCCACTTAGGCCTGCTTATGCTCTCATGGCTAAAGAGGTAGGTATGATATTTTCCAGGGAGGAAATGACAGTGAGATTCAAATACTAATGCAAACACTGTGTTATGATTTCAGCATGATTCTTCTATGGGTCGTTCTGTTAAGGGACTTTTGCACTCCAATAAGAAGAAACAAGGTAAGAATTCAATAATAATAGTATAATAATATAATAGTATACTTTCAATGTTATTTTAATTCCCTTTCTTAATAATAATGAGACTGTCAAAGCTGATTACATACATATTGGGTTGAGAAATTGAGTTTCATTCACCTAACGGTGGTGTCTTGGTAGAATATGTAATGGTGTGTTAGAACTTACCAGCAACTGAGCACAAAGGCTGCATGGTAAGTTATTAAGGTTTTCCCCAGAATTTAAATCTCTTTGTTTTTGCATTTGAAAGTCAGGCATAGTATTATGATATGCGAAGTGTAATAATATTATATAGAGAGTTTGTTTGTTGCATGGCATTGTCTTCCTGTATAATAATGTTTTGTGTGCTAATATTTAATATTAGGTAGTCTGCATATCATTGCAGGTCATGATGATGATAACTGTCATCGCCATCATAATGTGATGATTCTAATGTCTTTACAACATTCACATTACATAAAAATAATATTTTTAATCAACTAACAATGATTTATAATGATTTTAGGGGTTTTTGCATTGAAAATAACTATTTAATGCAATTAACAAAGTTTATGATAATGAATGAACATCGCTCTAAAAAAATATTTAATAATGATATTAAAACTTAAATTGTTATCTCGTTCTTTACTCTAATGCTACAGCCAACTTTTCTTTTTCTGCTCTTGAAGTCATTGGCCTTTATTATATTTTTTTCTTTTAATTTTGTGTCTTAATTTTATTTGTATTGGTAAATTTGATTTTTATTCTTTATGTGAACTTCAGATTGTACAATAATAATGATAATTTTGATTATTTATTATTTTTATTTTATGTTGAAGTGTTTATTCTGAAGGACTTTATTCTGTCTTCAGATTACACAGTTTTACAGTGTTTACCATTACATCATGGTGAGCTATTCACCGTCATCCCCTGTAAATCTTTGAATTATTAAGGTGGCTCAATATAGCTCTAGATGCATTCAAAAGCAAGCATTCATGCTCGGACTTGTAGGACATGATATTTTCTGTTTATCTTGATGTTTTCAATATGTTCTTAGAAATACAAAAATTTAAAATATCTCTTATTTTGTACTTAAAGTATGTGCCACTTTTTTGGTGTAATCGGGTTTGTTTGTTTTGTTTTGTAAGTAACGGCATATCTATAGGTAAACTTTAGAAATAATATTAATGTATCATTCATATTTTGATATTTAAATGGTACTTCTTTTTATCTTTAAATACTTTAAATCAGATATATTTGCAATAAATGTTTAAAATGGAATTTTTTTAATGGGATTTTGTATTTTAAAAAACTTACCGGTACTAACAACTTGCAAAAACCTGCATTTGCTGCATGCACGAATGGCTGACTCATCATTCAAGTAAAATAAGACATAAAACATTATTTTCTAAACTGCTATTGATTGTTAATAAATAAACTAAAGAATGAGTTCTAAGTGATCAAATGTAAGTTACTAATTTTCCTTCTAGGTTGCCTAACTGTAAATCCCATCTCTACTTTCAAAACTTGTACTTCACAATGTACATGTAAGTACTTCTCTTCCCTTGGTCATCCCTTTCTAATTCTTCTTCCTCTAGCAACACATACCTTAACTACTTTAATCAGTAAAAGAACTGTAAACCTTTGTGATCCACACTAAAATATTCTGCTAAAGGAATTCAAACTAAAAGTAAAAGTAAGCACACCAAAAATGTATAAAAAACAACAATATTATATAAAGTTTTAATCTACAAAAAATTAAAGTATGGTGGTAAATGTATTTATGATTCACTAGTGTTGTATGTAGTATACATGTGATATGGTTGACGACTTTTGACATTTTAACACTGCAAACTTGTGATTGAGGAAACTTAACTGAGGCGTTCATTCGTTTTGTTTAGCATTTCATTATGTGCTGGTCATTTACAATTTGTGGGAAAAAAAAACAGAAAAAAACAATCTTTTTAACTAGAGAGAAGAAACTGCTATTGCTATTTTCTTTGTACTTAAATCTTCACCTGTTATCATTCTTCTTAGACTTTACTTCTTTATAAGTAAAATCACAATGCAAAATACTGTAGAATGTTCTATGTTTCAATAACACAAAGTACATGCATGCAAGCAAAGATTTTTTTCACCTGCAAGCAAAGCTGTAAAAATGCTTTTCAATATAGCCATATAATATAATACTAATGATTAATTACACTAATTAATTACACCTACCGGTACAAGGGAACTCTTCATTTTACAACTTCTTCTGCATACACACTTGATTTCAATATCAATTTTTGAGTTGATAGAAAATACAGTCATTTTCAATAATTATTCACTATACATGTCTGCAATAATTAGAGTTTTGAGTACTAATAATATAGCTTAAGCTTCATATTCCTGCCAGCAACAAACATCTCAACCAGCAATCCTGAGTAATTAAGCCGGATTTATTCACAGGTCGGTCTAAAAGTGAACCAGTTGATGATGAAAGACATTATTCTACATCTTCCTCAGGTAATTATGCAACTATGATTATATATCCAACCTAATCACAGCCTGTTTTATGTCAATTCTCCTCTTAGAGAGACTTTGTTTGTTTGGTAGGGCTATTTTTTGTCAACAAATTCAAATTTTGTGTAAATTTTGAATCTGTTAATATGTTGTTACCATTTAGTAATCTATGTGATTATTTTCATGTCCATTAGGAAGCCACCTTTTAGAAGAAGACATGCTAATATTGAGAGTAATAGAGTCATATTGTACAAGCGCAAGAGCCAGGCACACACTAAACTGTAAGTTAACACATTTTGAACAAATTGTTATTTAAGAATACTTTTCATGCTTATCATGATATATAATTTTCATCTTCATGGATCAAGGAGTCAAATTACATTTCGTAATTATAGAACACGTTTGATTGAAAATTCTCGAGGATAACGAATCTATTGAGCACTTCCTCCCTAATTGTAAATAGAAGCACTGAAATAAAAATTAAAACAAAAAACAAAAAAAAACATATTTTGATACAAGTATCATTAGATCATTGGGAAGTTATTCTCCTGCCTTTGCACAGCTTGTAGATATGAAAGCATTGCACTTAAATGAATATTGTTGATCACAATACAACGCATTGCATATATTATGATATACAGCAGACATTGCAGCTGGGTTTTTCTCTTTAATCTTCTTTTGTTTGTACAACGCTGCTCAAAAACCAGTTGAACAAGCTACATGCAGTTTTGTACAGACAGTTGTACATAATCTAACAAAAAGAGGCCTCATCTGATATTTTGGGCTGTTGTTATAGCCTTAGTTATAAAATCATTGCATTCATTGGTTATTAGTGCTGTCAATCACCCAGCTATTAATACTTGTCATGATAATAATAGCTTTTAATAGCAGTTCATACAACCTTTTGTACCTAACTCTGACTCTTCTCATTATACTCAGAAATGTTTCTCTAATATCATGTATGTCATACTTGCCATGTGATTAAGGTACTCAATTTTTGTTAATCTATAAAGATACATTGATACACCAGGTAATTAATGGCAATATCTCACATATATAGTGCAATATTGTGAGGTAGTTAAGAGCTGTACTGTTTCTTGTCAGTGCAAACACTACTTGTGAAAGCTAGTGTTATTACTTCTTGTAGTTTCTGATAGAAAGTTAGTATTGTTAGTAAGAAAGACACTGCTTTTGATTTGATTTTCAGCTCAAGTTACATAACTACTACAAACAATAGTAACATGACTWTTCTCACTGTTTACACGTAAAGTTTAACCAAGTTAAATTGATTGGTCAAACTGAGATACATGAGATCCACTGTCCACAAAATGAACTCATAACACAGCACTGCAGACTTAATACTGAATTTAAACTTTGTGTGTATTTTGTGTACCTCAGTATAGAATGGATTATGTAAAAACCTTTCCAGTATTAATATTTAAACAATAGAAAAATGTAATGTTTAGCACATAGTCAATTTTTTTTTAAATGACCATTATCGGATCATGAGATTAATCTACTTAGGGTTTTTTTAAAATGTCAAAAATCATATATACACTCAGTATTATAATAAAGATTAAAATTTGTGTCTTGAGTACTGGTTTGGGAGAGCTTTTTCACATCTCTGCAATTTGTCCCTTAAAATTGTTTATTATAAACAAGGCAAAATTTAAAATCTTTTTTGTGTAAATTAGAATAGTCTTCCCTGCATCTCAATGTATTATAACTACCTTAAAATCCTTAAAGACTTGTGATGCTAAGGTTAATATTCCAGGGTGTTACTGATTTGATCCAACAATATTTTTTTAATCTTGTTCAGCACTTACCCAACAATCATCTCAAAGAGGAAATATAAAGACTCCTTTAATTTAGGTTTGTTTAGCATGTTCATTGGCCATTTATAGCAAAGATCCATGTACCAAAAAATGCCTTTCCACAGACATGAATCAAAGAACTGTTTTGTGGAGGTAAAAAGTCCAAAACTTGACAAAAAAAGTCTTTATCTGAAACCAATGTATTGAGTGGATTTGAATGCTTCTTCATTATTACTTTCACTGGTTTATGAGCCACTAAATGTAAAAACATCTCAAAATCAGTTTTATTTCTTCACCATCTCTCAAATTGACTACAGCCATTGATGAACTGAGTCTAATGAAATATCAGACTGATCAACTGGTTTTTTTTTGGTACATGGTTGTTTGGTGTAACATTTTTTAGCAGTAACTATTATTCTAAACAACATGTAAGCTCTGTATGTAAGCTAAAGTAGTAATAAAAGCTTTATCTGTGGTCGTGTGCATGTTATTGAAGGTATAACAGCAATTTTTAGAGTTGATATTTGTTAATGATGCAGAACATCGCCATCATAACAACATGCATAAGATTATATAATACTCCAAGTAAGTTAACATAAATTGCTCATAACAATATAGTATGATTTACCATACATCTAAATCCACGTCATTTCTGTCTAAACTTCCTCTTTGCTCACATACAGTAATAGCAAAACGCTGTGTCCTGATAATTACAGCATGAAAAAAATAACACATTAATCCAGTGCATGGAATTGTTTGCTAGTGAGAACAACAAGACTGTAACACAGTAATCATAAAATCTGTCATCAATTGATCTTTGTTTTCTTTTGGAAACAAAACCCCCACATCAGTTGATAAGTTACAGTCCTGTTGAGACGAGGAGTGTAATGTTTTTAGACAAATTCTAAGACTTGTTGTTATACCTTCATTTCATGCTGTTATAGCGGAGGATGTAATCCATGAGAGCACAAGTGCTTTAGACGAAGAGGATAATGGATCCTCAGATGAAGAAAGAAGAATCCCTGGCCGCCCTAGTGCCGCCATGTTTCTTGCCCGTGGCTGCTGTCCTGGTTTTGCTGGGAAGAGCCGACTTTTTTCATATTAGATTCAATTAATAATAAGCTACAGATAGCACATATCAATTCTAAATGGAAATGTTTTTTTTAGCATTGATGTTTAGACATATTTTTTGGCATTTTTGTATTCCTTTAATTATAATAGTATTCATTTTTGTCTAAAAAATAGTATTATCCTCAGTGATTAATGACAGTGTGTGAAAGTTACCAATTCAAAAACATAGAATATAAAGTGCTTGTTCTAAATAGACTTCTGAAGCTGTTACATCTCATGCCATATATGCAATGCATTGTAGAAATGTGTTTGAAACATGGTGGTTTTCTTTTGTTTCCTCAAGAAACTGATCCCACAGTTGCATCATGGAAAATATTGTAGATGATATAAAAGATTCAAAAGTCTATTAGCAAGCTCCATTTTGGTATAATTTGGTTTCATAGGGATGTGACTTCTATACAACCATGTATATGATTGGATTACACATGTATTAACATTGTTTGTGTAACATTTGGCATGCGTGATTTAACCTGCAAGTATTTTGACCTGATTAGTTGCAAGAATAAGTGCTCAGCAGGTAGCAATAATAGTAATAATGAAATAACCAAGAAAAAACAATGGAATAGCATAATTTAGCACTGAATGTAATAAATACTTGTCATAGACAATAATTATTTTGGACAATTGTCAGTAGCATTGCAGTGATCTACTTTTTTCATATATTTTTTTGTATTATTAGCTATAGGAATCAAACATTAGGTGATTCTATCAAAAAAAGTTCACATATGAATGTTCACTGTATAAATTAAATTAGAATGTGATGTTATTTGACAGCTTTCATTGATAAGTATTTTGTTAGAACCACAATCTGTTTTCAATATCTAAGCTTAAAAAAAGTTCTCATCGGTTTCAGTGATAACAGAGAAATAATAGAAAATATCCATCTTTGGATGTAATAATAATGCTATAATATTCAATTGATTAAGATAAATAATACCAATTTTTATAGAAAATCTTTTTTAATAAAATTATGTGATTTTTATAGTGTGTTTTAATTTGGTTTTTCTTCTTGAACCACTTGATAGCACTGTTTGAAACTGTGAGTGGAGGATTCCTTATTTATAATTATTTTGGGGTGAATGGCAGCCATAGCAACCTCGTTCCCAGCTCCTTCCTTAGTATGTAGTTTTTAGGGTTAAGGAAGTCACTTGACTGGTCAATGTAGGGGCTTTTTCCCTGAATCCAAAAATAATGGGAAACGATTTGGGAGTAAGGTTACAACAAGAGCATGCATATTAACCATGTGCACGCAATCACAAGATAAATGTGATTGATTTTCTGATATAAGAAGTGTGAAATGGAATATATTCAGGAATATCTGTACATTCTTGGGCAGTGCTTCTCAAAATGAAGACATAAATTTAGGTGCAAAGAAACCAAGCCCTTAATATTTGAAAATGTGGCCTATTCACAAACCCATACACTCTTTATCTCCAAGGCAATAACGGCAAACCATTTTAAATATATTTGCTTGACACTGCTCAAATCTATATATAAATTGTATGAATGTCTTTTTTCTGTTATGCAGCAAGTCCAATAGCACCAGAAGTCCCTGCACATACACCCAGAGCAATGTCTACATCAAGTTTAAGAAGTGATTGGAAAAGAAAATCCAAAAAGAAACAAAATAGGTCGGTATAACAAGGCATTATGGGATGGATACATAACATGCACATTCTAACCATTCTAATTCCCATTCACTTTTTCTTTTATTCATTCACATGTCATTCTTATTTCATACATATTAGAGAAGACCTCATCCCCCTCACAGAACCAACTAAAACACGGCCTGATTCAGAAGCTTCGATTGGCATAAAATTACGCACAAAGGAATCCAAAAAGTCAAGACGATCAAGGTATTGGAACGAGGGTTTGAGATATCCAAAGTACCCTGGTTCCAGATTAACACATACTTCATCAACTAAACATCTAAATTCTTATTGTTATAACAACGTGAAGTCAACTGATTATTATTACCATCGTCAATGGCTATTCTAGGGAAGGGTGGAAGTGAGGGGGTATCCACATGATTGCCTCCTTTACACTCCCTTCCCTGGAGGAGGCTAATTAATCTTAAATACTTGGCAATACTGAAGGTTTGTCTAGTGGGCATTAGGGCACTGAGCCTAATAAAGTAACATACAATATAAGTTCCTAGTGTCCAAAGATACACCTTTAGTAATTTAGTCTCCTCATGGAAAGGCTGACTCATCCCTAGACACCTCAGTTAATTCAGAGAGACCACTAGCGACGAGTCAGATTTTTTCATTCTCCATGATGAAACTGTTAATAATAAGGCATCTAGATTTCAAGATGCATGGTGGTCACAGCAAAAGAGCTTTGTTTAACTGATGAATTAATTCTGTACTACAGGGAAGGCCTTGACTACAACTGCTTGAAAAAAACAGTGGAACATTTACAATATGTAAGTTCACATTTCCATTTAATGGGCTATTTGGACGAAAATTGTGAAACATTAAAGTGCTACTTGCATGAAAATGCTCTTATTCCAAAACTTCAAGCAATACAAATATATGACTCATTTACATCTATAAAAAACGATTGCAGGACAATATTTGTTTTGGAATTTTCCCACATCAGAGAAATCTTGATTCAAAAGATGGAAGAACAAAAGGATTGAGTAAATGACGTCATTTACTCCAACATTTTTTTTTTTTTTTTCAAATTATTAATTCTTTTCTAATCTTTCGTAATTTTCGTCCAAGTAGCCCTTTAAAAAAGACTTGGAAATCAAATAGACCTATCCATATTGGTCTAATAATCATGAAGCAACAGATTTCAAGATGATATTGATAAAAATCGTTAATAATTTGGGCAAAAAATGTTGGAGTAGATGATGTCATTTTATTACTCCATCCTTTTATTCTTCCATCTTTTGAAAAAAAATTTATCTGATGTGGGATAATTCCAAAACAAATATTTTCCCACAATTGTTTTTAATAGATATAAATGAGTCATATATTTGTATTGCTTGAAGTTTTGAAATAAGGCCATTTTCATTCAAGTAGCACTTTAAAAAGGCTACAAAAAAGTTTTGTTTGTAGTAGTAATCAATTCTATATACAGCGTTCATATGTGACTTAAAGCAACTCAATAACATATATGATTGAAGGCAAAATCACAGGGACACTTAAAACTTTGACAGCCTATAGTGTGTGAAAATTTAGATCTGTAAAATAAATTCTTTTGTTGAACCAATAGTACTCTCCAAAGTTTAAATAGTCTTCTGTGCTCTTTCGCAGGAAACAATGTCACTACGAGAAAGTTTAGCAGAAGAACAGATGGCAAGGAGAAAAATGGAAAAATTCATCCGTTCATCACTAAAAGGAATAGTTCCTGATCTTAAATGGGAAGAATTCAAGGATGAGATGTAACAGCAGAAATAATGTTGGACTCTTCAAAATGATTCTTGCTTGTGATTTGTGGATTACTGGTCGAAATTCTGTGTGGGACTGTATTACAAACAGAAGGACACAAACAAAACTTACAGGTCACAGGACGATACCCATTGATTGGATGTTCTGGTGTACCTGTTTGTGTAGTCAAAAATCATCTTACTGGAGACTGCAGAATTTCTCCACTGCTATCATGACATCTCAAAACTATTAAAATGGAGTTCTCACTCCCTAGATCTAAAGGACTGTCATTACTGGACTACAAATTATTGGACATTGTTCTATGGATATTATCATAAATGAAATATATAGGTGTTATGCTAAAATAACTCAATACAACAATGGCCAATATCTGTTCATGATTCTTGAATAGAAAGTAAAGAGCAAGCTGTCATTCATTATAGGCGATGCAATTAATCCATGAAATATAGTAAATAGTAAAATATAGTAAAATAGTAAATAGTAAAATATTCTTTGCTTTCACTATACATAACAGTGGCTTTCTTGGAGGAACTTTAACAAAGGATTTCTAATTAGTATCTTTTGTTCATTCCTCCAACATGGCTGCCAGTCTTTTGAATCTCATGGGAATGGTTGAAAACAATAAGTAGTACTGAATTATGCTGATTCCTTTGTTTTCTATTGTCTAATCAACACTATTTACCAGCAATTAGTGATATTTGTTTCATGGATTAAGTGCATCTGCTATACTAAATCTATATTTGTTGGGTAACTTGTGGCAACACAGTTATCTTATTTCAGTAAGTGTAAATTATTTTAAACAGTTCGATCAATGGCACTTCTTGGCCACCCTGCATTGACACTGCTTTTCTCAGATAGATCTCTTATAAGAACTAGAATTGAACATTTTCAGAACTAATAAAATATGTGGAATTTCATAAAAACAGCCTCAGAAAAATAATATTGCTGTAACCAACCTATGCGGCTAAATATTAGTCAACATTTACAATGTTTTCAATTTAAAAAGTGTTTTTCTAAGTGCCCAATTTATTCTCTTGGAGTCAGTAGAAGCTACTGCAATAATCAAATACTTGTAATAAACTACAATCTCTATGAATAGCTCAATTTTAAAGCTTTACTTAGACTATTTTACAAAGTGTAATTCCTTTAGTAAGAAAAAAAAAGAAAATCATTTATTAAAATAAAAGAATTATAATAATACTAATTTTATTTGTTTCCTTTCTGTGCATCATCATGCATCATACATCTTTTACCATCATAGTGATAGGGGTGCTTAACAGACATTGATTGACAAATACCTTCAGCCCAAATTTATTACTAGAAATGTTCAAAATTTGTTGTTTTCACTAAAGTACATTTATCCCACATGCATTTGTACCATGGGCTGAATCTAAGTACAGTTGTGAAAGAGACTGATGTTGAGGCATTCTAGATCTAAGGAGAGGAGTAGCATGGGGGGCACCCCTGGCACATACTCCCAAAATCTGCTTCTGATAATCTAATATAAATGCATGTGAATTATAAAAAAATGTCTTATTGAGTTATATAATGTCTTATTGAGGTGGATAAGGTAGACCCAATACTAAGCCATTACTTGGATGACTCTGGTTTAACAACCCGGCCAAGGAAGAGGATGGCACCAGATTTACAACAGGTTATCATGAACAAGAACGGATGATCAACCATGAAACTTCGAATGGGTTTCACCATCATTCTTGTCATCATGACAGCCGCTGTAGCAGCTGCAGCTTCTGTACCCTCTTCATTGATATCCACAAAGGCCTTGTGATACACATTGGAAACATAGAGCTTTTCAGGACCAACTGTTATTCCAGTGAAATCAGCCTTGACTGCATCAAACATATCCTCCATGCCCATGATTTTGAACACATCTTTCAATTCTATTTGTCTTGTCATTGAAAACTTTGGCAAAGAAACTTCTACTTCAGTGGGCYGTTGCTTGGTCAGCTTCTCCATAGCCTTATGAAGATCATCATAAGTAAGCTTTTCTTCAAGGGCTGCTAGACCTTCAATTTGATTGGGTAGTATCAAGATGATTGACAGGTCATTGCCTGTATAAGGCATTTCCAACATCTGGCAATCAAGTTTTGCAATTTGTGCAAACTTAAAATTGGATTTCTGGAACATCATTTCAATGTCACACTCTTCATTCTCTCGGAGGAAGAATTTTGAAGGAAAAGTGTGCTCTTTCTTGAACTGTTTTTGCCAGATTCCTTTGAAGTAAATAGCATTAACCAAAGTAGCTCTCGTAAGGGTGTTCAGACTACCTGATGGAAGCAAGTCTTGAATCTTCTTATTGGTTTTCTCTTCAACCCAAGAATTTATCTTCTTCCTTGCTCCTTCAAAATCTTTTTTGTAGTCCACTAGCGTAGTCTCTGCTTCGTAATATTCTTTGCAAGATTCTGTGAACTCTTGCAACACCTCGAAGCTGTCCTGCACAAAAAGTTTGTTAGCAGTGCTAATTTGGTTACTGGCCGTGTTTGCTGAGCTCAAGGTAGCGCTGAACGTCTTCATTTCTTGGTTGACTTGCTCAATCTTCATCTCATCCCAATGAAAACCTTTGGCGATCGCTTGTGCAGTTGGGCCACGAGCTCCATTGTACAACATCCCCAGGGCAATGCTCATGCTGGTCGGGGAGTAAAACAAGTTCTGACCCAATGAATCTTTTTGGTTCTTTAGAACTTTGTGAAGGTCAATAGCAAAACGATTCGCGGCTTCTGCTGCAGCACTCATTTTGGATAGCATAAACTCTCTTGTTTAACTCTTGAGCAATAATAAATCATGAGGTGATACCTTCGCTTTCGTCCGGGGTATTTTTAAATTACAAAGCAACCAATCAGAGACGCTGTAAGAAAAAATTATTGACCAAGCTCTTAGATGATATTTAGGCAGCTGACCCATCTGAATCCATTTTGCTTTTTTTTGAGAATAAAATCGTTTAATATTCAGAGGTTCCGAGCCTTGAAATTTCTGGCTCCAGTCTGAGCTTCCTACGATACCTACGAATGAAGAGCTGACAGCAGGGATGACGTTAGGCATCAGACTGACCAATCACAAAGTTTGATAGATTCACACACAGTACAAGGAACGCCTGACTGCAATTACTTTTCAAGAAGCTCCATTTGAAAAATGAGGTCAATTTTGGCTTTGAGAACAGTAGTTCTTTTGTCTTTTTTCAGTACGAGTGTATTATGCCATGATTTGGATGAAAATAGTATTCACTCAAGGGTAATTGCGCAAGGAAACAATCAATTTGCACTGAAGCTTTTGCAGTTTCTTGGGTCGGAGTCACATCAAAATGTAAACTTGTTTTTCTCACCAACAAGTCTATCACTGGCGCTAGGAATGGTATTTCTTGGAGCGAGGGGAGAGTCAGCAGCTCAAATTTCTGAATCTTTTAACTGGAGTAGCTTAGAAAGAGAGAAAGTATATTCTGCGTTGAACGTCTTGCTTCAAACAGTAACGAGCCACGAGCACGAGCAATTCGAACTTGAACTAGCAAACCGTGTTTGGGGACATCAAGCTCTTCGTCTGGAAAAAGCGTTTGTAAACGAAATGAGAGAGTTTTATGACACCGAGATAACTTTGAGAGACTTTAAACAGGATCCTGAGGGAGTAAGGAGCGAAGTAAATCAATGGGTCCATCAACGAACTAATGGTAAAATTAAGGACTTTCTTGCACCAGGGGTATTCAACTCTGATACTCAGTTAGCTTTAGTGAATGCTATATATTTCAAAGGGCTGTGGAAATATGAATTCAGCAATAAAAATACTTTCCTTGCGCCGTTTTACGCATTTGGAAGCCAAGACAACGAAGAAGTTGTGGAAATGATGAGTCAAACTGCAAAACTGAATTACTTCTTTGATGAAACTCATAGCTGCCGTGTGCTTGAGCTTCCCTACAGTGGTAACGATGTATCAATGTTGCTGTTTCTTCCTGAAGAGCTTGATGGCTTAGCAAAGCTTGAGATGTCACTTACAGTTGAAAACCTCAAAAGATGGACATCAATGTTAACAAACACAACTGTTTCTGTGATGTTACCGAAGTTCAAACTGAACAAAGAGATTAATCTTAAAACAGTACTTCCAGAACTTGGTATACACGATATATTTGATTCCAGCCAAGCTAATTTGACTAGTATAAGCGAGACAGATGGACTTTTTGTATCACATGCCATTCACAAAGCTCATGTTGAAGTAAATGAGAGAGGAACAGAAGCGGCTGCAGCCACAGGTTTTGTCATGAGAAAGCGTTCTCTAGATATGAATGAAATGTTTCATGTTGACCATCCATTTATTTTCTTGATTCGTCACCATCCATCGAAGTCAATTTTATTCGTTGGTAAAGTTTTAGAGAGCAGAAGCATGAAAGAGCAAACCAATACCCGGGGACAATCTAGTGATGAGCTATAAATGCAAGGCTCGTGCAAAATTGTTACTAGAACAAATGTAGGTAGAAAAACATAGGTAAGCTGAAAAATTGAAGACAAGAAGTATAGAATATTATTTGTTCAGTGGTATTTAATGATCTATGTCAGTATTTGTCTGATTATTGAGAAAGCTAAACACATTATGTGGTAAACTCATTGAACAGATTGCTTGCGACAAACATAACAAACATACCAACAAATAAGATGTCCATCAAAATCCTTGTAGAGATGATTTTGAAGTGACGTAAAACGAAACCTATCGCTGCTTCGATGATTCAGACGAGAAGCGAAACAACAAAACTGAATACGGAAAAAAATCATTATGACGTCATAGCATCGTCATAATCAGGGAACTGGAAATTCTTCAAACGCGCTCAATGACGTCACAATTAAAAATACTGCTCTGCGCGCAAGAGCCATAGAATGTCAATGACTTGTCATCGTCGCTGTATTGTTGTGCTTTTCTTTCTGACTCTTTGCCATCAAAGTGTAGAAGCGCCATGTAGCGGCAGAAATGCTTGTCATGACAACAGCACCTGTATTGATGACCAAACGATATCGCAAGGCTACTACTGTAAGTGTGATCAACATGGTCACTTCTCGTCGAGCGCATATGGAAATTGGTACCAGAAAAATGTGGTGCTACCATGGAAACTACAGTACTGCAGAGAAAACTTGGCTTTAGGTAAATCTGCCACACAGTCTAGTACCAACATGAACAAGCCTTCAAATGCAGAAAATGCAGTTGATATCGTTAAGACTTCTGGTGATATAAATGACCACGGATGTTCGCTTAGCACAATCATGGACGATCCATGGTTGATGGTAGACTTAACCACCAAGGCTACCATACGTCAAGTATTGCTGAAACGCGCCGATTGCTGCCCAGCTGTGGTGCAACTTAGAATAGGAAATTCCCAAGCCAACGGCGGGATTGCGAATAATCGTTGCGGGGAATTGACGACTCTAAGTAAAGGCACGTACCACGCAATTTACTGCAATCCTCCTCGAGACGGTCGTTACTTATCGGTTCGTTACCCTGGTTCAAAGAAGGAATTGGCAATTTGCGGTTTGGAAATCTATTCCGATTTCACAGATTTTGATGAATGCAGTAGAGAAAACGCATGCGTAGACGAGGATCGTATGATGTGCGTAAATACCTTGGGCTCTTTTCGATGTGAGTGCGAGGCAGGACGCACTTTCGATAAAGACCAACAAATATGCATAGACAAAGACGAATGTAAACTTGGCATTCATAATTGCAGTGCTTTTGCATATTGCCATAACACAGTGCCCGGTTACGAATGCTTTTGCAACAAAGGTTACCAAGGTGATGGTTATAAATGTGTTGATGTCAACGAATGTCAAAATCCCAACGAAGCACCTTGTGGAAGTGACCTCCGTGCTCATTGCATTAATGTAATAGGATCTTATGATTGTTCCTGTAGCCCTGGATTTCGCTTCAACTCGCACAAGAAAGAGTGTGAAGACATCAATGAATGCAAGGACAAGAATGTTTTATGCCCAACAAACAAGTGCGTCAACATTGACGGAAGCTATAAGTGTGACGTATGCGCAGATGGGTACTGGAAGAAAGGGTGGATATGTGAAGATTTTGATGAATGTAAATATGGGATTTATTCCTGTCCTGAGAATGAAGCGTGCAAAAACACCATAGGATCTTATATCTGTGTCTGTGAGCCAGGATACCAAAGACATGACAAAGTCTGTAAAGATATCGACGAGTGCAAGAGTAAAACGTGCCCAAAGCACAGCATATGCATCAATACAGTAGGAAGCTACAATTGTGTTTGCAAGCCAGGCTATAGGGAAGAGGAAAGTTCTAAAAACACCAAGATATGTCAGCTAGTAGAGGGTATCCACAGCAGCGAAAGTACCAGTACAAAAACACCAACTTAATTCCTTTGGCTCCCTATTAATAGCGGTTCTAAGCGTTATATCTTTGTCTGACATATATTTTTTGGGCAACATTGAATACTGACTTTTCTCTATCAATTTTCAGCTCTGTCTCTGTGTCACTGAATAACATAGCTAGTAAAAAACTGAAAACATCAAGTCCCAGATCCCTCTTGACTGATTAATTGACCAAACACCAAACTATTGTCTCGTTTGACAAGTGACAGTAATCAATTATCATAGTACCTGTTTACACGTACTACATGCGCGTTTCATTTGAGTGAAATGAAGTATTTCTTTATGACGTACGGTCAATGGAGTAAGTCAGAACTCATGTTAACTTGGCGCCAAGCTTAATTTCTTCCAGTACTTTATTAAAGTATATACCCCGATACCTCCTCATAATTCTTTAGAGGCCAGAAGGTATATAGAACAACTGATTACCGTACAGTGCGCGGTCCCGCATTTCCTACCCCAATTTGAACCCCCACGGATCCGTCGTTTGCTTCATAGTTGGTCAGTGATGTCATTTTGCAGTTATTGCTGGGAGATTTTAGTTCGATTCATGAGTGCAAGATGACTTCACTTTCTGTTCCAGTCTAAGTGTCTTTTAATAAAATTCATCACTAGAGACAACTTTGGACCTCATTATAATGTAGCCACTACATGAAAAACAGTCAAAAACAAGAGAAAATGAGCTCATTTTCTCTTGTCAAAACGATGTAACGTTTAGGTTAATCTTTTGTTATTAGGTCTATAGTTATCTCCTGTGACTCGAACCTATTTATCTAGTTAAACGACAAACTCTAGTTTTATAAACAACTCATGAAATCACTATGATAAACTTTATGAGTGCCATTTAAAAATCGATCAAGGGCTTCACGTGACTCAGGTCAAGCCGAAAATAAGTCAGCTCGAGATGAATTGTCTTTTTAAATGATATTCGCTTAAATTCATCGGTTTTTCAAAGGTAAGAAAAGATGTTATAATATTTGTTATCTCATGTACAAAATATAATACATCATAATCTTATCTTTTGTGCCTGTATTGTTCGTGACTCATAGCAACAGCTATTTCCAATCCCCTCTCTTCCTATCGCTGTTGAAGCATGACAACAGATGCACATGCATCAAAACGCTATCTTATCATTGAGATTGTCTAAGGTAAACTCTGAAGCGACATTTCCTCGTGGAAGTAAAGAAAACTAAGATATTTGATTAATATTTCTCTGCATTGTAAAGAAAAACAGTTGGATTGAGATCGTTTGAAGACGAAATGATGATAACTTGGTCGATGTCCAGGTTTGCCAGATTAGTCTTCTATCGAGAAAGCATTCTTTGGCGCTGATGAAACAGCTCAGAACACTTCGATGAGAAGTATGTGGATAGCCAAGATACTTTGTAAGTAGAAGTTTGAAAACCACTTAAAAAGATGTCTTTATAGTTTGTCAATATTAATCTCCTCGCAGCCTTGAAAAGCCTACTAAAACATTGGTTAATAACTTCAGAAGCATTGTGGACTTTAGTCGTTAGATTTATCTCGAAGAAAATATTCTAATTTCTATCTAAATAAGGCGTTTAGTCTTGTTACTTTCTGTTGTGTTAGATATAATTTAGTCAAAAATTCAAAATTGTTCTTTTGTCCTGATGTGTTTACATTTCCTTGTCAACATTTTGTTCGCTCGTTCGTGATGTGAATTATATTGGATGTTTGTGTACCCGTTGAAGGAACTGTCGTTTGATCGAGCAATCTCGTTCAGCACTCGGCTCCTTTGGCTTTTTGAATGATTTAATTTGTAAACTTTAAATATTGTTAAAACTCTGAGAAGTGAGCATAATTTGTAATGAATATTTAATTCAGCAACAGGACACATCACTGTTCAAATGTAAGCTTATTTATGGCTTATGATTCAACTTTAAACTTGATATGACAGGAGAATTTATCTTGAATTCCCTTAAAATTTATCGAGGTTTTTGAAAAAAATAAACATTCTGTATGTTTGTCAACGCCGCCGTTTGTGAAACATAATGGATAAGATATAATTACTGTACCAAAGGATAGAAAGAGCAATAAATGTCTAAATTTTATTTGAATAACACCATTCACGTAAAAAAACCGGTATTGTAAAATTTACATCTCTTTGGGTGGCCGACCCGGTTGCCTAACTTACAAGAATCGTTCACCAATCAAATATAGGAATATATGAAAAATGTATTCTTATACAAAATGCAGTTAACCTTTTTAACCTGCCACATTTGCATGACAAAGAATTTCTCAATGATTGCCGGAAGGAATTCTGTGTTACGAATTGTTTATGGTATGCAAAACACATATTCCGTGATTGACGTGAGGCATTATCAGCACATTATGGCCGAGCGGAAATCGCACATGGGCTGTTTAAATCAGCAAGTTGTATTTACCGCATTAAATACAGATAAATAAACCGCTTCCTTTGAAATGAATCTCTTAATGTTGGATACTTTTTCTTGTTTTTTTTTTCTTTTGATTTCTTGCTTTTTTCCCATCCCATTTCTCATTTATCTCCTTTTTGTCCATTTTGTCCATTTTTCTTGCATTACTTTCTTTACTTCCCATTGCCATTTACTTTTCTCCGCAATAATCAATCAGAATGGAGAGTTGTCCTGTGATCTCAAAAATGCTTTTCTCATTTTTAGTCTTTTTCATTTTTTCTTATCAGACCGCACACGTATTAAGCAAGTATAAAGCTGTATATCAAGTCGCGTGATCTACTGATATGTGACATTATCTTTAGCAGCAATATCAGTCGATTCATGCGATTGATTACACTCTTACAACTGCTCAAATGACTGAACATTTCATCTTAGTAATACACTAAACGGATCAATGGATAGTGAAGCGACTGGGACATTCGAGCAATGAATAACTAAATGAATAACAAGGAATAATTATAAATGGATGATTTACTGATCAACTATCTCTTGTTTAATAATTGTGCGTTTGGAGGGAGTAGAGGGTTGAAGGGAGCAGTAGCCTGGTTTACATTACACTGATAGATAGCTGATCCTGTGTGAGCGAAAACATGCTAAAACCTAGAACACTCGAGGAATAATTTCAGTTACAGAATGATCTTCTCTTTTCAGGATGACTTCCAAACTAGATGAAAAATGTGACAAGAATAGGATGTTACAGGGAACTCCATAAGCAGGTAGAGGCATGCATTCGCCCACGAATCCTCCTCAACGTCAAACTAAATGGAAAAGACGTCTGCATAGTCTCCAGAATTCTTTTCGATCTTCTTTTCGATCAAAAAGTAGCCATTCAAGCAAGGACATCAAACAAGACGATCAAATAGGAAATGCAGGGAATAAAATCGATGGGAAAACAGTCACAAATGTGTCTAACGCTCACCATGACAATGAAGACATGTACACTGATTTATCTTGGCGCGAAAATGGGGCTGAACAAAAACACACCAAACTGTCAAACCTCAACAAAAAACAAGACAATTATAAGCCTATGTCAACAGGCAAAGTACATTCTATGCATGGGAAAACATTCGTTGATGGCAGGCGAAGGGATAAGTGGAGAAATCACTACTCAAATAACAATCTTTGTGACATCGAAACTGACGATTTTCATGATCGAAGGATTAACAGTCATTTTGACTTGACTTCAACAGCGATCACTTCTAAACAGGATCATGACTCGGCCAAAGTAAAAACCACTCTATCTCGACCTAAGAGCTTAAATATACTTTCAAGTTTGTTTAATCGTTCAAGTGGACAAAGGACAAATTCCAAACCGAAGCGTGGGAAATTTAGAGCTGAATCATCCCATTMCACAACAGAGCAGTTTGTTGGGCAGTGTTCGAGTTCCAGTGGTAAAGACAATTATGATCCCGCGTCGATTGATTCTGGAGATGAGTTTCTTGATACTGATGGTAGTTATCTAAATGTCAAGAGGTATTATTCACTAAAACGTTCAAGAGCATCACTGATATTTCCACCCACTTCGGAACGAAATCATAAACCCGTACAATTTCGAGAAAAATCGAGTACTTTCTGTGGTGTTCAAGAGCCAGTTAAGTTTGACGGTCCAAACTGTAATGCTAATGCTGTAGTTAATCACGCAAGATTAGCGAAAACACGAAAGTCACCGATTCGAAAAAGGCGAACAGTATCGTTGCTCGTTCCACTTCCATCGTCCTCGCTTGAGCTCCTCCAACCAGAAGTTGTTACAAATACGTGTGTGCAACCACTTATTGGAACTAATTACACCCATTTACGGTATAAAGGAGCTGCAATTAGTAATATTCGCTGTATCACAAGGACTTTAAGCATGTCAAAATTTAGTAACATACCTTCACTTGGTGTAAGTTATGTTGATAACAACGGCGTAGAGAAAACGTTAGTTATTCTYAATGGAAACGCAACCCAAAGTTGTTATGATTTGCTGAAACACAAGGAACGTTTGTCAATACCTTTTAAGATACATCGTGGCCTCGAGAAGAGCCGAGAATTAGTAAATATGGGTAATAGCTCTGGAAGACTGGAGCGTTCAGCCTCGTATGGCGATATTTTAGACCATAGAGGTAGTCTTAAGCCTTCTAGTTCGACTCCTGACCTGTTCGTCCGASGYACCTCCTATACCCTCACACGAGATCCTAATGTGAAGARAACTAAAAAGATGAGTTCAATGTTGAAAGGACTGTCTTTAAAGCGACATACTTTAGCAGTTAATTCTAAAAACCCAAAGAAAGACAAGGGTCGTAAGTTCTTTGGATTAGAAAGTCATCACGAAAAGATCGAACAAGATTACAACAGTCACTTAGGACTTCGTTTGGCAGGTTGTAATAGCTTAAGCCGCAGTATGGATTGTTTATCAGATCTTCAGAGGACGAAAATTCCACCTGTTCAAGGAGATTCTGATTTGTTTAGTCATAAAGTTGGTTCAAATTCCATGAACCAATACGAAACCGTTCAACCTAGAAACAGAGCAACAACAAACCCAATCCTCGATACTTTTGCTAGTGAATCTGATGGGGATGATTCCAGTGTAGCTTCCAACGATTCATGGATCGATTCTCCTAATGTTAAAACAATAATAATACGAAGAGGGTCTCAACCAAATGTAAAATCTAATTCCACAACTGCAGACGAATTACCGAGCAGCCTACCCGCKAACGTAGAAAAATCTACTCGTCAGTGGAGAGGTCCACTTTACAACAGTACTCCCATTGCAAGGATGTCAACACTAGAACGAGAGAGATCGAAAAGTGCTGTTTCCGATGATCCAGAAGTCCCTCCCCCTGTTCGTCCACGAATCCAAAGCTTAGAGGAACTTTCTCCGGTGACTGCTGAAGTTATCCTTAGAAAAAAGAAATCACTTGCGAGTCGAATAATTAGGTTAAAACACAGTACTTCAGTTCCTGGAGAGGAGTACGTAACTGAGAATAACAATACTAAACGATACTCCTTAGGAACCGACACGGGTGACCTTCTAGATGGCCCTGTACCCCTGACTGCTTTTAAATCTTATAGCACTAACTATCTAGATAGTGAAGAATCGTTGAACGAAGATGGATCTTCGACTTCACTTGTTTCTGATAAGCATCTCTCTCCGTATGTTTCGCCATTGAAAGTTTCAATGGAGGACATTTCAAAGTCTCCGACSATTCACGAAGAAGTAGAAAAAGTCGACGAATCTAGGAAGAGTCTGTCGAGAAACCCTAGACTCGGTCGTTCGACTGGAGACTTGTCATTCGAGCCTGGGGGGACATTAAAGAGAAAAACAAGCGAACTGAATCCTTGGCAAGTAGAGGTAAGTCACGTATTCAAATAGAATAAGGGCRGGAATTATCAAGTGTGTGCAGAAAGGCTATAAATCCRAAGGTTGACGTGTCCTGTCCGCAATTTCCAAGCTAAATATTGGATCACTCCCAACCTTATTCCCAGTCCAAAAAAATGTCACTTCCCACAATAGATTATAACATCGCGTCGTCACATTTTTATACGTAGAACAATTGAAATGATCAAGCGTAAGTGGTTTCTATAATTACATTAACGACCCTGTAATGGCAATGATTGGAATAGAAATGATTGAAATGGGATAAAGATCTCATTTTCCCATTCCATAATGGTAACGCTAAACTAAACAAAACTAATCTGTTACACCAGCCTCTAATACAGCATGTTTGTACTCGAGATTTTCCCACGTCTAGTTACGTAGTCTTTCGTCAAACACTGGCTATGTGTCAGTTATTTTAGACAATAAGTATTTAGAAACAAAACAAATAACGTCAATGGTTATTAGTTTCGATAACAAAACTACAATTAAAGTACAGTAACTGACTCCGGTAGCGTTTCATCCTCTCAAGAGAGAAATATTCGTAAAGTACGTAGAGTAATACGCGTCGAACACATGAATAGTAAAGTTGTTGACTTTGTCTTTTTGAACAACAAAGCCAAAACATTATCAGCTCAACGCAAACGCTGAGTTCTTCTATTTTTTGTTTAGCAAAACAGTGTATACTAACTACGTTTCTARGGCTCAAAAATAAATTAATTGGAAACTTCAAACCTCATGAGAATTCGTATTAGGATTAATATTAATCTTTTGATTTCAAAAGTAGGTTTAATTTTAGCTTTTAAGGTTTATAAAGCATTAGTACACTCGCAATCACGAAATTTACACTGTGCACTTGTCAGAAGTTCATAACCGAGTGCCTTGCGTATTAAACTTGAAAGGCTGGTTTTGTCAATTTGATGRATTTTTGATTGAAACTTTAGGAATTCATACGAAAAACTAAGGTCATTAAACCATTTGCGCAGCGAGAAATACCGCAAGAATGCTTTTTGAAAGATTTTTCTTATCCCTACCGTGAGCTTTATTTCCATTGTTAATACTGCACTATTAAGTGTTGTTTTTGTAAAGATAATACAACTATTTTGAGGTTAATCCTCTTTTTACATTCATTTAATATTCATAAGTTAAAAAGATTTTGGATTACCGTGCACGAAAAGAGCCTCTACCTCGGTTAAGTTGTGTTTTTCATTGCAAGAAATCCTTCTCGTTATATTTCTCAACGACTGTAGTTATTATTGATTATTACCACTTCTAAACATCCTTCACGCTAGTTTAACTTTCATTGTGACTTTTGGTAAGTAAAATCKTCTTATCATTGAACCAGTCGACAAGTTATGAACAGGTAGACTCTGAGTTTCTGTGGCTGAATCTCACACTTGAACTGCAAAGAACTGATAAAACCTTTCAAATTCTTGCTGGCTCTAATTTCTGCATTCTCTCTCTGTMCTCTTTGCGCAATATTTCCATAATTTTGCCTTGGTTTATTTGAAAATAGTGGAAAGAGTAGAGCCTTTGTGTAAAATAACAATATGAATTAGGCAATGTGAAACGTCGCCATTTTCTTAAGGAAAGCATGATGGGAAATTTTATCTTCGAGGTTTTTGTTAGCCTCTCAAATTATCTTCAAGAGCTGATTTTCAAAATGATTTCAAAAACTCATTAATTATTCATTAGGTATTCAACCAATCCCTGTTTGTAATTTGTACCACGTGAAGTAACTTGAAACCAGAGGAAGTACTCGTACCTTGTATTCTACCTTATTTCCAGTTACTTCTACCTTTTTCAAGTTACTTCTACATTATTTCCAGTTACTTCTACCTTATTTCCAGTTACTTCTACCATGTTTCCAACTACTACTAGCTAATGATAATCAAATTATTAGAAATAATCAGTTTAACATTAATTTAGTGAAAAAAGGTCTTTGATACATGACTCCATCACGACTCGATCCCCTACCGTCCAGTCTATATGCGCCGTCTTATACCATTACGCCACCGAGTTTCTGATGCGATTCCTCGGAAGATAACATACTTATAAAACTTATGAATTAGACTCATTAGGAATGCCATGAATAGCAGACAAAGACAATTTGAATAGCTTTTGTTTCAGAAAGCCGTCCGGGAATTGAAGAACAACAAACGGTGCTTCATGCATTCAAAATTATGAAAACTGAAAACCTTAGTGGAGATGCAATAAATCAATATATTTCTGTTATATGTATTTCCTTCGCTTTTTTTCCCTCCCGAATAATTAATGAGTTTTTGAAGTCGTTCAAAGGCCTCCAATTCGGACTTGACGGGATTTCAAAGTCCTTACAATTAGTTCCAGTCCTCGGCTAGCGCCTCGGACTGGAACTAATTGCGCGGACTTTGAAACCCCGTCAAGTCCTCATTGTCGGCCTTTAAACATTACTTAAAGAAGCACCGAAAATGATTTGGAAAAATATTTTCGCAAAAATGTTTTCAAAAAGACAACATATCCCGTCATGCTTTGTTTTAGAAAAATGGCGTCGTTTCACTCTRAATGATGATTGCCCAGGATCAAATATTTTTAATTGTTTCTCRTGCTGTTTTATTAGCGCTGTTTTGTATTGTTTTAAAGTTAAATTTWATATTATGATTGTTTGCATTTGTTTTTCTTTGGATACTTTTCAGCTCCCATATTTAATTTCCGGTTTCATTTTTTCATGTTTTTTTATTTTACTACTTTGTTCTTCCTTTCTCGAAATCTGCACTTCAAAAAAATTAAGGAAAATAAAAATAACAGCACTCATAACATTGCCTATCAACCGAAGTATTTCCTGATTTCCTGCGTATGAGGATACCAGGAAGTCTATTCTAAGTCTYAGGAAACTCTGATAATTCTAAATTYAAGCACTCRATTGTTTTTTATCGTTCAGGAATAGCCGTTTTACAGTACCATTTTGAACTGCATAAATATTGATTTTCAATAGTAAACTAGAACTCTTAGCTCAAGCGTTTAAAAATCAATCAAATATAAACCTCCCGCTGACTCTGCTGTTGTTTATTTAYCATCTCTTTGACCCATAACAAATTAGAACGAGCAGCGAAGATGAATGTTGTTAAAAATAGTCAACGAAGAGAAAAGCAAGGATAATTTACCTTTTTGTCATGGAAAGTAGCAAAGAAAAGCGGATTGTTCAAAGACCTTGTAGTGTYCATGGTTCTCGTCCACTAATGACTCAGGTAGAGGTTCATTTGTAAACGCCATTATTACACTATGATGACTTATTATATTATGAATCTCTCTTCGCTCCGGTACTCGTTTGTTGTAGCAAATCATTTAGTAGGAGGTTATTCAAGTTTTTGGCTTTCCGTTTGTATCGCTTCGGTATGTAATTCAAATGTTTTCTGTGAAATGTTATTCTGACAATCATTCATGTTAACAATTCGTCTTTCCTTTCGCTGGTAATCTATAAAGCAYACAAATATTCAATGAGGCATTTGTAACACATGACACTCCTCCACTGGACAAGGTATTTCGATGTTTAGACAAAAATTGTACTTGCAGTTGGTAGYTGTGGCTTTTCTTCGTAAAAAGACTTATTTTAAGATGGCTGATRTTGGGTCATATTTCTTCCCGAGCACTTCTGACGTAAGGGCTGTTTACATTAMAGAGGGTGTCCTAGATAGAAGGGCTAACACGGTTAAACGAAAACAAAATAATTTACCATGCTATAGATCCTTTRCAAATGACAAAACAATTAATTCTAGTTCCGAACGGGGAAAACATCTTTTGTTTTGTCCTCCAGATGAAGCTGCTTTGACGTAAACCCCATGCAAGGGTTTTATACTGAAAGGACCCCTATCCCATRTAAACTTGTTCATGCATCCAATAATGGTGGTGGCGATGAGCATGTTTTGGGTTTTGGCAGTTTTCCAGTTTTTATCATTTTGGGTTCCCTGTGAAAGAAATATGGAAGAGAGGAGACTGGAGGAGGGAAAAAAAGTGAGATGGTCTGACGTCAAATGGTCTCCCATATTCATTTTCCTTGGCTCGGTACAACTTCCTGATCTWAATCAGGAAGTCTATCATAGGGAAAAGACGCGAAGTGTCCCCAATGGGATTGGGAAAGGGGGCGCTACGTAGGTTGATCGAAACTAAARTAAACCAACGAATGTTGTCTTGCAGGACATGGACGTACCAGAAGCATTTGCCGAGGCATTATGGGATCACGTGACCATGGATCCAGAAGAGTTGAGTTTTAAGGCCGGTGACATCATCACTGTGATCAGTATGACGAACATTGATTGGTGGTTTGGTCAGGTTGGTGAACTGGTTGGTTGGTTCCCTGCGCCTTTTGTTCGGGTAAGCGATGAACTATATATAGACTCTATGAAACTTTGTTATTGTTTTATGSTTATTAATCATTTGATCACTTGAAGTAGTACAGTCATTCTTTTCTTTGGTTATTCGTATTTTTTGTTTGTGTTTGCGTGTTGTAGTTTGTGTGTTTKTTGATTTTGATTGCTTTTGTTTATTTGTTTCCATATTTGTTTGTTATTGTTTTTTTCAATTTTTGTAGTCGAGTTGTCTTTTTATGTTTTCTTTTTCATTTTTCTATCACTTACTATCAGTAAATCACTGTTTATCATTTTTAGTTGTTGTTGTTTCGTATAGGTTCGCGTTTCGCAGACGTTAGACGAGTTGGAAAACCATCTCGCTCCTCCAGTCAGAACAAGACGATTCACTAATGAAGGAATGTTGACGAGAGACGTTGTACGAGCAAGAGTAGTCAATGAAATCCTAGAAACTGAAAAKTCGTACGTCAAGAATTTAAAGGACGTTGTTGAGGTTAGACAATAACTCAGTAGATAGACGCGCTAAGTCCGTGAAACAAATGCGACTAGACTAACTAGAGCAAAAATAACTATTTATTGGTACTAAATAGCATTGAGCCTCTTTCATTTGCTTAGCATTGCGATAGATAAGCGCTAAATAAAGACTAATTCCCATCATCTATTATTGTTATTATTTTATTTGCTAACCTAGTAATGTGCACTGTTGCTGTCCTCTAGGGATATTTACGACAAGCYCAGAAAAGAAACGAAATGTTTTTGGAAGAAGAAATCTATTTATTATTTTCAAACATCGAAGAGATTTACACATTCCACCAGAAGCTTCTGTCTCAGATGAAGAAGTGCTACGTGAAGGGCGATCCTTGTGCTAGTCAAATAGGAGCTGTCTTCTTAGAAAACGTAAATATTCTACAAGTTATTTATTGCTATTTTGGCTAAATAATGACAACATTTATGCAATTATGTTGCCGGCTATTTTCACAGAAATTAGGCTTCAACATTTATTCGGAATACTGCAACAACCACCCACAAGCGATTGCAGAGTTTAAGATTTTAAACGAAAAAGCAAAGTACAAGCACTTCTTTGAGGTATGCAATTCATTTGTCCAGAGGTTGGACCTTATTGAGCCATAGCAATCCCGTCATTATGAATGCTTTTGGTTTTCCAGGCCTGTAGACTGCTACAAGACATGATCAACATCTCATTGGATGGCTTTCTATTGACACCAGTGCAAAAAATCTGCAAATACCCGTTGCAGTTAGCAGTAAGTTACTAAACGGCTAATAATATGTTAGTTACTAAACGGCTAATAATATGACAATCTGGTGATTGACAACATTCCAAACGAGGCTTGGGGATATTTTGATCATTACGTCATCGCCTCGTTTGGGTTTGCACTTAAATGGGACACTATTTTGTAATTCTACTTTGCCATTGTAGCTTGTCTTATGTTCGGATCCCAATGAGGGTGCACAGCTTCATGTCAGTACTGTTTCAATTCAGTTTAACTTYGGTCGTTATATTTATATAGGAGYTACTCAAACACACTCATAACACCCACAAAGACTACGAACCCGTTCGACAAGCTCTGGAGTCCATGAAAAACGTCGCAGCGTTAATAAACGAACGAAAACGAAAAGTCGAAAACATCAGCAAAATTGCTAAATGGCAAAGTACCATTGAGAACTGGGAGGTGAGTCTGTGCGTGCACAATTCTAAGAAACTGAATGGTTTCCTATTGCATGCGCACAATGAGATGATTCAAACGTATTATTCCTATAACGAGAAAACTCGGCCGTTATAACAGCAGCAAAATCATGTCGTCTTGTTTTCAGGGAGAAAATGTGTTGGAGCGAAGTTCGGAGCTGATTCACTCTGGTGAGGTGTATAAAGTATTCAATGGAACGACGCAAGAACGCGTTTGCTTTTTATTTGAYCATCAGTTGATATACTGTAAGAAGGTATGTATTTTGCCGTASGTGTGTATTTTACCGTAATGAAAAATATGTATGATTAGACACCAATGAATGATTGGGCTGCCTATATTCTGGATAAATATATTACTCACTATGCGATTCAAAGTTATTTTCGTCTTCAATTGATTAATTACAAGAATGGCACCAATTGATAAATCRCGCCAACACTTATGCAGTAACAGCAATGTTARWACGTGTAGAAAGYCCCGCGCAAATTTGTGTAACAGTCTAATCAGTTAYTTTATCTATCAGGATATTCTMAGAAAGAACGGTTTGACGTACAAAGGTAGAATTGACATGGACTTGGCTCGGGTAGAGTGGCTGGAGGATGGCGAAGGTAAGTGATGGAGTAGGCTTTAACCATCTATCAATAGCTATCAATAGTCTCAATAGCCACRGACCTTGCAGATCGTKCAAAACTGGATCAGAGCTCGTAATTCCTAGGATACAGGACAGAATGAAAAAATCATGATTTTTTATCCATGCGTCTCTTTTCAGAAACGTACAAAAACGAGCCACTCCACAACGCATGGCGAATATTTAATGCCGCTGACTCCAAATGGTACATAGTTTTCACAAAAAAGCTCGAAGACAAAGAAAAGTGGAAAGATGCATTTGAAACCGAAAAGATGAAAGCTAAGGAAGAGGAACAATCTGGTAAAAAGAGCTATGTCAATGAAAAACAACTGATCTGCCACAATCTTTTCTTCTTCCTCTTTTTCTTTAMCCATCGACCATGCGCTCTTTTAGATAAAAATACAGAACGATTCGTGAGTGCAATACGGATGATTTTTATCCAAAATACAATTTGTAACTTTAACAAGATATTTTCTGTTGAACAGGTCTTTCAATATCACAAAGCACAAGAAGAGCTGTTATGAGGTCTGCTAGTTCTTCTATCAAAGGAAGAAAGGCAGCTGGTAAGAAATCCACTTTACTCAAAACGCAAATCATGCACGTAGTACCCTCTTATGCCAGAYTCGTACCCAGTTGCTTCTCGCTTTTTGGGATGTGCGCAATGGATCGAGTTAAGTGTGCAGAAATATCTTGGTATCTGTCTGTTGCGTTTTTGCGCCGTGGTTCGGATGCAGGATGAGTGACGACCCGTTTGCCTAATTATACCCCCCGCTCACCACCATAAAGCGAAATACACATTGAAGCTTCAGTGGAGTGCCTTTCGATCAAAATTTCCCGCGAAAAATGTTTCTTTTCTCTTTAACTTCACTCTTGAAAAACTAGCTGGRACTCACGCAAACATGCACAACTTATTTATTTTTCAGAAAAAAGAGAAAAATTCCTGGGTCGMTCATCGTCACAGACCGATTTCCTCAAATCACCTCCATCGCCGATTTTACGACTTCCGCCTGCTGTTTCGAGCGCAGATTTTATAAAAGAAGAAGACGCTGCTGTRAARGAAAGTGTCTTRGGCTTTCTCCAAAGAACATCAGCATTACGAAGAAGTTTTGGATTACGAGGAAGTAAAAGAAATCACAAAGACAAGCGAACTAGTTCCGTTTTCTAGAAATTAATAAAATAAATAATTGTAGATATTGTATAGTGCCCAGGCTCTTCCACTTTTAAMTGTGGCTGGYCAGGACCTGGGAAATGAAACTTGGAACCTACCGAAAAAAAASTTAAAGAAAAAATACTAAACTCGCATTCTATGCTGTTGCAGTTCAATACTATTTTTGCACAAGGCAGGCAATGCCGTCTGAGAGGAGGAATRCCCTCAATATTCTTTTCACGTAACAATCCAAATGTGAAAAWTTCGAAAGGGCTGGAATTRTTTTCAGTATATTTTATAGGTATTATAAAAATATATGAAGAGATGACACATTTTCGTGTTGAGTGAAATTCAATTATCATATAAAAATCATGCTTACTTTTTATAAATCAAAAATTAAAGTTGGAAAATTATCAATTCATGATAGGTTRCCAAGTTTTGTTCAAAAGCAACAAGCTTATGAAGGAATAAAGATTGAATYATCAGAATGTCTTATTTTAATACGTTGTGTTTTTGTCTTCTTTTGGTATGTTATATTTTGGTTTSATTTGGTTGCAACGGTAGCTGGACTTCCTGTGGTAGATATTTGACCTCGGGGGGGCTTGGTAACTGAACTTTCCAACATGGCGGTCGAGGAAGCCGAAGAGGGAGAAGAAGRAAACGAGCCTCCAAAAACGGACCAACAAAAGACAAAACTTAGGTAGTTACTGAACAAAAACAAGTAGATTATGTGCATTTATATAATTATGCAAATATCTTTAGGTTTATATTCTTTATGGTGATAATTTAACTCTAAAGAGTTTGTCCTTCCATGCTCATCTTGAGTTTATTACCTTGTATTGTAATGGAATTTAGATGCTTGTTTCCTTGAATTGYCAGTCATAAAAAATGGAGACGTCTTCTTCAAAAGGAAAAGCGCCGGGTAAAACGACAACAGCTGGCAGAGAAGCGAAAACAACTGGACGAGCAAGGTTGTCAAATAAGTAATTTAACTTAACTTAAGTAACTATACTTGTGACTCTTTATTACTATCTGCACTTTAAAGGTGACTTCACTTCTCCAAAATCAAGTACCTTTGTTAAAAAGAGTTCAAAGTTTGCTTTCATTAATACTTAGTCTGGAAGTCTACAATTTAAAAAATTCTAATATTATTTTAACATATAATTTTAATATTTTACTTTTTAGAAAAATGGAGGCTTGAAAATGACTCCTTGTACAGGTATAGATTTGAAACCGTTCTCCGGTATTTTAGTAGACAATTGCTTCATCTCATATAGAGATTATTGCATCATAGAGCAAGGCAAGAAGCCAAGGAAAGGGCTGAAGAAAAAAGGCGGCTTCAAGAGATGGAGGAAAGGTATTATTCATCATGGACATTGCTTGAATTAATATTACATCCAAASTTGAATAATGATGTAAAAATTCAGCATATTTTTTTGTTTTAGTAAGAAGCAGGAGAAGTTGTGGCTTGAAAGAGAAGCACAGGCTCAAATTGCATTTAGAAAAATGAGAGAAAGAGAAGAGAAAAAGGAAAGGGAGAGAATTGAACAAGAGGTAAGTTAGTGTTTAATTAAAACTAGTTATATATTTTGTGAAATAAACACAGGAATGATTTTCATTTCATTGTCAGACAGCTCCAGGGAATTAACCTCTTGCACATGCTCTTGTGAACTCTTAGCCAATCCCACATGGTTTAGTGGTCTTTGCTCTCATCCACTATTAAAAGATTATAAAGACATACATACATACAAACAGTTTTGTTTTATCAATTTTAGAGAAGAATCAAAGAGGAATGGGAAGAAGACCAACGTTTGAAGCAGGAAAAGGAAGAGAAGAAAAAACAAGAAATCCAAGAAAAAGAGGTGATTTGGCTATTTGGGCAAATGTTGCTGAATACATATATCCACTTTAAATCAATGAAAAGTTTAATTCTAGTGATTAAAAAAGGAATTATGCCGAGACAATAAATAGACTGATTGATTTATCGATTGATCAATTGATTGATTGATTGATTTACTTGTGTAACTGATTTATTGGTTGGCAAGGTTGACAAACTGATTGGTTTTTTATTTGATTGGTGCATTGATTTTGATTGATGGATGGATAAATGATTTAATTGAATGGTTAATTGATTGATTAGTTGATTAATGTACTGGATGTATTGACAGATTGATGAAATTATTGTCAAATTGAAGATTAATGGATTGATTGATGGATTGATTGATATTTTCATTCAAATCTACTTGTTTAACCTGAATGCAAAAATCTTGTAATGCAAATTGAGTTATAAAAAAAGGAAATAAGATTAACAAAAGGAGGTCCATTATTTATCACTGTACGATCCTTAACACCATCAACACAACCCTGAGAGAACCTTTACAAAGGCCATCATCCATGGTTATGTCTTGGCTACGTAAAGAAGTGGAAACTGTATCTTTTATAGTATAAAACACATAACTAAACATCATCTTAAAAGACACTTTTATGTCAACTTACTCTGTCTGTTCTTAAAATTTGTTTTTCAATATTATTTTAAAGATTTCACAGAGTTTCTTTAGTGTACACTTACATAGATATGGCCAGCGAAGYATTTCAAATGTGTTAACAATCCTTAAGAAAGAAGCCACAGATACATGTAGCTCTTTATCATTATTTGGTTGATTTGTTTATAATTAAGAGGTTTGTTTACTAGAGTTWTATGAGAATCTACTGTATAGRTCATGAAGCCATTTTGTCCATCCTYTGACATGTCTGCAATATTGTACTTTTCCTTTTAGAATGCTGTATTTAAAGAACTTGAAAAACCTGCAGAACAGGTGGTTAATTTTTTTCTTTTTATCTCAATTGTATATGAAGATAAGAATTAAGAAGATTGCTCAATTTTATTTTACGAATTCTAATATTTTTGCGTTTTAGACAAGTAAAGACCAGTGGCACAATCCTCTTGCTCCAGCATCACTATCTCAACCRAATTATGGAACTGAACAGGTAAGATTTGCTCACTTCTTTGCAGATTATTTATTCAAAAAGTTCATGGTCTATTTCAAGTACTAGTACATAGCCATAACATGATAATGTGAATGTTTATCATCAAATTTAACTAAAGTGAAGTCAAAAAACCTGTGAAATAGATATTTCACTGATACACCATGGTACACTCAAATTGCATTGTTTTCTTCTGTGTTTATTTGACTATCATACTTGAATAGTATAAGTTTGTTTCATGGAATTCAAATTACTTCAATCTACTTTGCAAAATATATGAAAGATTAACAAGTTTTAGTATAAACATACTAATGGTCTATCACTCATACTGCGCTGTGATTGGCTACTCTACTAATGGTCTAATTTGTGATAGACCACTCGCGGGAAAATCAATCTCATTAATAATTTATTTTAAGGATATTTCAATTTGTTTTCATTATTTGACCAATTAGTATGTTTATACTAAAACAATTAGATCTCTCGGCCTTGTGGACTACGAGCTAATAGCCCATTCGGCCTCGCGGACTCGGCCTCATGGGCTATTAGCTCGTAGTCCACTCGACCTCGAGATCTAATTGTTAAATAATCAGGAAATTGCACAGTTATTACAGTACACATGAAGAACCCCTTCCCACTGTGTTAATAATAATGCTAATRTTCTCTGGTTTCATAGGACGCTGTGAACTGCTCCTTTTATCTCAAGACAGGAGCATGTCGTTTTGGAGAAAGGTCAGTCAGCACCAGAACACTGATAATRTAGTGTCAGTATACATTAACTGTTTTGTTTTTCAGGTGCTCAAGGGTACATCCTAGGTTACCTTCAAGTGTAACCTTATTGATACCTCACATGTATCAAGACATTGGACTATCGCAGACCATGTTGGATGAGGCTGACCATGACACAGGGCTAGAAGTAAATGATTGATTTTCTTTGTTATTGGGTTTTCTGTGTATAGCTTTCTGTGTTTGTTTTCAATTGATTAATAATTGTTTGTTGTTTTTAAGTATGATGATGAAGAAGCTTATGAAAGATACAAAAACTTCTTTGATGATGTCTTACCAGAGTTTGAGAAAGCTGGAAAAGTTGTGCAATTCAAGGTCTGTAAACTGAACCATTAGATGGTTTATTTTGCTCCTTGTTTTGCTCCCTCTCTTTGGTTGTCATCTCTCACTAACAATTGTTAGTTAACCGATAAACTGGAAAACTGAGGATCAAAAACTACAACTTATTTACTTAGTTTAATAATATTTCAGTAAAATTATAAGAAGAGCTATGATTAGTGTACACTTCTATTACAAGATCTTCAATGATTATTTTGTTTGTTTTTTTATTAGGTTTGTTGTAATCATGAGCCACATCTGAGAGGAAATGTGTATGTACAATTTTCAAGGTAAATGGAAAAAAAGAAAAACCTTCATTTTTTCACACATTTTGCTCACATTTCTTTCTCACTTTATGATTGCAGMGAAGAAGAGTGTRCCCAGGCCTTTGCAGCCTTCAATGGCCGATGGTATGCTGGTAAACAACTGTCCTGTGAATATTCTCCTGTCACTAAATGGAGGTCTGCTATTTGTGGTAAGTTGCTGTGCTTTCCAATTATTTCCTTTCGTGTTGTAGATTGATTAATGTAACACTCAATGTCATTCATTATCTTATTGTTTCAAGGATTTTTTACTCGCAACCGCTGTCCACGAGGCAAGAATTGTAATTTTTTGCACGTTTACCGTAACCCTGGCAACGCTTTTAGAAGTATGGACCGCGATGACTTCTCTCCAGGMCAAACGCCTTACAGTGAACGGGGTTCAGAGCGTAGTATGAGAGACTGGAGACGAGATTCTAGGGACAGAGAAAGTAGCATACGAGGAAGAAGTAGTGACAGTTATGAAAGAACTAGAGAATACCGGTATAGTCRTGAACGCGAAAGATACCGTAGCAGGGAACGTGACARAAGGCGTGACCGTGAAAGTCACGATCGTCATAATAGTGATCATAAACGCAGAGAGCGTGACAATAGTCAAGATTATCATGATTCTGATGAGGAACGTAGAAGAAGGCGTTACGAAAATCACACTGAAGTTGATAAAGATTCTCCTCAAAGGAGCAAACAGGATCGTTTTGGACGTGATGTTGATCGTTCYCTYAGCAGAARRCAAGAGACGARTGGGAATAATYCMAATAAAAGARATYTGTCYGACCGAGACGACGATGARCGKCATAAAAGTAAAATATCACGTGATRGAGGCAGTGGTAGTAGTCATAGTGACCGTAGTCATAGTGACCAAGAAAATGATAAACGGTAAGAAAGAGTAGAGTTTGGTGTTCCTCAGATTTTATCTCTTAGGGGCTGTTTCCCCTAGATAGTAGAACTAACCCTGGAGGACTAACTTTAACCTTGAGGATTTCAAACAAAATTAGTAAGACCTACTACAAAGGGCACCCTATCTCCTAATTTCTTTCCTGTGTGCCTTAGACATGATACCCTTGTAAACAATATATTACTTTAATGCATCTCCATGGGACCAAACGTGCATTTGTTATTGTTAGTTTGACATTTATGCCTGTTTTGTTTGTTATCTAGAATAAMGTCAAGCGATGTTGAGGTAGATGAATCCAGCGCGAAACGGCGACRTCACAAGAGAAARCATACGCACAAACACAAGAAGTCGAAAAAGAAACATAAAAACAAACGCAAAAGACAATCAAGTGACAGTGATGAATGATTGACAAGGACACTTCTATGCATATATCCTTTGGTTTTGTACATTTGCTTGTTTTGTGTGCGATTGAAAATATTTATTTGAAATATTAAAGCTTCATCAAAACTAGAAATATTATATTGTATGTCCGTGAAACTGTTAACCCTAAACTAGATTGACTGAATTTTTTATGCTCATTACATTTGGACGGTTTCAGTGAACTTTTCTGTGCGTGTTTYGGTATGAAATTTCGCATTCAATAAGAATATTAAAAACCATCGGTTGCAGTTAATCGATTTTTTAGCTGCAGTTGACGGAAAAATATGGGGAAAATCTAGAGCGCAAAAACGCGCGTACTTTCATTAGTTCCCAGGACCTCGCAGTCATAAACAATGACGTCATTGTATTTGGACATMAAAATATGGCGGACGATGCGGAGAATGCTGAATTAACAGGACAAATCGAAATGGCAGCTCCTCTTACTCAATCTTCGCAGTTTACCCTWGCTAAAGAATGGCTGATCAAACAGAGAACATCRGTAAAGCCGTGGCGAGAGTTTGTTAGCACTTCTAAGTTCTCAAAGCCCAAAAGTATCGCCGAAGTCGGACGCAGRGTTGTGAAGAATTTACAAGATTATCAAAGCAATTACATTTTGATAGCCCTTTTGATCACTGTATATTGTGTGTAAGTATTATTTATCATTCAGTGAATGTAATGCATAGTTTAAAGTGAAATAGTTATAATTTTTGATACGTTTTTTGAGTGTAGCTAGTAAGTTTATTTTTTGTTGATGTGGATCTTGTGACGTGGACTTATAATCATTCTTTTATAAGGTGATAGCGATGCTTGGTAACTCAAATATCAAACTAGAACCTTATCTTTTCTCATTAGAAATTTCTCGCGTCTGTTTTGGTGATTTAAACCTAAAGAATTAATAATTAGCGAAGTTGTTTATCATATTAAACGTAAGATTCTATTAGCTGATTGGCTGGATGCTTTGAATTTATGATAATAAARAAATATGTGACGAGCATCTTGCYTGATTCATGTWTTTGTAGTTACAGACTAGTCAAAAATTACCATGAGGTTGGGTTATTTAGATAATATACATTTATTTTAAAATTTTATAAAATCACACTTTAGTATACCTACAGAATCATTACCATTAGTTTGTAGGCATGATTATGTATTAATCATTTATATTTATAGGGTTACAAATCCATTGCTGTTGATTGCAATATCRATTGGTGGTGGTGGATGCTGGTATCTTACATACAGAAATGAGGGGAAAACCATCAAAATTATGGGTAAGTCCTTATTGAGCACATTCTGATTAGMAAGACTGAAGAAAGAAGTTTGGTCATCTTACAAGAGCTGTTTTCGGGGAAGTTTCATGACGGCTTATCATAGAAGGAGATTATTGTTAGTTTGTCATGTCTGCGACCATTCCACAGGTGCWGGTGTGATAGAAAACTGAGTTTTTTTCAATATTTGACAACTTCTGTCACATCGACATCCCAAAGTAAAGAGCAATCTTTAATTACTCAGAACTATTCCACTAGACACAATTACCACAGTAATCAATAACTTTGATCTAAACCTGTTTTTATTTATAATAATTAATTGTTCTCCATGTATCACTGGGACATTTTGCCTTACAGGTCGTGAATTCACAGTTATGGAGCAGTATGGTCTAATAGCAGTGCTTTGCYTACCTTTACTCTTTCTTGCATCTGCTACATCTACTGTCTTTTGGATTATTGGTGAGTCATCATTCACAGTTAATATCACAAAAATAATGATAATCCAATACTCCATTTTCTAATTCTCTTTTGTGCAAGCTTAGATTCAATCAGGGACACGTCCCTGATTCAATCAAGCACAAATATTTGTTGTCTTCTTTGTACATAGAGTTTTTGCATAATRTAATAGTATCTCTGCTGAATAAAAGAATATATTACATGCTTTTGAGGTTAAGGCTKCACAAATAAGATCTTGAAATTRGAGGATAGGCACACTGAAAAGGCAAAGAAATATGTGCGCAATAAAAAGTAACACTTCATGGGTTTATCAAGACTATTTAACACACATTATTACACTTTGACTATTATACTTACCCCTCCCCCYRTGAAAATCCTGGATACRYAGCTGTACTTTGTGTCACATTTTTRTGAAAAGCACAYCAAAATCATTGTTTCTGTGTTCTTAATCAACTAGTACCAACTAGATGGACATTCTCCTTTTGTGATCAATTCAAAGTTGATATTGTTATAACTTTTGATAATAGTGATAATTATTACCATTTTTGTTCCCTAGGGGCATCTTTTTTTATCATCATACTCCATGCKTCATTCCTGGGTGCTTCAACACCTGATTCAAATGCATTTGAGCTTGAAATGGAACCAGTGTGAACTGTTTTTGGATATTACTCAATGAAGGACTGATAACCTGGYATGCTACCAGTCTTTGGGAGTTAGAATATAGCCAGCATACCCCCCATACCACCCACCCCCCCTTTTTTTTACCATCACCAAACATTTAATTGCAAGCCATGCAGATAAATACATTATTATTAYCTATCACTAATATATATCAATGGAAGTGGAAGCTGGCATAAGTAGATGTACTTATAATGTATTTTTTCCACACTGTACCACCTTTAAATTGTTTCATAGTAATTCCAGCGAATTAGGGACWAGTTTGTTTTAACACTTCATTTTAAGTGGTACTGTGTTGAATCGATATAGAWTGATTGAGGATGGGATACTGTTTGAAAGACGTTTAGATGACCATCTAAAAAGAATAATTATTTATCTTTACTTTGAAAAACTATTTTATTGTACCCAAGAATAATTTCAAACATCAGTAGAAACTCATAAGGGATTGAAATGTGTAACGGCCATACAATTATTGAGTTCYTTGCACCAGGATATTTGATTTGTACATTGAAAACTTTTTCTCAATTAAATCTGACACCTTTATKTTTTCAAAATGCTACAAACTGAACAAAACCCACATAATATGCATAAAATAAAGAAATGTTTTTAAAAACTGGAGAAATTAGAATATTTCTTGATTTGTAGTTCCAATGACTACTTTATATTCCTTGTCAGTACGTGGCAGGCACTGTATTAGTGCTTTTACATTGCCTCAGACTACGTATGAATGACTTTTCTTTGTGATATGAATGTGTACAAGAAAAACATCCATCATTCAATGCTGCCATGAAAATGTAAAATACACTATTAGTCATGATTAATAGTCAAATATGTACAATTTTAATACATTCAGTTTTAAATAGTTAYATTCAATAAATATATACAGTTTGAGACACTAAGCTGTAACAATGTGCTACTATATTACTAGTGTTCACATTCATGCCTCATTCTACAAAATTAGGTGAACTTAATCACATGACCACAAATGGGTTTTTTCTGTCAACTGTGAAAAAATCATTGTCATTTGTTGTTTGTCATGCAATTACATTGGCTCCCACTATAGACACACATTTTTCACATGAAACTGAAAAACTCTATTCATAATGGCCACTGATAGCTGCTGATAGCATCAAATATTTACATGTCTGACTGTGATATAACTTCTTAGACTGTCGTGAAACTGCTGTTACGTCATTGCGTTGGTGTATACACCCTTTTAATAAGTCCCGAGGTATCGAGTTCTCCGCAATTGACGTCAAATTTATTCTTTTGAAATTTTTACAATACAAAAGGAATTCAAAAGAATAAATTTGACGTCAASTGCGGAGAWHRYAATACCTCGGGACTTATTAAAAGGGTGTATAGAGATATTTTACCGTGTTCTGAATAAAACTGCTAAAAATGCCTACAGTTTGTACCACTTCTTTAGTTTGTTTTTTGTTAAAATGATCATGACTTTTCATTGTATCTTTGAAGAGAATAAAATTGTATGTTTTTATAAACGTCACCAATCATGACGTAATTAGTCTGACGAAACTCCTTACTGTGCTTGATAACTTCGGGTCTCTTAATCCGAATGATGTCATCCTAGAAACAATACCCGTTAGGGAATAAACTTTCAACTTTGATTGATGATTGACATCTATGTCAGTTCAATAACACTTTCAGMTTTKTTTGTTTGTTTGTTTATTATAATTGTTGCTCATTTTAAATTCTCGATGTATGYCGTATCCTTTAATACGCATTGCTAGATGACGTTGCCAGAGTTATCCTAAATTTTTCAAATTTACAGAAAATCGGCCAAAAGATCTTTTTAAAACCTCTCTTGAACCTGCGATCTCTGGACGCATAAACTAGTGGATTCACTGCACTGTTGAGTATGGCCAACGTCAAGCTTGCATTGACCGACCAATACGCACCCCAGCTATCTTTTGAAACCATTCTCACCATGGCAACTGTGGAATATGTAGTCCAACAAAACATAAACAGCAGAATGATGATTAGGATCATGTTATGAGCCCGCAGCTCCTTAGGTTTGYGGGGTTGTGGGCTGTGGGGTTGTGGGCTTGGCGGTGACTGAAGTTGGTCGACTAAGGTTAATTGGTTCTTTTGTGGCAACTTTGGGCTGCTTTCAACGGAACCAATCGACGCGAGTGAAGCAACTGAATTTGAAATTTGCTCAATGTCTTTGACGTGCTTCTCTACAATGGAAAATATTCTTGTGTAGAAGTAAACCATTGAAACCACAGGTATTGCAAAACAGAAAGTCACCATGAAACCCAAATATAACTCATTCGCCAATCCTTTGCCGTTGTACTTGGGTCGGCAAGTGCTGGAGTGAGGGTCGAACCAGTACTCGCCCCATTTGAAAGCCCACGGACACAGCGCCCAGAAGATGGAGTGGACCCAGCCCAGTACTATCATAACACGCATGCGCTTTTTTGTCATCATTTCTAGGTAACTAAACAATAAAAGAACGTGACATTGTTATAGTTTATTTTGGTTTAGACATCTAAATAAATTTGAGCACGTTTCGTGTTTTTGCCACATTTCCTCGTGTTTTGCCTTCATAACTCAATACCAGGAAAAACGATTAAGCGCGCTCTTCGTCTTTTTTTCTTTCAGCAAACAGATTGCAGCGATCACAGACTGAATAAGAACTATTTACTCATACCTCGCGCTTTAATGTATGTTTTGTTTTAGTTTAGTCATCACTTATGTTTATCACAAAAGTCTGATAAGAAGAAATAATGTATGGTGAGCGTCTTTCGCGCCGCACCAGATAAAACTTTTTTTTTCGTACGATTTACAATCAAATCCCTTTTTGCACAGCAGGAACGAGCCGACTAAAGCCTAATGGACTATGATCTTAGAAAGATTAACTTTGTCCTTTATGGCTCAGAGTAAATAAAAGTTATCAATCAGGTGCATGCATTAGGAAACTTTCTCATTTTTCCATTAAAGAGTGATCATATTACATATTATCACGGTTTGTTTGGATCCAAAACAATTCATCGTTATAATCAGGTCAAACACGCAATCATAGGGCTTCAAGGAAAATTCGCAACAAACCTGCATCCGATCGCTAATACTGGATTTCTGAAATAAATGATATGAAACTAATTTTTCATAAGGAAACCTTATGAGAGTTTCACAAAGCTTACATGGGCAGACAGCTGTCAAGTAAATATTTTTTTAATCGAAACTATAGTTGGGTCTGCAAAAAGCAGATTATCATTTTCCCTTTTTAATAGAGACGAACAATTAGAATACCCTGGATGCATTGAGTTTACTGAACAGGAATTTTATATAAATTGATTTTCTTTGGAATTGAAATATAACTGACTCCAAAATGGCTGGCAGAGCAGTATTGTTCATATTTTCCTATTATCGCTTTTTTATATATTTTTTTATTAAGTTAAAGAACTAGACTGAAATCTTAAATTTTATGACTCTGAAGTGCACATTCATATGGTAATCGAAGAAAATATTTGAAAATGGATCTTTTCGGTCCAAAGAGGAAAAAATATGAGCGCATTATTTGTTTACGAATCGGAAGCGCGTAAACACTTCGCGGTAGTTTCCCATAACAATCCACATCCTGTGATGTTAAACCGTATCAACAGACAATAAAAATTCCATCGTTTGAAATACTGACAGAAGACTCTTTTCAATTCTTTGTTCTGTTTGGGTTTAGTGTTAAGGTCAGTTATTTGACCACATTCACCGTTGGATTAGATATTGTATTTCTTCGCAAACTATTAAGTTTTCTCTGCGAATACTAACTAACACCTACTATATGTTACAATTAAAGATACTTACAACAAAGGAAAAACGATATCCAAAAACCGGTCAAAGCTGATAAAACTAAGGGTCAACAACGATGCATTGAAGCCCAGACTGATGACAAAAACATGCGCTTTGCACATCGTTTCGCCAAAAATCCATTTCTGGTTGACGATTGACACAATGTAGAATGGAACATAGACTGACGTCGTTAAGATATCGGCTACAGCAAGGTTAACAACGAAATAAAATGTTGGCATGTGAAGTCTTCTGTCTCGAAACACAACATTGATTACAACAGCGTTTCCAATAACCGCAGCAAGAACTATTGCCACCAGTATCGTTACGTGAAAAGCGATGAGACCAGTGCCTGGGTTATAGCCAGGATCTTTTGGAATATACAGTTGATCTGCAGTTGTATTGTTCATATTTTTCTCTATCGAATCGTTCAGTGAGCTAACAGTAACAGTGGAATGGCTTCTGTTAGTAGTTGGTTTTATACCAGCCGGAGTTGTGCGTCAACGTTTGCCGCGTAGATTGATAGCATGGTTGTGAGGCGTCGGCAAATAAAAGGAACTATTAGTTTTTAGCCAATGAGAGTTTAATGTATGGTTACTGACCCTCCTTGATGATCGTCATCTGGGTCATAAGGGCAAACGTTTTCCTATGTCTTCCTTATATATGACTAATCCAAAAAGTCCCTTAAGAAACCTGTCCACCGTGAATGACAGTAAAATGATGCTAACCGGACGAATGTGATATATCACGTTTGGCTTTTATGGTTTCTTTAAAAGCTGCAGCTTAAATGACCAAATGACGAACGAACGATGGATTGGTTTAACCAAAACTTAACCACTGTATTGCTATATTTCAAAAGTGATGCGACTTTCTTTGAAGTTCAGAGTTTTGTTGTTAATTTTCAATGAAGTTGTTTTGTATCATTGCCACTGTTGTTATTTCCATATTTTTGTATACAGTATTTCATTGTACACACTTTTAAGTTTTTTTCGACGTGATTTTGTGTATGTTTGATTTTCATCAAATTGTTCGGTGAGTGGTTTGTACAAATGTATGATTGTAACCTTGACACTCAGAGTGGTTTTTATAAAAAGAATATTATATTTGACACATAGTTTGTTGACTGAACGTGGCATTGAAGGGGAAACAATACGAATTGACGGTAAAGTGCTTTGAAAAAATCGTGACAACAGTTAATACTACTTACTCATAAGTGTACTCGTGTATATGACTTAACAGCGKCGACGAGTTGTTTTGCTCAAAATATGCAACAATAAAGAAATAAAGCTCTAAGTGATATTTCGATGTTTCTTTTTTTCTCGCATCGCAGAGATGTTTTCATTGAATATTGTACAAAAATATTGGCTTGTGGTTTATTGACTATTCTGGGGCTGATATAAAAAGCAATATAAAAGATAAGAACGTGAAGCGCTTCAGTTGAATCATAATATTTGGTATTGTTTCGAATGTACAAAGATCTATTGCAACATTACTGAATTGACAAGATTTATTATGGCAGCAAAAACTACTTCGCTAGTAAGCATGGCAGTGAGTATGATTCTTGCTGGTTGAATCGACCACGTTTTGTTCTGCTCCGTTGAAATTTTATCAAGATCATAGTTTTAATGTAATTTTGAAGACTGTTTTAATGTATGAACTTCATATTGGGAGAAAGGACAATTTGGGTTGCCTGGTCACCTCGCCTCCGGCAAATAATCTTGTAAAGACATGTCATACGTGACATTTTTATTTAAAAAAAACAGTTTCATTTAATTAAATCTACATTTTTACATCTACCCCTTGTATTGCTAGATGAGCATCTTATAGCATGCCTTGTTTTGAACTTCTCAAGTTACATTTTTTTATTTTTTTCCCGCGCAACTTCACAGTTCACGCCGCGCGTCATGAATTTTTTGTTTTGATTTCTTCGTTTATGAATGGAAACTCTGTTTTGAATTTTCAATATATCACACTTATTTTTACTTTTAAAGTCACTTTAAAATGACTGTATACTTGTTTTCTATTTTATACCTTACGTTTTTTAATCAGCTATAAATTGGAAAATATTTTAAATCTAACAGAAGTGTTTTGTTTTGAAAGGTTCCCTTAGTTACAGATAAGACAAAAAGATGAATGTTTGTTTCACGCTTGTACTCTAACAAGTTCCTTTTTACTAGCGCCATAGTTTCTGACTCATAAGTTCTTAGCTAAAATGGCTTATAACAGTATATTACATTATGATCAACCATAAAAAAATATTGTCACTGTCTATAATTTTAACTGTGTTATGACGATGTTTTGTCTGCGTGAGTTCTTGATACAGGTCAGGGCAGTAGACAAGTTTTGAATGCCGCGGGCCCGGTTTTTGAAAATTTTTATGTCAGTCTATACTGTATACTATATATGGGTTTTTGTGGTAATGTTGGTCGCGGTTGAATCAGGATCAACCGTACTGGTGACCACGGCTCTCTGAGTAATGCACATAACGCTATTTATAATTCAACTCGGGAAAGACATTATGGACCCCCAGGTTTCCCAGGCAAGGAACAATGGCTGAATCACTAACAAGTATTATCTAGAATTCATCATGTAGTTTCTTACAACAACCTAATTTAAAAACGAAGTTAGTCTTATTCGATCAGTAACTCTTGGTGAAGTTGCTTCTATTCCTGCGCCAAGCCCCACTAGGTTTGAAGGCGTTGCACCACTTCGTGACAGGTATTTACTCTCCCTCAAGATTCTACTCCTTGATCGCAAAAATTTTTTTATACCACGTCTAAATCTTCTGTCTCGTATTGTGTAAATCACTGGGTTCACACAGCTGTTGGTAAGAGCTAATGTTAATCCGAGATATGATAGCCAATAAGGCGCCTCCTTGTTGCCAGTTAATATTTTAATGGACGTCCCTATCGTATAAGGAAGCCAACATATTACAAACGTACCAATTATTACAAGAACTGTCTTATAAGCTTTGCGGTCTCGAGTAGGCTTCGAATGTTCATCGGAACCGATGCTAGTTCGTGACGTCGTCGAATCTTTGGCAATTTTTTTCGACTGATCGTCGGCTACTCGGAAAATTTTAAAGTATGTATAAATTGTGATCAACACTGGGAATGCAAATGCAAATGTTGCTAGACAAATTGCGTAGACTTTGCCTGAGACGGTTTTGGCGCCAAAGTTTGGTCGGCAGGTGTTCGTAGACTGATCCAAGACAGTCTCACCCCAGTTCCACAGCGGGCCAGTTGCCCAAAATACTGCGTGAATCCATATAAATGCAATGAGAAGGCGAGTTTTCTTCTTTGTCATGCGCCCATAATACCTAAAAATAGCAAAATCAATAATGAAAACAAATAAAAACGTCGAACTTAACATGTGTTTACAAGCATTGCCGATGATACTATCCACAAATCGAGAGCCCGTCCAAAACTTTGTTTTTGGAGTAATGTGATTGACTACTGGACTCAAGTTATTTCGTTGTTTTGAAACTGGTTTTTATCTAATGATTTCTCGGGGGTGATAAATTGGCTCTCTGTTATCTAAATTTGAATTTGCTTCTAATTTTTTGATAACAGACTTGATAATAGAAGTCTTAGAAATATAGATTTTAATTGGTACTATCTAGGAAAGTCACCAGGGCCTAAAATGTTTTCGCTTCAAACAGACACTTTTTTTTCTTCGATGAAGTGAGAACATCTGCTCCAAGGAACCTCTGTTAGAAAGGGTTTCATATGTTCTAAGAGGACCCTTCGGCTTTACACAGGAAATTAATATTTATCCACTTAATGTAATTCGTCTCACGGGAAAAACATGAATAATAAATGATGGCAGCATCTTCAATTACTGAAAATTCTTCTTTCATTCAAAAGGAGTCCTCCACTTTTATCAATAATCATTTCCACGTCATTAAAAAGTTCATTTGGCGGCTATTGTACTTGAAAAGACTGAATCTATCAATTAGTAACCTTTGTCGTAAACATGAATTGTAATATATACAGCCCAAACTTTAATGAGTACAGCTGGTAGGATGTTTTGCAATTATCGCTTATTAATGTTATGAAATTATGTGGTTCCGGGGGTTAATTTGTGCGATGTTAAGGTGTTCCTGATGTTTTGATGCACGCAGCGAAGCAAAGAAACAAAAAAGTTCAGGATGAAATGGTCTAGATCTGATGATGTCCTCTTGATATGATCATGAAAGGAATCAATAGGAAATGACAGTCTCCTGACAGCTATGCAAGGAATCAGTGGACTAAATTGCTAAAAAAAAGCCTTTTTGAATAGACAATTGAAATAACTACTATTATTACACATAGAGGATTTGAAAGGTGCAAAACAATCCAAAGTCTAGAATAAAAAACCAAACAGTATCCAATCCACCGTGAACTGAAAAAAGACAAATTGTCTTCGAACCGATACCTAACACTTTCACTATCTATTAACATGTTATCCAGTCTAGCTTACCTTAATGGGTCTGATATATCCAAAAACCGATCCACACTCACAACGCAAAGTGTCATGAGCGAGGCATTATAGCTAGTTGACACTACAAAGGCATGGCCTCTACACCACACCGCCCCAAGTATCCAGGCTTTCTTGAGAACAGCCACAATATAGAAAGGCACATAGCCTATTCCCACAAGAAGATCTGCAACCGCCAAATTACCAAGAAAGTAAAATGTCGGACTATGAAGTCGACGATCCACGCGTATTACCATGATGACCAATGCATTCCCGACAATGATAGCGACTGTTGTCACCACCAAATAAAAAATATGGAAAGTCCTCAGTCCGGCTGACTCAGGAGGTCTAGGAAATGATTGATATTCACTGGCGTTCATTGTAAGCTGTAACTTTTGAATCGTTGTTGATTGTTAATCTGAAAAGCTTTATGGTATAATATGACAAGCTCATTTGCAAGTTCCTGATATCTTTTCGTTCGGGTACAGCTTGGCTTTAGGTCATTTTGATCCCCTGATTATTAAGCACGCTACCAAATGTGTAGAGCGAAGTTGATCATGAGATTGTATGACAATGGACACTATACGTCACGTGTCATTTAACTCTTTGTATAATGAACAACCTGCCGAAGAAATAACAACAATTCAACCCCAACCGACGAAACGTTAATAGTCTAATTGCTAATTTGTTGAGAAAACCTAGTGTAACTTACCAAGAAAATAAGGAAAAATCGAAATCTGTGAAATGTAAATAACTTGTTTACAACCACATTACAATTTGATCTGATTATAACAGATGGTGGCAGAGCCCGCGATCATCTCTAGAAATCCGAACCTGAAAGCCGATTGATGTCGATCTGAGAGCCTGCTGTAATATATATTAAAATGTAATGTATCTGTAATATTTGGCGGAGTTAAAATGTCATGTAGATATTTTAAGTGTTCTCATGTCTGTATTTATCTGCATGAAAACTAAACCCTTTTTAAACGCTGTTACTGACGCTAAACGACTGGTTTATCCAGTATGATTTCTAGAGATATCGTAAAAAGGTCGTCATATATAAAGTAGAAATTCAAGAGATAACTGATCGTTGAATTGATAACAATGTCCTTGGCAAAATGGATCTCTCGAGAGATCCAGGTTGCGTTAAGCAGTTTTTTTTTTAGCTTGCTGTTGTTGTTGCCGTTTAAGTTTTTACACACTTGAAATACATTTTCGCTATTCACTAGTGCGCTTAAAGTGCCTATGAAAAAAAAAATATATTAAAAATGGTTTCATGGCATTAAATTTATCGTATGCAATGTAGGGAATAAACATATTCCCAGATGGCGTTCATGAAAACATTTTTGAGGGCCTTTGAGCGACTGTTTCAATCTAATGAAGCCTCCCTTGACGTTTTTATCATTAGCATATTGGAAGATTAAACCTTCAAAACTCAAAGACGCAACACTGAAATGCAGAAAAATTTCACCATTCAATTATTTACATTATATAGAATCAACTCACAGAGAATCAGAAATTATTTTGTCAGGCGTCATAGGCACTTAAATGGCCTCGGTGCAGGTTTCGTGTAAACAATGCCAGGAATAAACGCTTAAAAAGATATACATGGTTTCAAAAATATCGGTTGCCTATTTCTCTCCTACGAATAGCACTAAAAAAGGATTTTTTAAAACTGTTCCTGTGCTAAGTTCTTCTCTTGATTTTAAGAATGCACTTTGAAACGTTCGCAAATGGTTACACAAAAACTCAAGGCAATGTCTATTTTGTACTATATGACCAGTCAGGTATCAGGTATTTCGTGATGTGGGCAAACAGTGCAACATTTGAGCAAATATTTGGCGTCTCTGATCTGTGTGGTTTTGACTCAACCTTTTTATGAGACAGCTGGAAATATTATTCATCTGAAGTTGTAAGGAATGTAATTCTCATATGGACGAATGCGTATTGTTTTCTTCAGGAAATGTTGCTGTGGAACCGATATTAAAGTGAAGCACCGCTCTTTCTGTTTATCAAAATAAAAATTCAAAATTGCTATCTCAAACTGCATGAGCTCAAAATATTATGGTTTTAGAGTCTCAGTTTCTGCAGATTCTCCTTTTGATGATAGAGCTCGACAAATTATGGACTGCAGAGGTACGAATTTACTTTCTAATCCGTTTAATGTGAAGTTTGTTGACGCGACGTACCTACATAACCATTTCTCTTATGCCGATCGATCACAAGTGTAATGTATTAGGGACCTTGGAAAAATTGATTAATGTAGATACCTTCGCTTTACGTCGGCATAGCGACGGCAATTGAACTGAAATTCAAATCAATCAAAACTTTCATCTGTGTTTGCTATCATACATTTTTAATTGAAACATTTTGATGATTCGACCAGAAAAAGTCGACCAATTTGCTATTTGAATTTTCTTACAAGTACTTGATCCAGAGACAACGCTAATACTAATTACGAAAAATTCTAATGAATAGTTACCTATGTGATCAAATAAATTGATGCCAATGAAATCTTGTTTTAATGGAATAAGAAAAAATATATGAAAGAATTGAACTAAAGGAAATATAGTATGCGTATGACAGTCACATGACAATTTTCAAAGGCTTCGCTAGTACTTCAAGTAAGTAACTGCTAGGTTAAAATTCAGTCTTGAATCAGTCTATCGAATCAGCATTTTCGTTAAATTCAAATTCTCTATGTTATAAGTACTAATCCGTTCAGTTCAGTATTGGTTTTTTAAGTGTTCTTTGATGGTATAGCCAGCCTGAATCAGTCAAAATTTTGTTTTCTATTCGGACTACAGTTGCTTAATAGTAACTTATATGATATTTGTATTTTATAAGATTTTTTTTAATTATTTTTCAAGGATATGGAAATAACCACCGTGTAGAAAATGAATTAGTGTTATTAAAATATAAAGGACCCTTTGATCGTTTGTGCCAACCATTTCACTCAGCAAAATGTTAATGCCATCTTACCAATGATTGGACGAAGAAGAAAACGTCGTCTTGGTTTTCAATAACAAAATACACCTCTTTAGTCTTGCAGCTTCAAAGCCAAAGTGAAAGGTTTAGCACATTATCAACACTGAACACTAGATAAATAGTGTGTGGACACAAGTGAACATCAAATTGTCAATTCAAATACAAAGCTACGATTCTAGACCAATAAAAAAGACGGCCGGGAAATCACTGAACGGAACTGCGTGCCCCATTAGTCCAGCCTTCAGGAAACCTGAATCGATTCACTTGCGAATCAAGTCTATGATATGTCTGTTTTTAGTTTGAAAAATAAGGTGCTATAATGTCTTCTGAGCCAATTTATGCTTGCTAAGGACGCTAAGTGTTTGTGAGTGTAAATGACCCCAGGGGTGCATGGATGATGATCAGTAGTGAGCTGTTTTCTTGATGTGCGTATGTATAAATCCTTTAATAGTGATAGCAACGCATCCCTGTCAAATTGTACTTAAAATATTGCACTTAAAGAAAAAGAAAACCATCGGATCAAAAAAGTCTTTGTGAAGTGATATGAGAGATAAGGAAAAAAATGAAAAAGAAAGGTCATTAGTATTTTTACTGCATAATATGGCCATCTGAAGCCCCAGGCAGTATTTAATCATTACGACTTTTCTTGAAGTGTATAATACAGTTCACGGAAATTGCTAAAGAAAACATCAGGATTTTATTGTTTCCTGAGAGTCCTGAGACAATACCAGTCAATTTTACGGTTTTCAAACATAGTGCCATTTCTTTTGCGTTTTTATAGTCTTTTTCGTTTTTGTTTATTCGTTGCTGTCTTTTTGCTTTTCCCTAGTCTATTTTCATATTTTACTTACCCTGTCCTAGTGTGAAATGCTTTGTAGTTATAATAACTAACACACGTACGGTGCTAACAATGATAGCTATAGATTGTCACAGGTGTTAATTGAATAGAAGGTGATTAATTGAATAGTAGCCTGCGTTACATCCCGGAAATTTCACAAATACCGGGATATACCGAAGAATATTCCGGATGTAACGCAGGCTATTGAATAGAAAAGTGATCTTTCTGTGGCAACAGTCCTTGAACACATGTATGATTTATTTCCTGGGAAAGGGATTTTGAGAGAGTTTTAAGCATCACGTTTACGGCTTACGGCACAGCTGAACCAATGACCTAAGAATTTCGTGCCTGACCTTGTGCTTTTGGTAGTAATATTTCAAAGAGCGACTTTTCACGATTATGGCAAACTCAAAATAAATAGTATTTATTATCTAGGGGACCAACATTAAGAAAAAAAGCAGTTTTTTTGACTGCAGAGAGCTGAAACTTCGCATAGATGTGTAATAAATTAAGAACAACATATTGTGTGAGTTTGAATTCATTTTATTAAGATTTCCTACTTTTATTGAATTTTTCGTTTTTCCCCACAAGACCTTCAGAGAAAAGCCGACAAGTGCAGTGCTTGGGCTACTTGTGGTAWGAAACCTCCTACAATAATATTAATAATATCAATTTTTTTTTGTTTCACTCGTCTGGTTTTGTGTGACGATCAGTTTGACGATGATAGTTGTCACGAGTTTTTATAAATTAATCTGATTTATAATGAATCACGTTCAAATTCCTCAGCAAATTTATCCGGCTAATAATTAAACATTTTTTTCAACCAAGAGTATAATTGTTTTTTTTTTTAAACGCGAATTGCATATTGACGCGACAAGCAGTAGTTGGCGCCGATTGAGTTAATGAAACAACTGAATTCATAACAGACAATTCTAGGACTTCTAATAACTTAACTGCATCCAAATCTTCAACTTCCTTAGTTGATTTGATAAAGGTATTCAATTTTAGCCGCTATCAATCGATATCAAATTCAATTAACTAAAGTATATTTTGAATGGTCAAGGCAAAATAACAGTAGTATATTTTTAGAAAAAAATCTAGAAGGTAAAAGTCGTTCGCAAATCAGAAGCATTTTCTATAACATGAATGATTGATTATTTACTTACAAAAGCAAATTGGTTTCAAAGTGAAATTGGTTGAGACATCTCTCCATCCAGTAATCAATCCGAAAATCAACTCATCCAGGATGTGTCGTCTGAGAAAGCCAGAAACATGATAATTGATGTCTACCAGATAGTCAGCCTCGATATTGGTCAAGATAAATCTAAGATTTCAAGTTCAAAAGTGAAAGGTTTCAGTCGGGTGGAGTTTCTCGGAGAGCCCGGCGAACCGCACGTACCCGATTTAAAAAATCCTTGCATCTGATATTTTTTAGCGGGACATTTCAAGCCCTCAAAGGGACGACGAGGAACCCTGCCCCCTTAAGGAGTTATTCCCTTGAAATTAGTGATAGGTTACCCTTAGAGGGCGATATACTGGAACTTCTATACTTTCCAGCCTTTATAAAGCCGCCATTGATTGATTTTCGTTTGGGTGCCCTGTTTCTTTAGTAGAAGAGGAGAACTAGAAACTACATATGCGCAATGCGCACTTATCCAAACATCCAAGATGGCGGCCGCTGCAGTTTGTGCACGCCAACTTGGCCGACTTTTGGCAAGAAATACACCGCTAAGAACACTTCCTTGTATTTCGTCTGTTAGGTGAGATGATTGGAAATATCTTCCTTTTCAACTGCAATAGTTGTAATATGAGAATAAATATTTTTATTGACTAAAATTAGCATTGTATTGGACAACATTGATAAAAACCTTACATAATGTTTTTGTACGCATGTACGCTTTGTGTTACGAGTTGTAACTATTGTGGAAGTAAAAAGCATTTGCAATCTATCATTAATTAAACTGGAGTTTTTCAGTTTTAATTGAAAAGTCACAGACTTTTAAACAAAACTAACGTTGTAATTTTATGGTTTTAGATATCTACGTAGATTGCCAGAGAGCGAAATTCATAAGGATATCCAACCTCTAAAACTACCAGGAAAGCTTGGCGAAATGACAGGAACAGTTATGTATCCTAATGAAGACTCTGCCAAGTGGGATATTGATGGTATGTTTGTTTTGAACTCCTTCATTACAAAACAGTTGTACAGTTTTTGAAATCCATGATTTTTATGACAAACTAGTATTATTAAAAGCATTTTCTCTAAGCTTATATCATACAGCAGATTATATACACATGGAATATGTATAAGAATGTTGCCATCGTAGTGTGCCAATGGTATACCTATAAAGTAGATAGCTAAAGGCTGATTTTATGTGTCTTGTTGCATCCAACATGGAGTACATGAGAGAATCACACAGTGTATTTTTTTTTTGCTAAAACAAGCTAAGTAGTAAACTTTGTCCTAAGATTTTAGATGTAGGCTCAGAATTCCATTGAAAAGGGAACGAAAACAAAAGAGATAAAATATAATTTGTAACAAAAATTAGTACAATAAAGATTGACTTGATTTGGCATGACATGTCATGTCTATGGTGAGTTCACAAGAAGTTGCAGTTTGATTGTTTATTCTAGAACCAATACCTGAGAAACTAGTTACCAACATGACAATCAATTTTGGTCCACAACATCCTGCTGCTCATGGCGTACTGAGACTGGTTCTTGAATTAGATGGAGAGGTAAATTCTCTTAACGTCTTAACTAATGGGGGGGGGGATAACTACACACAATATTATAACCGTGCATAGATGCTGGAGCTTGCCGGTTGCCGACTTGAAAACCCAGTCTGAGTACTCAGACTCCTTGTTAGTCTTAGCTTCGATGAACAAAACCATCTTTTTCAATTAGGTGGATATTTATAATAATAATGATAATAATAATATGATATTATATGTGTACTTTAGGTTGTTGTTAGAGCAGACCCACATATTGGCTTATTGCACCGAGCAACAGAGAAACTGATTGAATACAAGACATATTTGCAGGTATTTTTAAGTATTAGAGTATTATAAATATTTTGTAAATGTTTTGTATAATATTTTGTTGTTTTGTTTCAGGCACTGCCATACTTTGATCGCCTGGACTATGTGTCTATGATGACCAATGAGCAAGCTTATTCATTAGCAGTGGAACGACTGTTGAATATTGAAATACCAGAGAGAGCTAAATGGATTAGAGGTACCTCCAAGTATTATACTAAACATATCTCAAAAGGTTATTCATTTGATAAATTCCATTTCTCTGTTAAAATCCTTGCAAAAATTCTTCAAAAGCTTGCATGACTATGGTATGACTATGGTGGTTGTATGTTTATAAATTGTGCATTCCTATGCTATGCAGTTTGCTATGGTTACTTAAGAAATAAAAGACGAAATTCCGTRTTTGATACTCTGATCAAAACACGCGGGATGTAGGGAGATCACGAGAGAAGCGTAGGAAACCACGATGCATAGCGGAGTGGTTTCCAGCTTTTCAAGTGCTCTCCCAACATCCCAAGTGTTTTGATCAGAGTATCAAATACGAAATTTCGTCTTTTATTTCTTTTCTAAAATTAAAAGAATACGAAAATTGTAAAGAATTCTGACTCTTGATACGATATGTGGCTGTCGTCTATCTCTGCAAATCTCGAAGTAGCTTCTGCAGCTTCTGTAGCTTCTAAAACGTTGATAGCTCTTCTTCTGGGATATCATCCCAGAGGACATCATAAATAGGCATTTCTTCGTTCATTGTTCTTGAAAATGAATGATAACAACAACAAATGCAAACGGCGGGAAAAAAGAAATTTTTGACGCGTGCGAGCATGTTTTGATACTGTAATCAAACATGGTTTTCGACCAATCACAGCGCACGTAGTATCCTAAATATTTTAGAAAATGAGTTCTTGCATAATTTTGAATAGGAATTGTTCCTTGAGCTGTAGAGTTTTAATCATCATGTTTATTATGATTATTAGTATTATTTGGAGAGATCACCAGGATCCTGAATCACATCATGGGTGTAACTACACATGCTCTGGATGTCGGAGCCATGACACCATTCTTCTGGATGTTTGAAGAAAGAGAAAAGGTACTACTTATTTCATTGGTACAGTAACTTGTATGTTGTACAAACCAATTTGAAAAAAGAGAGCAATTAGATTCTACTTACATATTGTTTCATGTGCATAGTTGTCAATATGATCATTAGTACTACATAAATTGTCATAGTGCATGCAGTTATGTTAACCTTTTTTTAATTGTTTAGTTGATGGAATTTTACGAGAGAGTATCTGGTGCTCGTATGCATGCAGCCTATGTAAGACCAGGAGGAGTATCTCAGGTAAAACTTTTGCTTATAATGATATCCTTTTTCCCTTTTCCAATGTTATTTTCCAGTTGCTTTTTGCTCAGTTTTACAGATTGACTTACATGTACAGTACTTGTAATTAATAGCAAAGTATAAATACAGCAATAAGAAAAAACAACAGCAGCTCAAAGGCCTGGAGTTTTTATAAACATTTATCCAAATGTTGATGTGATGCAGAAGATTTAACCAACAGTTCTGTGACACCAGTATTTTACATGTATCAATAATGTCCTTGTTTCAAAATCTCCACAATATAAGAAAAGAGTATCAGACTTAGAGAGCAGATAGATTGTCGAAATTGATGTGAAATTACTAATAATTGTTAATGAACCTTATGTGTTGGTTACATTAACTCTTAGATTTAACGATCACTCTGATAATGTTTATTCAGGACATGCCTCTTGGCTTAATGGATGACATCTATGATTTCATCCAGAAGTTCCCCCAAAGATTAGATGAAGTTGAAGAGGTAATAATTATGTCTTAGGTTATTAAATCATGCTTTGTTTTATAAACAGTTTATTGGAATTATAATAATTACATATTGGCATGCTTTGCTGTATGCTCTACAAGATTTAATAAAAAACAATGTCTGAGGTAATTGAGATTTTACCCACTTCTGCTGGGTTGATTAATCATTTGCAGGATTCTCAATAGTACCTGGTCGCTCCTTATTGCTTATTTAATAACTGGTTACTGGATAAAATTATTTGCAGTTTTCTTTTTCATACAGATGTAGAAGCTCTTTCTCCTTTTGATTTTTTTACCCTTTTGATTTTTTTACTGAGAGAATGTTGACAAGATAAAGATCTATTTTGAAAGTCTTTTTGCAGTTTTGCGATAATTTTGTCCCGATACCGACGAACTCATCGTTTTCAAGACTACTACGCAAATCTTTTTTCTGAAATTTGACATCTTTATGATACCTGAGACGTCCTGGTATACTCATGTAGGCAAAAGCTTATTTAGAGGTTCTAAAACCAAGGAAGCTCACGCGCCTAATAGACTACAATAATTGAAACTTGAAAAGACATGCAAACCAGAAGGGGTTAGTGACGTATGGACCAGGATCTGGCTAATCACCTCCCTCGTGGATGGCCGCAACGGTCATCTATTCAGGACCCTATTAAGATCCTGGCATGATTTAGCGCACATTCCAATGAAAATTATGCCCCGTGTTTCCTGTTCAAGTAAAACAATGATTTCAATATTCTGCACAGATATAATCATTTCCCAAAGCGCAAAATCTTTGCAAAGCTTTGAAGTCTATCTAGCATAGCCGGCCTTCCTGTCCCTCCAAACATATAAATCCTAAACTTTGCGCGCTACGTCATAACCGTGTTACAGTAGTGCACAGGGGTAGACATCAGAGCTTGGGGTCYGTCTATTTCCTCCCCTGCTGATTATCTGCCTAACATGGGACGGGTGACCTCACGGCCACCTTCTTGCATGTCTTTTTTTCTTCTTTCTCCTTTTTTTTAGAATCTTAAGAAGGAATCTTAATAGGATCCTACCAGGATCTTAATAGGATCTTGGAAACAGGTGGAGCTTGTATCACTTTATCTACAAATCAAGAATGGTCACGTGATCCCCTTTAATTACAAAATCTCTACTTATATGGATTCAGTGCTATTAGATTAGTATAACTTGTGAATTTGGAGTCAATTCAGTCAGTATTATAGATGCTATGAGCAATTATAGATTTCCAGCCTCGTTTCCATGCAGGTTCGCAGGTGTGATACTTCATCCTCCCATAAAATCCCCTTAACGATTTACAAAATTGCCAACAACATTGTTTGGGTTCACTAAGGTCCAGTGAACACAACTGACCCACTGGCTTGCTTTCTTCATAAAAATCCCATGGGATTACATAAGCACCCGGACTAGAACCTTGCATTTGGTAGTGCAAGGGAAAGCAGCTACAATCTCTAGATTGCTTTCATCAGAAATCAAATTCTTCAGTTTGACAATTTTAGTGAATCTATTGTTGTATTGTTTTTAAGATGTTAACAAACAACAGAATATGGAAGCAAAGAACTGTTGACATTGCAGTTTTATCAGCCRAAGATGCTTTAAACTATGGAATGAGGTAAATTTCTGTTTTATTGGATATTCTGCATGTTGTAATTGAATGAATTCTAACTGATCTTTGACATGATATAATTTCCATGTTAGTGGAGTAATGCTGAGAGGATCAGGGATCAAATGGGATCTTCGAAAGTCTCAGCCATACGATGCTTATGATCAAGTAGACTTTGATGTTCCTATTGGAAAAAATGGTGACTGTTATGACAGGTATGAAGCAATCATGCACAAATTAAAGTTGGTTAGGCTTAAAAAAACATATAGACCATTTGTGTTCATACTCCTATATTTCAAAGCTAATAATGATCACATAATGCAGTATTCACATAGAATTATCGATTAGAAAGTATGTATGCCTTTCCTGAAATTCAAGATAATAAAGTTATAATCTTGATATTTTGTACAGATACTTGATAAGAATGGAAGAAATGAGACAGAGTTTAAATATCATTCTCCAGGTTAGTCTGAATACAAACAATATTTTTTCTTAATTTCTGTTTTTCTACATCCTTGGGAACCCTGCTTCTATGGAGTTGGGGCCTGGAGAGATTTGGTCAGGGCCCCACTCAATAGCCACAGGGTTCCCAAGGATATCTTTTCCATGGAAAGACTTAATATGCAGATACTTTGTTAGATGTTTAATTATAGATTTCATTGAGGTTGATGTAAGTTGCAATTTTGATGAAATTATTATGTTTTATAGTGTCTGAATAAAATGCCACCTGGTGAAATCAAGGTGGATGATGCTAAAATATCACCTCCTAAACGAAGTGAGATGAAGGTATGATAGAACTACTAGAAACTCCAATCATGTATATAATATTGATGATGCTAATGATAATCATCATCATTATCATAATCACAATGGCAGGAGACTTGTGAAGGCACATTACTTGTACCTTGCACACATTTTTTGTGTCACTCTTAACTCTATTTTCCTGCAGATTCTTACATGATTCTTATATTAATATTATTTGTCTGTTATAAGGAATCTATGGAAGCCTTGATCCATCATTTTAAACTGTATACCGAAGGCTACCAAGTACCTCCTGGAGGCACATATACTGCAATTGAAGCACCCAAGGTATGGACAGTCATATTGACTAGTTAGGCCTGTTTGTATTCTGAACCCCTTATATGGCAAATATTTCTCTACAACACCATAATTATTATTATTTAGCATGCCTAAAACTGACATTGTTATCATGAGCATGTATGCAACAGAAGGTATATGTTTACGTATTGCCATCCAGCAATTCAATATGCTGTGCCAATAAGATTTCAAAGCGTCCTGAGAAACAGTGATGTGAGGGCTCATTGTGACGTCAATATTATTTTTGTTTTGTAGGGAGAGTTTGGTGTATATCTTGTAGCTGATGGTACCAGTAAACCCTACCGCTGTAAAATAAAGGCACCTGGATTTGCACATTTGGTAGGTTTCACCACATAATATAAGATATTCTTGTGAGTTGACTATCATTTTATGAACGTTTTACTCATTCGATTTTGCAGTATGGATTAGAACATGTCTCAAAGGGACATATGTTGGCTGATGTGGTTGCCATTATCGGTAGGTGGAAATATACTTGGATTTGTAGTATTATTTTACTATGAATTTTAAATAATTCAAATAACTATTATAAAGTTTGGAATAACTTTTGATGATCAAAATGCAATTTCATCATTTTTAGGTACCCTGGACGTTGTCTTTGGAGAAGTGGATCGCTAAACTTTGACAATGGTTTAAAAGATATGTGATCGTTGTGCAGTCCTAATGAAGTGTTGTGAAAAAACTTTGGGGAAGCGATTCACAGTGATCTCTCAAAACACTATTTTGTAAAATATCAAGTTATCAACATTATGAATGAATAAATTTTAAAGTCACGTGATGTGTTGTTTTTTTATGCATCAGGGTCTCGTTGGACAAAGGGTGGATAAGGTTATCCATGAATAGTCTTCTTCACGGTTCTCTGCGCCATCTTGAAAGATAGCCATGCCTTTACATCGAAGCGAGACGACCGTTGAGCGCGCAATGATAGAAATCTTCTTTCACACCTACAGAAAATTATTCACAGGCATCCATTATTGAACACTCAACGGTTGTCTTGCTCTCAAGGTCTTTCAAGGTGGCACAGGGAATCGTGAAGAAGACTATTAATTAGCAAATGTTTATCTGTGATTCTCTGCAGGGAAATATCAGAAAGAAATTGTACAAAATTGCACTGAAAGTAAACAACAGAGGACAAACGATTTTACAATAATATGTTTGCATCTAGTTGCAAACCATTCCATGAATAAGCATACTATTATTAATACCTAATGGCAATAAAGCATGTGAACATGGCAGATAAAAAAGGAATCATTACATCAAAACCAAGTGCAATATTGGTTGCTAAATGATGTATGATGTGTAATGAGGTTTTACGAGTGTCCTGAACACCCAGGTCTTTAGTTTTTGAACATAAAAAAACATGCTGAATATTATGATATTTTGTGCACAAAACGTATTTGACATAGACAAACAAATTTGTGCTTCTGAACCAAAGTGTAGCATACTAAAATAATTCTAAAATAATTAATTTCTTTGGACGAGTAGCCCAATTACATGTTCAAAATTAAATTTTAAGTATTATTATATAATGAAAAAAGAAATCATGCAATTTTCAGTCATATTTTGCTGATAATTTTTTAATTAAATGGTTGGGGCTCCTGTGGAGCACTTCCTGCAAAACTGATGGGGTTCCTTTGGTTCTGGCCAAGTTCAAAGTTCGATACCCATGACAAAATATGGCGTGTTGAGACAAAAACAGAGTAAAACTTCGGATTTACCAGTATTTCAAATATCTTCAATTCCTCCTGTTGGATTCAGCGCATAATTGAACAAATTTTAGTATCCAATCGTATGATTGCATATTTGAGCCCGCGATCTCTTGTTTATCTCTAAAGACCCGGTAATTGTAAGTTCTACTTTGTTTGATTCGAAAATATTTTCGTAAAGTTGTGGTCCTGTTGCGACAAATTATGTTTAAAACGTTGTAATAATGGTCGAGGAAAAATGAAGTCCTTCATAATGATTACAGAGATGATAAGTGAACCAGGGTCGACAATGTAATTGAATTTGGTCATCATCTGGCTGAATCTTTCTTGGACGCCATCGATTTGACTTAAAAAATCAAAAAGCTGTAATTGTATGGATCCTATGTTTAGATAACGTGATTGCTTTGTCACTTAAGTCTTAAATGCATTATTCTGTTAAATCGACGTCGTAAAGCGTGAAAGATGTCAGTGTCTTCAGCTAGTTCTGATGCCGGGTCGACACATAGCAGTCGAGGCTGCATTTGCCCAGTTAACGAAGAAAGGAAAGATTTTGACACTTTTCCGTTACTTTTTACACATTTGAAACGAAGTGTAGACAACAATCTTGCTTACTTCGGTAAGTACACTCATAAATCCGTGTACAAGAGGTTTTATGACGCGTTTGAAAGAGTTCTGGAGACGATGGAACCGCTCGAAGAGATGGCTGTTTACATTGCACAAAGAGTAACTATGTTTGACTATAGTCCTCAAGCTAAAGGAAACGGCTACAGGAGCTTGTTACGTCTACTGCAACACTGTATTCGAGCAATAACTGAGCTTACGTATTACTGTCAAAGACATCGCGATCGATTTTACTTTAGATCACATCACTACTGCCTTGAAATTGAAGCCCATGCAGACCTTTTCACTAGAACCAAGGATTTGCTGAACTATGCGATAACATGTATGAATGAAAGTAAGGAGGGAGAACTATTTCCTGAGGCTATCGATTCTAGAGTCATGATAGAAGCAGAGATGATGGATAGAGAGTGTTTTTATGGAAGAACGCTTGGTTTTCAGGTGAGACTAGTGTTGATTGGACTTAGTGATTGTGGTTGATAAGTGATGACAAGTCGCACTGATAAGTAATATGGTTATATTAGATCTTGCTGGTGTTCATGCAGGGACTTTCTGTAGATAGCATCATTTTGAATCAATCTATTGCTTAAACATGAGTTTGTATAAAAAGATTGATAATAGTAGTTGTGACAAACTGCAAACAATGCAGACTATAATTAATGAATATTTTATCATGCCCATTTTTCTTTTGACCCAAAGAATATACATTGCCAAGAGTCCATTCATGACTATACTTTTGAAATAATTTTATACTATTAAAATTGTGCTAAGTAGTATAAAGTCCTTTTTATCCTATTGCAAATTCATTATCTTTCCAAGTGTTTAAGTTAAGTTAAGTGTTTAATTAAGTGTTTCAAAGCTTAAGTGAATACATGCTCAAAGTATGCAGAAAATGTAGAGACACATTATATAGATTTTTACACCTGCGCTTTGATAGCTGTACTAGTCTTCTGGCCATACAGGACGAAGAAGATATGCCTTCTTTCATTTCAGTATCGACAGGGATTACGCCAATTTCTGATGACGGTTTGTGTTGCTATGGCATCCTTTGCTGAGGGTTATCATCGTCACAAGTCCAGCCCTTTTGCATGCATGACTACATCTGTACTGCATAGTGGAAAATACACAGTCAATCCTGAGTTGAGGGCAAAAATGATAGTTAAATTAACACAGAAAACTAACATGGAATTCTGTAAAGCATTTTGGAGTTTAACAGAAGGCTTTGGGCTTCAGGTTAGTATAACTTGTATCATGACAGCAGTCATTTGAACTTAGATACAGACAGTTGTACTGCATGACATAACCACATTGCTGAACCAAAACAACCTCTTTAACAAAATGATATGAATACAGCAGGCAAAGACTGACATTTGCAGGAAACTGTCATTAGGCTATAGGGGTTACATTATCCTTGTTACTATGGAGGCCCAGTTACCCTGTCTTGTAAAGAGGTAGGATGTTGAAATGGAAACTGAGGACCTCACAATGATGACTGAGTAGTGGGACAGTAGAATGCCCACCTCACAGGCAACTTCATATCAAAATTTTCAATGACATGTAATGAGTCAAAAAATTTCAATTATCTGATTGGATGACATCAGTTATATTGATACCTGGATTTACTGTTTGACTGGTCAGTTTTATTGAAGTGGTCTTTCCTACTGTACATCAAAAGTCCAATGCACTAAATGTAATTAAATCTTTGTCAACAGCATTTTCCATTGTTTGTTTGCCCTGCACTGAAAGTCAACACTCTGTTCCACATACCTGCTGAAGCAATAGAAATTATAACAGAGAAAGGAGAGGTTGTCCACGTAGCACCACCATGTTCCTGGTCTGGACTTGCACCAGTACAAGTTAGATTAATGTCATATGAATGGAGAGAAGGGCAGGTAGAGAAAAAATTGAAATGAATTTTAGCACTTGTCAAACATCGATTCATTTATTTGTGAGATACCTTATACAGTTTGCTCATGAGATAAGTGAGAAATTGACAGTATATGATTTCCAAGTACTTTCATAGTAATTTTTATAGCAGACATGAGAACGAAAACAAGTATTTTCAGGTGCAAAATGAATGCTTTGGAATAATGCCTGTAAATACCTCATGTATATGTGGGAATGAAGTGGAGATATGCCATCCATTTGTCCTTAAAAATTGCTACGTAAAAATGTTATTTTTTTCGTATGTGCTACTGCAGTATTTTCAGAGGCACCCACACATCTCAGAAATAATATTGTTCAACTTTTAAATCTCTATTTGTTCAAAGATAAAAGAAGGAGGCGGGCACCACAACAGCTCAAAGGTCAAACCCAAGTCAAAAGGTTTGATTTTTCACATTCATGGTGGAGGTTTTGTGTCGCAATCATCCAAATCTCATGAGGTAATCATGTTGTCAATAAAGTTATACTATTTTATCACCCATCATAAAGCCATACTATGTTTTATGCTGCATGCACTTTCATGTGACATGTTGGAATATTCCCAATAAACTGCTATTCTATATGTGCCCTGAAGCACCTGCAGCACCCAACCCCCACCCCCTCCCTCTCTCATCTGCACACAAGCTGCGCATTCAATGCTTGCTTTATTTGTTATTTTTAAAGATGTATTTGCGTGTTTGGGCCCGAGAGATGAATGTTCCTATAATATCAGTGGACTACTCCCTTGCCCCTGAAGCTCCTTTCCCACGGGCGTTGGAGGAGTGCTTCTTTGCATATGCCTGGGCTGTGAAGAATGCTGATAAGCTGGGAACCACAGCTCAGTACCTTTGCGTAGCAGGAGATTCAGCAGGTATGTTCCCTTGATAGTGTTATGCATCAATCAATTTGAAACCACAACCCCTCTACCCTGGACAATACTAGATGAACAAACATCTCAACAGTGTTAAAGTTCCACCCCACCGCCTTCTAGTTGATTGTGTCTTTTAGATATTCCTTTTCTATTGCATCAAAATTTGCAATTTCTATCTATTGTGTGTACAATTTGCTAAGGATCATCTTTGGTGAGAATGGTGGCGATAAAGAGGAGAAGCACTTGTTGATCGAATTATAGACACACTGTCATTTTTACCTTTGCTATTTTAGGTGGAAATCTTAGCGTTGCTGTATGTATGCGAGCAGCCGAATATGGAATCCGCAGGCCAGATTCTTTGCTGACCGCATACTCGCCTTTTAATGTCCAGTATGTACCATCACCATCGAGACTGCTCAGCCTTCTCGACCCACTCCTTCCGACCGGTATTCTGTCTGCGTGTCTCGGGGCCTACGCAGGTCTCGGAAAGTCTCCTTTTGAAGAATGCATGAAAACACCAGCAAACTCTCGCCTGATCAACAAATCGTCTTCTATGCCAGTTGATATCAACAAAACCCGACCCAATTCCTTCCTAGAGAAATTCAAGCGTGTTAGCAAGTCCCCAAGGTCATGTGATGCAAGTCCTGTTAAGGAGGAAGAACTGAGCTTTGACAGTTTTCATAGTTGCCCCAGCTCACCGTTACACTCCGCGAACTCATCTCTGAAAAACCATGTACAATCGTGTGTCAACCACCATCATGAGAACTCTGGTGAATATATGGATGCTTTTCATTCTAGCGGGCAAAATAAGGCATACGTAATCAATGGGCGTTCCCCAGAATGCCGAGGTGCTGGCTGTAGAAAAGTGGAATCTTCTTCGCAGGAATTTCATTCATCAAACGAAAATCACGATTTTAACATTAATATGAAGAGTGAAAACAAACATGCAGATTTGAACTGTGTCGATGGACACCACGCAAGCCTTCATATGGAAAGCAATCGTCTATTAAAGCTTAACTTAGARGACAACAAAGAAGTCTACGTCTCGCAAAAAATTTACGATCCCTTGGGAGACGAGTATGGACACACCGAAGTCCAGTACACTCGCGGTAGTGAAGAGTGTCACGTGGTAAATGTCGTAGATCCAAATCAGTCTCCTTGCGGTGATACCATAATCCTCCCTGTTGAAGAYTCATTCACTCCTATTGGGACTCCACCAATCGAGGAAGTTGAGCACTTAGCGGTCAACCATGTTGTCAAGTCACGGTCTATGTCAGAAGTGTCCCTACCTATTGCTAAGAATCCGTATATGTCACCACTGGTTGCTCCTGACGAAATGCTGGCAACTCTTCCTCCTATTGATATTGTGGTAAGTGTTCTTGCCTATTTTATCCTTCAGTAAGGGTCGAGTACATGAGATCCTTACCTTGAATGGTTTGCTGTCGTAATCGTCGCARTCATAATCCGAGCGCGAATGTGTTTACATACATGTAATCGTAAGCATAAGTCATAGTCATTTGGACGTTCGTTCAATGAAACCATACAATTTGAAATCGTAAAACTTGTTATATGAACGTCAGTTAAAAAAGAAAGACCTCATTGGCCTGTTGACATGTTACTAAGATAATGTCACTCACTGAGTCCCCACTACCTTTAATAAATAACAACGATTTTCTTCCGTGTGGTTCACCACATTCATATCCAGCACCCTTATGCTTGCTACCAAATGAAGGTTTTGTGAACCGACTGCAACGCGCGCACTTCCCTTCATCAAATGATCTTATAAATCAGGGGTTGTTCGCGACACCATTTAGATGACTCTCTATTTTTATTTAATGCGGCAGTTGCTCTGGTATGCACTCAGCCCTTTCCTTCCAACTTTAATTGCGGTTCGCCCCACCCCTTTGGGCCCCTAAGGGAAATTCTGGCTCAATTTATGTAATCTGTTCACTTGAAACTTCATTCCAAAATCTCATGCAATGAGGCGTAAGGTTTTGTACTGTGCCGAATAAGAATGTCCTCGTCATGCATATTTTTTTAAATTTCATGTACGAGCCTTATCTACGCAATAATTGTTTCTAACCTAACAAACTTAAATTTATTGCCAAATCAAGTGAAAAGTGGTCCATTAGAGGTCGAAAAAGATCGTATCAGTAAATGGCTTTTATACTAACTCGTCATTGAAGAGAAAGAGGAAGCACTGAGTACAATTACAGCTTTAAAAAGCTTTACTTTTTAAGTGATTTCTGATTGTTTGTGATATTTGTTTGACAGGCGTGCTCGCTGGATCCATTACTAGACGATTCTATTGAATTTGCCCGTCGACTGAGGGCCCTAGGTAAAGAAGTCGAAGTCTACATCCTTGAAGATCTACCGCATGGTTTTCTCAACTTTAATCTTATCTGCCAAGAAGCAAAGGAAGGATGTGACTTATGTATTGCTTGTATGAAAAGAACGCTTCTGGGTAAACGGAATCGCCATAACAACGACAAAGCGCCAGTGTATTAACAATTTTAGCGCCTTTACATCAATTATCACTGGAAAAAATCGCTCGCTCTAAAGGTTGTAAATTTGATGTAAATATGATGTAAGTGTCCAAAATTCTGTAATTTTGATGTAAATGATTGCCATTAATTTACAGAATTTTGGACACTTACATCATATTTACATCAAATTTACAACCTTTAAAGCGCGCGATTTTTTCCAGTGTATAACAAATAAATTAATTAGCGATGAGTATGAAATGTAATGTAATGATTAATTGATATGCCATGCTGGTTATCATGGTATTTTTCATGAACGTTTATACAAAATTCTATCAAATTGCAATAATTCTAGGAAAACTTTTAACGAATATATTTATGATAGTGAATTTTTATGATATTAAAGGACGATGTCCAACCGGCATGCRCCGAGGTCTTGACTCGATTTATTCACATACAGTAAGCCAGTCTATAGTCAAATATTTGTTAAAATTCTGTATTTGCATCCGTCGGTTTTAAGTGATATCTTGATACTTGAACAATTCGTTGGGGCGCGTAGACAGGAACGGTTGGCAATGGTCATTTAATTCTTAACATCAGTAAAGATAAACCTACTAATTATTTCAATCTTATATATTTTTGAAATATTACGTTTTTTAAGGTTTTTGATAGAATTTAAAAGCCCTAATACTTATTACTTGTAGAATTATGAAAATTGAGTGCCTTATCAATTAAATCAGGCAGGCCCGTAGGCTGCCTTATAAAACTTATTAATAATGCATAAGCTATTGCTCCAATAAGGGCTGACCATTTAATCAGGTGATTGACCTTGTAAATCTGATACAACCACTAGTGGTTGTATCAGATTTACAACACGGTCGTCACCATTGAGACAACCCAACACTAGCAAAGGTCTCAGTTTTAGTGTCGCATCATAGACCTTCACTAGGTTTTGAAGCAATCAAAGACGGATAACAGAACTCGCTTATGCAACAGATGGCTTGCTTTCCATGTGGGATGGATAATTATTCAAAATGTTCTGTGTTGCAGTAAATTGCGCATGCTTAATAGGGACTAAACTCAGCAATTACCTTATTTGTCATTTTTCGTCATTTATCTCACTGTAATTCATGTTAATTTGTGTTGGAGTTTTATAAGTCGTTTACAACATTCGCGTCCGTGTTGTATGGGAATTACAATCTCTCGCCTGCGGCTCGAGATTGTAATTCCCATACAACACGGCCGCTCATGTTGTAAACTATACTTACAAATGGGGGTGTTGTTGTTTTTTTTCTGAATGCGGACCTAAAAATGTTTAACTAAATTATGCATAGGTCAGTGTGTAAGACCTGGTTGCTAGAAAGAGTGAGTTCATAACAAAATTCTATCTTAAAAACAGTTCATAAGAAAAAGAATTAAAAAAGAGAAACACCGGGACTTTCAGTTAAGCTTGTGGGGGGTTCGTCCGAACCCACCGAACCCYCCAAGCCTACGGGGCTGTCAGGTTCACCATCGATAATTAAAATATCTAATTTCTCTTCTACTTTTGCATTTTGTTTTTGCTTCCATGGGCGGAACTAATGTAGCCAGGTAAATAGCTTTAATTAATCCGTTAACCGCTCGTCACGATATTTACTAGTTTATGATTCTGCCGATGAACGTGGACTGCATTTTTTATTTTTTTATTTCATTTCTTCCCTCGATTATTTCACAATCATTTCATTTCCATGATTTCATATTGTTTCACTCTTTCTTTCTTTCATTATTATTTTTTGTTTTTGTTCATTTTAGGTTATGTTCATTTTTCATTCTTTCCCTTTCCAGTCTTTTTATCGCTTTTTTTTAACGGTAAACCAAGAGACAAAGTAACAAAATACTCAAAGTTTATGTTTGAAGTGCAAACAATGGTATATCTTACATCCTTTACCCCATGTAAGAAGATCTAAAGATATCTAGAATGTTTCAATGGCAAATTGTGTAATCTCGTCTTTAGCCCTGCATATTTCCTGGTTAGCGATTATATTATATTTTATATCAAAACAGAATTACACGATATTTCTCGTTAGATTAGGACTTTGAAGAAAAAACTGGCCCGTAAAAAAAACTTTTACATAAACAGCTTCTCCAATCAAAATCTAAAATCATTTATCAGTAAAATTAACATCTTAAGTGAGAAAAATCCTTGTAGGAGCCAGCCGGTATTCATCTTCTTAGCTTTTGTAATTTCTCGTAAACAATAAAAGACAACAAAGGCTTCAAGGACGAAAGAGCAGCAAGTGCGAAGAAGCGGAAAGACAATGCGCAGCGAAATRTCATGAAACATCTAAACTGACATACTACATTGAAATCGCTGTACATGATCACGTGATATTTTCCTGTTTGGCTTATTTCATAGAATAAACTTATATTTTGCTTTCAAAAACGGGAAATTCATTTTGAATAGGATTATTAAATACATATTGCCTAATATATCTGCCAAAACGTGGAATTTCGCTCATCTAAAAGATAGTTTATAGAAATTCACAAGGTTCTGAAAACCGTCGTAAGAATGCCCAAAGTAGTCACGTGACCATGTCGGCTGTGTATTTTTACATTTAGCGTTTGGAGTGACACGAGGCTCTGCCAGTCAATGTCGACCGCGGGCAGTTCTTTTTAATAACGACCAATTGTGAGTCTTTCAAACTTCCATACAAACACATTAACACCGTAACAATTAACACTGCACTTGTTCTTGTTGGTGTGACGAATCTGGGAAAATGTGCTGTCCTAGTAAACTCACGATTTTTGTTATTTTTCTTCATGTAGGCGCTGGAACGGCCATATGGAACAGGCCCCTATTACCAATCGTGTTTCTTCTCATAGCATGCTTTCTACACAACAAAACATAGTCGTTAGCTCGCCCTTTCCTGGACTTCAGCAGTCGCAAGAGAAGCTGCCACCGGCCTATGAAGAAGCTCATCTGGCCGTACAAAACCTTGATGGAGAAAAGTTAGCCATTTATCGCCATCCTCTGTTCCCATTGCTAGCAATGTTGCTCGAAAAGTGTGAACTCGCTACTCAAACTAACGAATGCCCCACTTCTGCTACGTTTGACAACGACATTAAGAATTATATAATGCAGCACAACAGGGACGGAAAGCCATTCTTTACCGATGACCAAGAGCTGGATAATTTGGTAAGTACAAGTGATCAAAATACCTGTTCATTTCAAGAACATCAGAACATAACTGGTTTTAAGTTATGCTGTGTCCGCTTCTGCATGATTCAGCTTTGTTTATAGTTTTGATCTATGCAAACTGCTTGGTTGGATGATCAAAAGGCACCCTGATCTGTAGTCATTTCCGAAACCCGTCATTCAAATTACTTTTGATAGTTACTCTTACGAAAAGTAGGAAAGTGTTTTTAACATGCGAACGTGAGGGTTGTTGTTTGACTTTAGTGTTCTCGTTCTCTCGCGTCTCAAGTGTTAAAAATATCTTTTTCGATGACATTTTACATCAACTCTTACCAAAAATACGTATGAATTCGTCGTGTGAATAGAAACACATCAGAATAGTAAAAAAGATGTATTTTTGTGACTGTTGATGTTGTTCTTGCTCATAAAGAGTTCGACAATTCAGCAGTTTCTTCCAAGAGACACAAACACATAAAATACACTCACTCATTTGAGTACATTTGACTTGATTTTTTACATTCTCTGTTTGGATGAAAAGCATTTGACAGTAAAATCATTAATAAGTTGTTAATTTGTATTTTATTTCTAACTCTTCGATGAATCATGCTTCTTTGTCCTGAAAATTTGCATACTAAAAATAACAATAGCCATGATGTATAGCACCAACTGAAATACTTCTAAATGGTAAGCAATTGCACATTTGCTCGACAGGTCAGCTTATTCAAAACCCAGACATAATAGAGGAGGTTCAGTGTCTTTTCCATTGTTTTTTCTTTGTGTGCGATAAGTTCTAGATCAACCTTTCAAATCATTGGAGGAACTAGTGTCAAAAATCACTCAGAAAGTATGAAACAACAAATTTTGAAAGGCTATGTTATTATTAGATTACCTCCCCAAAGCCTAATCAATAGATTACCRATGAAATAATTTTAATTTGTTTTTTTTTTCATATTGCATTTTTCAGCTGTTCAAAATATTTCACAAGCTTATGAATGTCTAGTTTAGTTTTTCCATTTTTTTTAACAAAAAATATAATATTTAAGATCCATAGAAAAATAAACTTGATATTTTAAAGGTAGATAAAAAACTACATATTATAATGAAGGAAGTTTCAATACTCTGACAACGAAAGTATTGTGTTTCACAGTGAATCAATACCACCTAAACCAACGATAAAGCAGCTTTACAAATATTACCAAGGTCCTTTGCTAGTAGAATATCATTAAGTTTAGATAATTTGATGTTTTTCATTGCACCTTAAACTTCTAGCACATTTCTTGGTACAATTATAACCAGAGGAGTGATACCCAGTGAGTACCAGYTTAAATATTACCTGTATAAGACCACTATTCACAGAGCATCTGAATTTGGCTTCAAAAGACTAGTTTAAATGATAACACTTACAATCGTACTGTCCACATGCTTATTCTATTATATTTCCAGATAATTTTATTGATTTTAGATAGGTCAAGGTCTTTTTTGTCAATTAAACTGATATGGAAAGCACAATATGTCATGTTAAAATAATCAGGAAAAAGGGTTCACTTGTGACAGTGACTCATAGTCTGCTCTGTGGTGTCTGTGTTGAATATCATAAATTATTAATAAACTTTGCAAGAAAATCCATTAACAAGAATACTTTCTGTACATCCTTTTAAACAATCTCATTTTTTTTCTCAATTTTTGCTTTACATATATTTTCATTATTGAAGTGATCAGGGGAAGGTTTTCATGTTTGGAGCTATTACTAGTCCATAGACTAGTTGGGCCCTTTAGGGMAAAAAATAAGAATTAGACTGCTGAAATGTTTTTCTGACCTCACTCACTWAACCTTGAAATTGTAATTACCATCATTATTTTAGTTTAGTGAACATATTGGCATTTATCTATTGAAAATTTGTGTATAACAGCTGCTCAAGTGAATTGGGAATGTTTTAAAGTGTATAACGATATGGTTTCCTTGTTCTTCACTGACAGACAGAAATACAGTCTTGATAAGAAATACATTAGCCTCCCCTACAGGGAACTGTACTTCACAAGGGAGGGGGAGGTGGGGAAGGTTAGGACATACATTTGCTTGGCAAAGATTTTCAATGGAGAAAGACCAATAAATCTTTCCTTTTTGAGGGTAACTTCTAAAAGAAGCTAAATTAATTAGTATTTTTGTCTATCTTATTTTTCTTTAGATTGTCAAAGCTATTCAAGTATTCCGTATTCACCTTTTGGAGTTAGAAAAAGTTAATGAACTTTGTAAGGATTTCTGCCAACGTTACATTGCTTGTCTGAAAGGAAAAATGCAAAGTGATAATCTCCTAAGAAGTCCTCTGTCATCAACTGCATCATTTTCATCACCTACACTTGGTGGAGTGGCGCAAACTGTACAACAGCTTCCAACTTCACCACCACAACAGTTATTCATTCAACAACAACAACAACAACAACTCACAGAACAACAAGTTACGTATTTCACTCCTGCTGCTAATCCATGCTCAGTAGCCATGGCAACACCACCTAGTGGCAGCGTCATTACCCCACCAGTCCAACAACAAGTTGCAACAAGTACAACTTATGTCCAACAACAGCAGGCACCAGCAGTAGTCGTTTCCTCAACACCACAGACCTTTGTGTTGACACAGATTCCACCAACACAGTTTACAACACCATCGTCAACAGTTACAACTACTGCTGCTGCAGCAGCATCACCAACCACTCCAACCAGCTCAATGAGTGCTGGGTCACCATTAGAGATAGCTGTACCTGTGCCTATCCCATTGCCRACACTTGATCTGGACTCGCCAACTGAAACCCCAGAGAAGAAAAAGGCCAAGAGAGGTGTATTACCGAAACAGGCAACCAACATCATGAAGACCTGGCTTTTTTCCCATTCTATGGTTAGTAACTAATATTAGAAGAAATACTGTCCCCACACACTAAGCCATATCTAAATGATGCTATTGACTGATTATTGATTTTCATTTTTCAGCATCCATATCCTACAGAAGATGAAAAGAGAGCCATAGCAGCGCAAACAGATTTGACTATTCTACAAGTGAACAATTGGTGAGATTTAACAATGTGTTTATAGTGAAGTATTTACTTGCATTATTGGTATTTAATAATATCTATCTTTTACAATCTGTATTCAAGTTTCTGTATTATTTTTAATCAAAAATACTTGAATTTTTTATGCTTATTTTCACWTATTTTTGTAAGGTTTATCAAYGCAAGGAGACGTATCTTGCAACCAATACTTGATGCYGGCAATCCTGATGCTCATAAGACCAAGAAGTCAAAAATCCAAAGTCGTCCTGCGCAGAGGTTTTGGCCAGAGTCTTTAGTTCCTTCACAGGCAGTGGGTACCATCCCAATTGCACCTAACCTTCTTGCTGGTCAACAGGGCATTCCTCCTAACTCTGTCCAGATACAAACCCTACCATCTGGAACTGGCAGTATTGCAGTTCCTACATTAGTAAACTCTGGAGGGACCATCCTGTCTGGTACTGTCCAGTTACCACCCAACATCACCCTTCAACARGGTAGTAATATAGTGATTGTAACGCTACCTGCAAATGCAAGTACAGTATACACAATTAGYACAACAAGCACACCAAGCACACCTTCTGTCCAGCCAACCATGGCCACATCATCTGTTACATCAAATATTGAAACTTCAACTGCAGAGAATCTTATTCTGACGAGTATACAGCAAGCTAGCCCTAATATCCATGGATCCCCACTACCGACCATGGTACAGAATGGAAATATCATGCGGGGAGAGTATCAGTTAGTTGGCTCACCAAATCAGCTCACAACAACATCCACCATTGCAGCAGCCACTGATAATCTTGTCCAGACGTTAACAATGGAAAATGCTGATGTTTCATCAGCAGTTGTGAATTAAGTATGTTTTACATGACATAAACCATAGGCTATCTTAAAATGGTGTGATTGTGGACATAGAAATTCATTGCCTTTTTGTTTCTCTTATATTTCATTGAAATTTCATGTTTTAAAAGAGTATGTTAAATTTGTAGTACAATGTAATTCATCAAAGAAAAGTTTTTGCTGGAAAGATCCTATTGTGTCTAGAAGGTGAATGCTGCTCAAGCAAAATCCAACATATATACAAATTTACATGAACTTTTAACTTGGTTTCCTTACTCAAAATATAGTTGATTTGACATAAAATACTCCTTTAAAAAAATACTCTAGATTTATMAAATATTTTGAGGAAATAATTGTGATGAATTTTTATGTCCAACAATGTAAATGAAGTTACAAAACAGTTTCCTGAAGTTTGTAAATACTAAACTTCAATATAACTTTTTTAATACAGTATTCATTTAATGTTTTTTGTTTACCTTTCCTCTCAGTATAGAGCTTTTRTGTATTTTGTACTTTTCGAAGTGCCAAACAATCTGTGCTCAAAAGTCACAAAAGTTTCCCTTTTGTTTTACAGTAACTTTGYCTGTGTTTACTCTCTTCAGTTTGGAAACTRTTTTGTACTTTCATCCATTTTTGTTTWGTCACTAATCATTGTTGGCTCCTTCAGTGTTTTTTACAGATTTTAAAGAGGAAAATGTCTTTAACAGGTATTTTTACTTGAGTTTTAGTATTTCCAAGGTTGTTTTTATCAAATAGAATCTAGAAATAACCTTGTTSTGTTAGTTAACTCTTTGATGATTTTCTAAATTATATGCTGGCTGTGCCTAAGTTAAGTGGGAATTGCTGTGCAGACATTTTCCCATCCCATTATTTCCATTCCTATTGTTCAGTCAGTGAGAATTCTGCCTCCCCCTGGACTCTATGGCTTAAACTTAACGATCAAAAGACATGTATATGACTTTCTTAGAGTTGGAGGGTTTTGGTTTAAAGATTGATTCATATGTATTGTTCATAGAAAAGGAACTACCRTAATACTATCACTGCTCTCATGTTGTTTACGTTCCAAGTGAAAAAGTACAATTGCTATAGAATCATACAAATACAGTGTACGCAATAGAGAGAATAGAAGAAGAGAGTTTAATTAATGTAAAAAACTCATGTTACTATTGCATGTTGCTCTTGTACAAGTACTTATGTACATGRCAGGATGATACACCTTGTAAAAATGTTGTCAGGTTTAAAAAGGTTGCATGATCAAAGAACAAATGTTAGGATGGGAGAGCAAACAATAAGTTTAATATCACGATTACAGCAGTATTTCATTTCCCAAAGACTGTCTACACTAAATAATTATAACCTCTATGTTGATAAAGTTCATGCTTAGACAAAGATGATTCAAAATTTTGATTACTAGAACTCCCCATTGATATCAACTACAAACCTGACAATGTTTTGCAATTATGTTTAAAACACTAGAYTAAAAGGGTAGATCCACTGAACTATTGCATTTTTAACTGCACTGTGATATAATTACATCACAGCAAAACATTCTATTATTTGAACACTAAGGATTCTAGTTGCTAGAGAAGAACAATTACTGCAAATCATATATGAGCAATCATGTGTGTCAGGACTAGATTAATAGTTAATAGTACCAAATTTGCACAGTTTCTGAGCATATATTCCCACTGTTAACATGCTGTGATGTCATTATGTGATAGGGCAATTGTTCTGTTAAAACAATCAARAAGACTATGAAWCAGACAAAAKTCCCYGCAGGGGGGARGGGATGGGAATGGATGTTCACAGGCTAAAGTTGCTGAAGTTGTCATCTTGATTCCTAATATGGAAACCCACTTTTTAATTGTTCTGAAAGCAGTCAGACTTTACTCTTGATTGCAAAAACGTTGTCATAGAGAAATAGACYTTTTGTGGTTTACAGAGAAAGGATTATAATCAGCCACAGTGATCTACTTGCGTCGTTGTAATGCATTCCTCTGAACGTAAGTAAAAATGCTCTATTTCCGTATGGCAACATTTTTACAATTGATAATACGATGATTGCTTAGTTTCATAGCGTGGGTTGTGTATATTATATGTTGTGTATTATAACCAAAAAGAGATATAGACATGTGGAAATATCAAATATTAACCACACGATGTATATATAACCAAGTATTAACTGCTACTAATCATTTTAAATTAAAATAATATCAATAAACATTTTTATAATAGTCAGTTTATTTCAGCAGTTTTTATAGATATCAAATATTCCAAGATCATGTAATAAATAGATGCTGCTTGTACTTATCAGGCATCTAAACATTGTTGGTAGTTGATTTAACGGGAAATCATCATTTATCATAATGATAAATCTATTCACTACACTTGCATTCACCAAACCCACGGATTAACATAAAGCTAGAATTCTGATTGGCTATTGAACTATGTTTGGACAAGGTCGAAAAAAAGCCAAAAAAGAGATTTTTTTACATTTTTCCCTACAGTTTGTGGATACTAATAAAACAATAAGACAATTCTGTGAACTACAAGTTAATAGTCCGTTCGGATGAGTATGCCCTTATGGTCGTAGTCCACTCGGTCGACCTCGTGGTTCAATTATTGCGCATTATTCCATCTTTGGATCTTATGTCTGAAAGGAAGCGCGTATGAACATTTACTTACTATGCACTTGTCCGTTCGCTACCGAGGCAACAATAACCAATTTACCACCACCCCCTGCTTCGCAATTCTTTACCCCCCCTGATGTTCAGTGTAAGAACCATAGTTAATTTACGTCATAAGCCGTTGTTGATTAAAACTGTTCTTGTCTGTCACGCAAAGTTGCTTGGATTGCACACACTTGCTTCATCAGCTTTTAGATATTGTTTGACCTTTTTGATTATCGACCAATAAAAGAACAGGTCAGGACCACCAAAATTCAGGTTGTTTCCGAGTATGGTACGCATGAAAACGCCGTTACACAGAAGGTGGGTTACGGTAAAGTGRTTTAGTCCATGAATTACCTCGACGGGGTAGGTGCAAAGATCATGTAATATTTTGTTTGACAATACTATTTCGGTGGTGTCCTACTACTACTAACAGTCGTTTTACAGTAAAAACAACGAAGTTTGTAGTATTTATCCGTTAGGGTTCCTTGCAGGACGCTAGAAGACATTATCTATCTTTTTCAGCGTTGTATGCATTTCATTGTAAAATCAAATTCGCAACTTTTGAACTTAAGTTTGAGGTTTGTAACACTGTATTTCTTATAAATTCGTGGTTTTCATTTCCGACCAACAACATTTTAGAAATGCTTTTTTAAAGATCGTTTTCGCACTCAGGAAAGACATATATAAACGATATAAGTCAGAAATTATTCTTGCACTTTAGACTGATGCCATAAGTCATTATGTGTTCTCTATTCGAGTTCGGAATGTCACCCCAACTAGCGACTTGGGGACTTTAACAGACATTTCCGGTTGTTCATATTCTTTGAAAAAAATATATATTTGGTCCAAACACGTAATAAAACTAGGTTTAACTCTTTGAAAAAAACTATTTCACAAACAACAATATATATTACAACATAAAAACCTCTGCAAACTATCAAATTGTGCAAGGTTTCCCGTACGGTTCGACAATAGTGGTGTAATATTTCAAATGTGATTCAACAGGACACGAAAAAATTTCAGTAGTCAATTAAATTGATGTATTTCCGACATGAAAATAGGTATAACTTTCAACAACAATTTTATTCTTATTCATATTTTTATTGTTTCCTGAGTGTTTCTMTTTCATTTGTATAACTAGCGAGAAATTGCTCAACAGTTGTGTGACAATTTGTAAGAGGAGAATAAAAAGATCAAATTTAATTTTAGGAGATTTTCCCCAAGCGATATTTCCTGTGACTTGTGTGACCCGTCGACTRGTAYACCACAGTTTATCGACCATTCTCACTAACAAATCGAGCCTCTTTTCAGCGAATTCGTTGAATAATTTATGAGGTGAATATTAAATTCATTTTCGCAGACAATACTTTCCTCACATGACCAATTTTCAGCAAGAACACAAACAAATTTTCGGAGGGCAACTAGTWGCACAAGACGGGCCGGGAATTTGTACCACGCAGGGAATTCCGTTCTTATGGAAAATTTTCTATCTTCCAGAACGGAGAGCGTCCACAAACCAACTGCTTTGAAGTGCTGTGGAGGAGATGAAACGACTTCAATGGACAGCACAAAAGCATCGATGCTCGAATCCGGCGAGTACGTGGATCAATTGAGCTTCTGGCAAAGGCCAAGACAACGAGTAGATTTAGAATTTGTCGATGTCAGCTATCGGGTTAAACTCGGGAGAAATGGTAAGGGCTTCTCAAAGTATTATTTTCTATCCGTGAATTTAATTATTGTCTAATTCATGGTTGGATTGTTGTTGAGGTTAAAGCGAGTTTGTACCTGTTCTATGTCAACCGCGTAATACTGTAAAAATATTCCGAGTTTCTTATTGCGAAAATATCAGAATAAGCATTTATTAGCTAAAGTTTAATTGTATTTCAAGATATCAGAGAACGGTGAATCTTGTACAATACGGAGAGTCTTGAAACAACGTGGTCCTTTCGATATTTGAATATGTTTTAGACAGAAAAACGACACGCAAGACTATTCCACGCGTTGTCGCTTATAAATGTTGTTCCTATAAACATGGAACTTTCTCTGTGTGATAAAAGTGTTCTTTCATAACGAGCAAAGAAAGTTAATCACTTAGTGGAAGGTAGAACTGAAACACTTGAAATTGAAAGGAATACGTTGTTTTGATAAGCGGCCATCTATGGAAGAAAGTGGGAAAGCGAAAGTGGAGTTTGTATCACAATCGATGTTTTAAAGGCAATATTACCCCATCGACGGGCATGGGATTTTATCTCTAGTCTGCTGAATGTCTTTAGCTTTCAGAGTCTTTAGAAATAAATAAAAAAGGATAATAAACGGACGCAAAGTATGAACATGAATTATTTTGTTATCTAAGGAGGGTTTCGCATTATTTCGTTTCAACCTGCTTCAGTTCAGTGTTGAATGATTTTGCAGTTTGCGGTTTATTTTTTCAGGATAATATTCACAATTAAACTGAATTGCAATATTGTTATAATATGAACACATTGCTGGCTTCCTCACTTTCACTAATCCATATGGCTCTTTGCTATATTGTGGAGATTTTGCTACAGCTCAGCAGCTTGGAAGCTGGCCAGTGAAACGTTTTATTCCTAATTTAAGCTTACTAGTATTTTCACAATAACAAATTACAGAGATAAAAATATTTTAAAAAAGCGTGAATTCTCGGAAGGTTTCTGCATTTGTTGACAAGAGAAATCCAAAGTCAACCCAGAGCGTTTGTCCACTGCAAACCGAGTTATGGTAACACATAAAAGGCACCGAGCTAAGTATCCTCAGTGCTTTGACTAACTCTAAATTGATAAGATCTACATTATTTGTTAAACATGTTAAAGTTAAGAATTCAGTTAGGCTTCGAAAGTCAATTAAAATCTGAAAAAATTCGTAAGTGCGAACATGAAATTGCTTTGCAAATAAACTCCGTCATCACCCAAAGATGCCTGATTGAGGTGTCGAATTTGCAATTTGCAACACGCTATATACGGACTGTAAAAAAAGTCAGCACTTATCGTTTGAATATTTTTATTGGAATACTTTCAATGCAGAATACACTCACTTACTTTCAAATACCATTATAATCTGTCTAGCTACATCTCGATTTCAATAGGATTGATTAGTCCAGCGTACATAATGTACATTATTGAAAAGCTTTTTATATAAAGACGAAATGACGAAATATAAACGGGTACAGACCCAACATAACCTCCTAAAAACAACATAACCCGGACTCCCTAGAGAGAGCTAGCAGTTTATAAACCTACTTTGCCCTGTATTACTTTCGGCATACACACATAAAGTTTTAGCATTTACTCCCGCAAAGGACTTTCTTTCTTTTCTAGATTTAATGCTGTTCTGAACGCTGCTTAAACGACAAAAGAATTGCTTTAATAATTTGACAATTGCAGATACATTTGGTTGATTACACAAATTGAATGGTTCAATAAAGAAGGTGTTACGTAATAGTTAATATAACGACTATGTAGTTATATTAAACATTTATCATTATTTAATAGTTTTACAAAGAAAAAATAATAAGTTATTTCTTGCTGTGAAATACTTAGATAACAACGACCAAGTTTGACCTTGGATGGCAGTGTGATTAGCACACATGCGATAAGACCAAAGTCCAATGAATATTTCAATGCTTTTACCCTCTCCTCCCCCCTTGGGAAGTCATTCTTGCTCCCTGACCTCCCCGACAGGAAGCTCTAAAGACAAGAAACGATCAAAACACATATTTTATAGGGTGTTTTTTACAGCGTTTTGCATCCTTTTTTATTTTTAATACTTGTTGAGATTACCTACTTTACATTTGCTCGGCTGGCAATTTGCATTTATAATTATTTTATGAAAAGCTGTCGTGTTAGGTTTTGTGTGGCAAAGTGAAAATTATCACGGTTGCCCCTGCGTACGAACAAAACCCACGAAAAAATGATAACCAGTCATCTGTCTCTTTTAAGATTCTCTCTCGAGATTATAGTCTCGCGGGCAGTCATTATCGCAGTGTATTATTATTGTCAGAATTTACGAGAAGAAGAAATATTAAAGAGCTTCTAGAATCTGATATATGTGTGGTTTCCARGGCTTTGTATTTTCTGACTTTGCTGTATGTCTTTTGATCTGACATGGCCTTTTTTCGCTTTTGTTTCTAGCTCGCGTTGTTYGCCATTTAAGTTTTCAGACATACGCACGTTTCTCCCTTTTGTATTCCCGAGYAGCAGGTGTACGTACTCCTTTTTCAGCCGTTGACGCCATCTTTGCTGTGCCTTYTTCTTTTTACTTTGTTACCACAAAGGTTCACTTTCTTTCTTGTAGTTGTGATCACGTATTGATGTATTTTTTTAGACTATAAAGAAATCATYAAAGAAGTGTCAGGGCAGTTTACCAGTGGACAACTTGTGGGAGTACTTGGCCCTTCAGGTAACGAGACTTATAACGGCCTTTGTGGGTATTGATGTTGATGGAGATGATTGATTTTGATGATGATATCTTGATGATGAGTATRGTGATGATTGTGACAATGAAGGTGATGATAATAGATTGTTGTAATCGATTGGTTTCAATAATTCATGTGTCAATRTATATTATATTATTTCAGGTGCTGGAAAATCGACGCTAATAAACATACTAGCAGGATACAGGTAAGATTACGTCGTCATGCCCCGGTGCTAACGATTCTGTACTCAATGATAATTAACGCCATATCTGTGTGAAAAATGTCAGTTTTTTTTRATAATGTAAATGTCCATTACATGTGTTTTTTGATATCCATCGATTTAGGAAAAATAAATAAATAAATAAATCGACTTTATTTTACGAGGGTAACACGTGACAGTAAAGAACTGATGAACTTGTGGCCCTCACACTCACACTCACTACCTCTACATTAATTATTTTAGCACACAACACTCCTCACATGTTGATTTTTACTGAGGGAGGAAAACCGGAGGACCCGGAGAAAAACCCTGATGTTCTGCGGAAAGAGCGAAGACACGTAGCACTGATACTCGCGGCGATCATATTATTTCATTTACATCATGATGATTTCGATTACTAATGATTCTACTGATCGAGAGATTCTTGATTGGTACCTTAGTTACCAAAGATGTGGCGATATTATAGACTTTTATCTACTTTTTTATGTCCCATATTTGTTTTTTTTTCTCAACACGTGATATCCTTGCCCCTCCCAGGAATGCACCGCATGTCGTTGTTGTGCACTTATTAAACAGTAATCAACCGTAGCCTTGTCTTAATCTACGATGTAATTTTCTATTTCCAGAACCAAGTTTGCCGATGGTTTAATAACTGTCAATGGAGCCGAAAGGAATCTTCGTCAGTTCCGTAAGATGTCATGTTATATCATGCAGGATGACGTTCTCTTGCCTCATCTCACGGTCATGGAATCAATGATGGTAAGTCATTAACTGGACTTAAAGTGTTATATGATAGTGYTAGTGACAGGTCTTCAAGCCGGGGTTATGTATCATTAGGGGTGAACGTCGAAAGGGGTGCGGTCGCAATGCTATCTGTACATGACGTTGCTGGATAAAAAGCATAGTAGTTCTACTGAGGAGTTTTAAGTTTTGAGGGGTGTTCAAGTTCGAGTGCTTACTTCACCAACCTTCTYATTCAACAGGTATCAGCAAATCTACACTTGAAAGAAAGCATGCCTTTAGAAGATAAAGAGAGAGTGGTGAGTATAACACGTCGATGAACGACTTTCAGGATTGGTTTGACAGTGTTTCTGCTGTATATATAATGTGTTMATTAATTGGTACATTTTTGTTTTAGATCGATGAGATTCTTCTCAACCTCGGGCTTGAGAGTACCGCTGACACAAGGCTGAGCGAGGTTTCTGGTGGTCAAAGAAAACGTGTTGCTATTGCATTAGAACTTGTTAACAACCCACCGCTGATATTCCTGGACGAACCTACCAGGTAGGGAACCCATTATTGGTATTTATACGACTCGCAATGTTTGTTACCGCATCCAGTCTTGTTGCGGCTGAGCTCACGAAATTCTCAAAACAGTGATGATTGTAATAATCACATAATTTTTCTTTGTAGTGGTCTGGACAGTTCTTCCGCATACCAGTGCATATCATTGATGCGAACCTTGGCTCATGGTGGCCGTACTGTAGTGTGTACCATCCATCAACCAAGCGCCAAGCTCTTTGAAATGTTTGACAAGGTATTAGATTTTTCAATGAAAATTTGAACGTCACCTTTCTCGTGTGATGAAATTTAATGTTGAAAATGTTAAAAAACGCCCAAGATTAATGGAGAAGTTAGAACGACCTCGGCTGACATCGGCTGATATTATTCCACATACTTTTTTACGGTGTTAAATTTATCTTTTTACATAACTGTGACATCAAGTGAAGGGCGTTGGCGTTTGTGGTGTTAGTTGAAGTAGTTTAATTGYTATTTTATTTCCAGCTGTATATCCTGGCTAATGGAAATTGTTTATACGAGGGACCAGTAGCCGGTCTTGTCCCACATGTGTCAGAACAAGGACTCGAATGTCCCAAGTACCACAATCCTGCTGATTTCAGTAAGTATCTTTCGCTAAAGACAGCTCTGGAATAAGTCACTGATCATTGAATCTATATAATACTCGCAAGAGAACATGGAAATTATCTTTAAGCTTTATTCACATTACATGTAATCGTCTATTATTATTTCCAGTAATCGAGGTTGCGTCAGGAGAGTATGGYGACAAAGTCATCCCTGAACTAATCAAATCATGGCGARTTCGTGTCGAGGAGTCACGCAGAAAGAAAAGTCTTACTTGTAATGAARTTAACGTTAATAATCAGAGTAACGGCAAGGATTCCATGGTCCAAGTTCTTCCTGATTTGTCCACCAAGACAAGTACAGATAGCATTGGACTTATTGAAGCAGTCAGCCAGACCACGCAGGTCAGCACTAGGGTGCAAAACGTACCCGAGGGAGGGGAGGGGGAGATTTGTTGTTGTATCTAAAAGGGATAAAGCTGAATCTAGATTTTAAGTTTAGACTGAGCCTAACTGGAATTTTTTTTGGCTGACAAGCTATAACTTAACACATCCCTTAACGCCAATGTACAATTTCAGAGCGCGTCAGTGGGGTGATGTGGTTCGCTAGTCGGGGGCTGGGGTTTGCTTAATCAGGCAGAGGTGTGCGAGCTTATATTCATATGATTTTTCAACAGTTYGTAGTCCTATTCAAGCGAGCAGTCCAGTCCATTCTTCGCGATCGCGTGTTTACTCATCTCAGGGTCATCTCTATAGCAGCTGTAGGTTTGCTAATTGGCTTGCTCTATCTGGGCATTGGTAACGATGGCAACAAGGTTTTTAATAACACTGGATGCCTGTTCTTCTCGCTTTTATTTCTAATGTTCACCTCACTTATGCCTACAGTYCTTACATGTGAGTAATAAACGATTCTTAATGACTGTCGAGTATTATAACTAACACGGCCTATTTCGRCCTAATCTATGTTATCAAGAGGGCGAAATTGTCGAAGCTAAGACCAAAGCGGATATATTAGGTCACCATGCTTCCTTTCGGTCTTACCTTTGATGATGTGGCCTTTTTTAACCCCGCAAGCGTTTTTTCAATTCTAAAGGTGTTTCCTTTCTAACTTCTGTTTCATATTATTGGAATTGTTTTCAGTTCCGATGGAGAAACTTGTTTTCATCAGAGAACATCTCAACAATTGGTATAGTTTGAAATCTTACTACTTGGCCAAAACAATGGCAGATGTACCATTCCAGGTAATTCTGATCTTTGTCATATATCATCATCATCATCATCATATCATTATTGTCATTCGTAAWTACCATCACCRAACAAGGTGTTGTTAGTGAGGTYTATCTCATGTTTATCTAGTAGCCCGGCGGATCCCAAAAATGCTGTAGTCGATGAGGAATGAAGCACGAAMCCATGTGGGATTGGCTAGGAATAAAAGCAGGAGCATGCGCAATCGTACTTTAAATCCTCCTAATTCRACGGAATGGGGAAGGGGGGAGGTACAAGGGAATGCATAAAGGAATATAGTACTAATATTGTAACTATATGTACACTTTATTATCTTTATAGGTTTTATTCCCGTTGATTTACTGCACAATAGTATACTTCATGACAGAACAACCTCAAGAAGGATTGCGTTACACACAGTTCGTTGCTATTACRATATTAACATGTCTTGTTGCTCAGTCCATTGGGTTACTTATTGGTACAGTAGCGCCCAGTCTACCGGTAAGTGACACTCACTTGACATTAACTTCTTTCCCCAGGCAAGGGATAGGAGCTTGGGGACGAGGCTAGTAGACGACAAGTGAATTGTGCGTAAAAGGAATCAGAAAATTATCAATTTTGCACTAGCAGTAATTATTGTAATGACGTAATGAATATTGTATAATTATGTAATTATTTCACTGGAAATACTCTTTATGAACCCTCGAAGAATAATCACTCTCGGTGGGTGAAAAAGTGCAAAATAAGACAATTTAATTTTAGGGATCTAGACAAGATGTTGATGTAATAATGTTTTGTTTCAGACGGCYGTATATGTTGCTCCAGTAACAGGAATCCCCGTTCTTCTGTTCAGCGGATTCTTTGTGAACTTTGATACTATTCCAAATTACATGCAGTGGTTAACTTACGTGTCGTACGCACGGTATAGCTGGGAAGGGACAGTAGTTGCTATATATGGTAATGACAGAGGACCTTTAGCTTGTGACAAAGAACGATGTATATTTAAAAACAGTAAAGACGTTATGGACGCCATGGACGTTGAAGAAAGCGCCTTTTAYCTTAAAGGAGCTAAAATATATTTTGATTGCATTGTGTTGGCCTTGTTTTTTGTGGCTCTTCGACTTGCGGCATACTTGGTATTAAGATATAAAGTCAAGCATGATAATTAAATGGAAGCACCTTCTGTATTATGTTCCTGTTGCCTTGGTTTAACACCTACTGTATTATGTCCCTATGTTGTACGTTGGCTGTGATCTGATATAAATGATGAAACTATGGATCAATGCAGCTAGAATTATCAAATGATGTCCTACTAGGCTCCTTCATCTCTTGGAAAGTCCCATTAGCGTTCATTAGTTATCATTCTCGCTGGCATATTTTCTTCAGTGGCTTGTTTCGTTTGGCAATTACCCTGCTGCCACATTTAAAAGGTTTTCCTTTTGGTTTTTCTGAGATGYACCAACGAGCTGGACTTTGTTGGTGAGTTTTCTCAAGAACTACAAGTGAAGCAGAGTAACAACCATCGCTCAAGACCCTGTCTCACGTGACTAAACGCCCTTATTTGGTATTTGGTAGGCGTCAGTATTCAGTTCCTGGTATTGTAGTGGTAATGGATGATTAAGAAAAAAAAAACAATAGAAGTAGGAGGAACAATTATGWAAGTTTTAGCCTAAAAAGTTAATTTTATATTTGGGCTGTAAGCATCATTTGATTTACGTTAAAAAAAAGGTTTTGCGTATTTCGACGCTGCTTACAATCGTTGTGTGGAGTGCTTGTATCGCCATGTGATAGCGTAAGCATGTTCAAGAATGGAAGCAGCAATCAAATACTGACTTTCTACCGTGCTTATAGAAACCCAGCTTCGTGTTTATACATGACTGCTCCAGTGTCTTGATGGTGGATGCACGCACTATTAAAGTTTATGTGCGTTAGCTGAACGTTGGATTTTAAACAACATTTTTCAGCAAAATTGAATGTTTAAATCGTTTTAATAATTTGTAAAATAAATCACTGACTAAATAAGATATTCATCTATATTTGAAGGGCTTTTCGATAATATAAACCGACAAAAATAAACCTTGTAAATAAACCTTTTTGGTATAAACGACTCAAGTAAAACCCTTTTTACTCAAGCTACAATCTTGGATACAAAAACTGAATATCACGGGGGTGGGGTGGGAAGATTTCGCACTGTGATCAATTAGATGGTTCTGTATTTTTACCCGAGGTTGTAGAATGCTAAAAAAGGAATACTAGTAAAGGTAATTGAAAAATTTCAACTTCTAAAAAGATTTTAGATTAAAATTTAGTACAATATAGTTAGATAAGTAGGGTTTTTTCTCGATTTTCAGGAATGTAAACATTCATTCTGACATTCTTCGTTCACTTCTCCACTTCCTCATTGTTCCTTTATAGTCTCCTCATCATAACTACCACAAAAACGAAAATATAATTCTTTCTAATTATTAATAGTTGTAAAGCTCGAGTATAATCATGCACCATAATAGATTTATTCATAAAAATTAATTAGATGACAAAAGATAGAATAGCTGCCTGTTAAATTTATATCAGAGATGTTTGAATATGGCTGCCGATATATAAAGCGCCAAAAATGGAGAGTGCGATATTGAACAGTGACAGCTTTGACGCGGCATTAGTGTTACACGAGCAACTCTGATATAAATCATTTGTATGTAGGTGTCAATCCTGGGGATTTTAGACCATTAACATTTCATGAATGTGATTATCGATCCACTGACCAGAATGCGTACGGCAATAACTAAAAATAGATGAGTGATGCTCTATACGTCTTTGAAGACAAAAAACAATCAGGAAAATTAGTAAAATCAGTGACTTAGAGATGGTGAAAGCGAAAAAAAGGGAAAGAAAAATGTTGAAGTTTAGCACAATGTTGTACAAATTATGATGCCATTTTATATTTGTTGTATAATTTAGTTCTTTCATGGACGATGGAAAATCACTCGAATAGCATTATAAGGCAAATTAAGGGAATATTGCGATTTAGTGCTAGATACCATGCGCATTTATATAGTGAAGAAGTGAAAATATGCCTTTTGCGACTTAATTTGAAGAAAAACTAGTTCGACATTCTGTGTCACGGGTTTAACGTTCTTTGACATGCTCTTTCACACAGTTCAACCCAACTCACAACTAATTCCATGTTCTTTTGGTTTTGTTTGTAAGGACCTAAGTCCTTAGTATTTTGTTTTGTTATTATTTGGAGTTTCAGAGGGTCATTTTTGATGAATAAAAATAAAAATTTCAATATATTGTGTGTTTTTAATGGGGGGAGGGGGGGGGGGAACTGCCGGACCCCAACCCCCCTGCGCACGCCAATGTAATAAACACTAGCAGACGTCAGGCCCATAGAAAACATTGTTATACATGCATGAATACTACGTATAAACTATAAGCACTGAATACTACTGTTTCAAAGTCAGTTTCACCACTATTCAAGAGTAACGATTCTATCAAAACTTCTTATTTTCGGAAATCTGAATAGTTTCTGGAAACGACTGAGCTTGTCACAAGAAAAAAACAAAAACAAACTGGAAACAAACTACTTAAGTCAAAGCACAGAATCAGTGACAACAAGTAATGACATTATTTTTTTTGGTTGTGACGCGAATCGTGACAACAATTGTTTGTCGAGTATAAATAATTTTTGCACAAAATACACCTGTATAAATAAACTATGTACATTCTTTAAGTATTCAAATAAACTATGTCAACCTAGACACTGAACGCGACAGCATCAATCGGAACAAATCTCATGATCCGTGAAACATATAGTACTATTTTCTACTAAACATTGTTGATTGGAAACCAAAGTTAGTATAATTCAATACTATTAAGTACGTCATCTCTAAGGATTCTGTATAACTGTACTGAAATGCATCCGGTGATGAGGGTATTTTCCTATAAAATACTATAAAGTGAAACTGCAAACAGTTGCGATCGGTAATCATTTAAAAAACGATCGGACGAGCTTCGAGCTTTTCTTTCTCTTGTAAATCCAACATGTCTTCATCAAGACTGGCACACAGATCATCAAGAATTGCATCCAAGGCCTGAAAAAAGAAAAAAAAAACAATAAATATACAACAAAACTAATTATCAATGTTTTCAACAAATCCCAGCAAGCGTACTCAACAAGGCAAGGGAACAACAGTCAAGCACACTAAGTGTACTATGTAGTCACACATAAATCAGTTATGACCATAACGTTTCAATACGGAGCAGAAACACTTTAAGGCCTTATTACTTGTTTCCCATTCTCCCTTTCGATAATAGCTTTGAACAAGCAACCATTTTGAGCCCCAAAACCCTTTGTTCAGTTAGGCTTCAATTACCATTTCTGCGAAAGTTTCTTGGTGGTATTTCTGYAGCGGTTCATTAGTGACAGTATCATGACTTGTATTGTGGACCATCATGCATTGCTGTAGYAGCACACCACAAATTAACCCTAAAAACACAACAATGTTTAGTGTCTCATAGATTCACCTAAACAACATTACAGCCCTAGTTTCCTATTGGATTACTTGGTAAAGCGTTAGGAACTAGCGGTAAACTAGTGTGAGCTGCGTCGGTGTTCCTCCGACGAAGGATTAACGTCCGAAACGTCAGTAAATTACTTCTCCTACTTTTTTACGGTNGGTGTCAGTAAGTGGTTGGTATGGTGTCAGTAAGTGGTTGGTAAGGTGTCAGTAAGTGGTTGGTAAGGTATCAGTAAGTGGTTGGTAAGGTGTCAGTAAGTGGTTGGTAAGGTGTCAGTAAGTTGTCGGTAAGGTGTCAGTAAGTTGTCGGTAAGGTGTCAGTAAGTGGTTGGTAAGGTGTCAGCAAGTGGTTGTTAAGGTGTCAGCAAGTGGTTGGTAAGGTGTGAGTAAGTTGTCGGTAAGGTGTCAGTAAGTTGTCGGTAAGGTATCAGTAAGTGGTTGTTAAGGTGTCAGCAAGTGGTTGGTAAGGTGTCAGTAAGTGGTTGGTAAGGTGTCAGTAAGTGTTTGTTAAGGTGTCAGTAAGTGTTTGTTAAGGTGTCAGTAAGTGGTTGGTAAGGTGTAAGTAAGTGTTTGTTAAGGTGTCAGTAAGTGGTTGGTAAGGTGTCAGTAGGATGTTGGTAAGGTGTCAGTAAATTGTTGGTAAGATGTCAGTAAGTTGTTGGTTATGATAATAATTCACCTGTATTGTTTGTGTATCTCGGTGTCTGGCAATAACTTCTTTCCAGGCTTCATTGATGACTGGCTGGATCAATTCATTGATAACTTCATCAATTATGTCATCAAGAACTGCTTCATATTTGTAGCCAGCATGTGAACGTATAGCCTRATGAACAGAATTRAACGRAATCTAAATTAGAACTTTGAACAAGATAACAGGACAAGATACATGTTKAAGTTGTAGTATTCTTGTTCAACATAATACATACTCACCACTTGTTTTATCATTGGCTGAATRGTTTCTAGTATAAARTCKTCSAGCCAATCAGCACTTTTAGAGAAGGTTAAATGACTATTTACAAGTGACTTAATAGTTGACTGTACTGTAGCTACAGCCATCTCATTCACTATTTCATTAGAAAGATCTTCACAGAGCTGTATAAGGGGATCTGTTCTTTTTATACTGATTCTAATGAAAAACATGTAGAGCTATATTATTAGCTTTTATTTGAATTTATTACTGTAAACACAAAACTTACAACTTGTCTTGCGAATAGAAAGCACTTGCTGCAATCACATCAAGAAAGAAAGACACATCTTCTTCAAGAATATCAGAACAAATATGGCTTGATAATGGGTACAGAGGGTCATATGGAGACTGCAACATAAAATCCMAATCACAACATCAAGCAACAAGTTAAAAAAAATTAACACMAAATTTTATCTGAAAACTTACAAGAGACTTCTTGTGTGATAAAACCTCTATCAAAACATCTGGGATTAGTTCCTCTTCTAAAATCTCTGTGATAAAGCCTTCAATAAAGACTTTTGCTGAATAAGGTTGTGAAAGAAACTGAAGCTGACAAATGGCAGAATCCTGCAAGCAATGAAATTGAGAAACTGAAGGACGTTGTTTTTTGGTTACAAAATCATAGTAGAATCAGTAGTTTACCTTTCTGACTTTCCAGCCCCTAAAATACTTTTGAATACAAGTGGCTGCCTCATCTTTTGTTAAAAACCTTGTAGACAACAATCAAATCACAACTTAGTAACTTGCACCAGTAATACTATAGTGACTAACAACTTAGAAATGCACTTTAACCTCTACCAAACACATTATACAGCTGTCTTTCCTAATGACAACATTGAAAAACAAACCCATTCTTATTGTCAACTTATAAAGTCATAAACTAACCAATGAAAATGAAGGCAGGGCCACAGATTAGGCCATTGCCATTCATTTTTGCATTATTGTCATCCATTCTAATTACAGATTAGTTGAGCTCAAKTTGGTGGATAACATMATACTCACCTTTTAGTTGCAATTGTACCATAATTACCCATCGGGTACCCTATAGGGTTTTGTATTGGTGGCAGAACAGGTGCATAGCCAACATAAACGGGTACGGGAAATACCCCAGAGGGGTAGGAGTAGGGAATTGCATTATTGGGAGCTATTACAGCACTGCTTTGTACAGGCTGACCATATGATACCACAGGAGCCCCAGATAATACATTAACAAGACTTTGTTGTTGGCTGAWTTGAGGATATGAATTAACTGCATCTTTTTGACTTGTYTTGTAAGGCAATCTTTTGCTGYAAAGAGAAATTTATAAGTTTTTTATTAAATAACCCAATTTCAATACATCACCAATGAAAAAAAGAGTTTCTTGCATAATAGCAGCTGAATAAAAATAATATGTAAAGTTTGTTTGGAGTTTTGGAATCCTGATTCAATAATGAATGCAGCTACCTTGTAAATGCTTCTCTTGTCTTGACAGGGGGGACCACAGTTAATTTACCCCTCTTAAGATCATTGTCATGCTGGAGCTGTAAAGGCCATTCTGGAGGAGTATTCAGCCTAGGTAAGTGGACTTGTTTCCTACCAGTAGTGCCTGATTCAGCTGACCACCGACGTGTAGTTCGTTCATAGCTTTGTCTCTTGTTSTTTGCAGCTAATCTACTGTCATTAAATTAAACTATTACACCATGTAGCTAATTTGTTTGAGCATTAAAAGCAAAAGTTTAATCAAGCTAGGTCAGAAGCACTTTGCTATTATCAAGGTAGGAAATGAACAATGAGTTTTTATTGATGAACCAATTTCGATTGTTATCGATTCATATTTTTTTACTAATCATCAAATTAACAAGTAATTTGTTTATCTAAGGTTTTGTAATACGAACTTACTTGTCGAGAATGGTTCTCTTTGGATCAATCGACATYTTCTAGAAAGTTTAGTAGTTTACCATCGTCGTCCATGACGACACGACAGCTGTCTAATAGTTCAAGACTTTTTTCAAAACTTTATCGWACTTATTAAACCATTCTACAGACATTGKTTAATGCACTCACATGTCTTGTATGAGGTTTCAAGATAACAGCATAATTTTTTGTCCACTTTCTACTTGCAAACATACAGTTTTGTTATTTTTCAGTGCGCATTGTATTATGGGTACTCAAAAGCACAGGTATCCCAAAGTCGAAAACAACAATCCTGAGCATTTCCAATATATCGGGAAGGTGCGGTTGACCGATAATTTTAGTTCCAAAGACTACAATGATAACACGCGTACTAGCGCAATAAATTTAACTAGATTAAGTAAACCAACAACCATAAAATTCACATTTTTTGAAAATTTTTAATATTTGCCCTTCTCAAAGCGGACAGGAGTCCCGATAATGAAAAGGCTGCGACTTGTTCATTGTGATATAACTTCCTCTATCTCTACACACTGCCAATCTCATTAGCGTCTTGTAGTTGAAAAGAGATACAGACARCAAAGTCATTTTAATAAAACTGTTTTTAAAATTTTGCAACTTCGTCTTTGAAAACTCTTGTAAAAATGAAAACATGTTGTGCAAATCAGTGACTTTTTTGTTCCCACTGTCTTTGTCTTTACAACTACAAAACGGTAATGAATTGACTCTGTCAACCAAACGTTTTCTTATCATCATAGATGCAAAAATGTATCGATACACAAGATTTTTGGATTCTGTAMAGATTACATCTTTCTGTGAACAAAATGACCTCCTGGACAAAAGGAATTGTACGACTATCGCATGTATCAGCCATTTTCTTGATAGCGTTCGTTTCCAGGCTTTTTGTTGTTGTTTTTTTTACGTTACAAGTCAACCAAACTACTATTTCCTGGAAAACATGAAAATGTCACTTTGTAGCTGTTTTTATTATTTCGTTTTCACTTCTTTCGTTTTCTGCTTTTCTTCTTCGATGGTGATCTTGATCTTGAACGTGAACGTCGTTTACGCGAGCTTTTCTTTGGAGAWGCGCTTCGGGATCTCGACCTTGACCGTCGCTTTCGTTGTGATTTCGGCGAACGACTTCGTGAACGAGATCGGGATTTCCGACGACTTTTCGACGAGCTYCTCGAACGTGAACGTGAATGACGTTGTCGCGATGATGAACTTGACGGAGAAGGACTTCTGGAATCGTAACCTTTAAGAGACTAAAACAAGAGAAGATAGTGTTAAGAGCCATTAAACACGGCAATATAGAAAGAGACTAAYGTATGTATGTACCTGTAGTACTTGTGACGATGATAAATTTGATTGACTTGGAGAAGGAGAACGTGAGTTGCTGGCGGATTTGTCTCGACGTCTCCTACGTGAAGGTGATTTGGAGCGCGATCTTGACTTGCGTGATCTTTTCAGCTTGGGTTCAATAGCCTGTGAACAGAAACAAATAAACATGAGTTTGAATGCAAACAACGTCAATCAATTAATCAATTCATAAGTCAATCGGGCAATCAATTCACCAATCAAGCAATCCATAACGTCAATCAATCCACCAATCAATCAATGCATACATCAATCAGCCGATCACAGCCAATCAATCCATTGGTCAATCAATCAATCCACCAATCAATCAATCCATACGTCAATCACTATTCATAGTTTAAGATGAGTTTAAAATGTCCAAACGAAAAAGCTAACTAACCTCTAATAGTTTAGCTCTGTACTGATTACACTGTTCTTGTATATCCTTGCTGCTTTTGCCACCTTTACGACTTCCTTTCGCCTCAAGTTTCTGCGCGTACTCTGCAACCTTGAGCTCAATTTCCCTTAGCTTCCGTCTTCGCGATTCATCAATTTCAGATATTCGCGACGACTTGTCGTGACCTGATGACGCGTCGTCATGTCKTGTTACCATCTCATCAGMACTAAAAATAACAGAAATGTCTCTCTAGTAAACAACTAAACGGCTTTAAATAATATCTAAGGATAGGCTTTTATCCTTAATAACGAAATTGAAATTAATTGATGGATGAATTGGTGAAAGAAAGAAAGAAAAACTCRGTTCACTTACAGTTGTTTGTGATTACTGGATCCAATGGATTCCTCTGGTTTTTCTATCTCTTCCCAATCAGGTTTGTCCCATTTAGAAGCAATATGAATTCCTAAACCTGTTAAACACAAAAAAGTAAACATAAATAACCGTTCAAACAAATGCTGGTCATTTTGTTTTAKAATTATCAYTCAAGATACAACGATGTGTTACAATACCTTTGGATGGATCTTTACCCACTGAAATGAAAAGAAAAAAAACAGTGTAAATCATAACATTTTGATTAATTTAGATAAGCAAACAAACAAATAAGGCTTCCATCATGAACAATGAAACATCATGAAATATGGTTGACTTCATTTTTTTTAATTTTTATGKGTAATCATGCTTAGAGCGCGAAAGGAAAAATGAAAAATTGCACTTACTAGGGACACCATCTATGTCTTCTTCAGCAAGAGGCATACCATCTAGTGCACTTTCTGCTAAAGGTACACCATCAAGTTCTTCTGCTTTCAAAGGGACACCATCAAGGTTGAGTGGAGTACCGTCTACGTCACCGAGGTTTTTGCCATCAAAGTGAGATGTATCAACCTGTAATGTCAATCAAAGTTGTGGATGATTATGATTACACTATTTGCACTTTTTCAACAAGAAACTGTGCATTAGACTGTGCATGCAAAAAAGGCCTGGTCTGCACTTCCATGTTCTTTTGTGGCCATAGTTTGAAGAATTAATAATTATTGTAAAACTAAGGTAGAAATGCTACTTATGACTTACACCAAACAGTCCTGTATTGCTGCCAGGTTGACCAAGAAATATTGAYTGTAAATTGATGAGGAAATCAGGAGGATAGATTGCCCAGTCCATCCAAGCACTAAGACATCGACTAACTTGTTTCTGAAACAATATTTTAAATACAATACTGTAAAATATAGTTTTACATTATTTTACAGTTTGAAGAGCAGTTATATGTACTTCTTTTTTTTGATGTACTTCTTGTTAAAGCCAAAAAACAGAGTCAGAAGAATCAAAAGGTTTCAAGTTTACTCCAAGACACAATTTCTTACCCGAAACTGTTCTGCTTTCATTCTTGCTTTAATGGCTTTGAATGACAAGTTCAGGTTGATAAAGATTTCCCTCAGTCGAGATTCAAACCTGCAATTAACAGACATGTCCCCCAACTCAATCATGAATGTCATGGTTGACTGATGAAACTCAATTTGCAACCACAATTCATGTTTTTCTTTTAAGGCTACAAAGTTTAAAACCATACCCTTTTCTGTAGTAAGAAACATTAGGTATTTTCACTGAACAATTGTGAAGGATATCATTCACAAGATAAAGCCTTGCAACCTTCACTTGGAGTGGAGTCTCCAGAAGAGACAGTGATTCACCAATACACTCTGTAACCTAARTAACAAAACAAAAAATATGAAGTGTGGGAATTGTGGGGGGGTGGGGWGGGGAGGGGAGTGAGTGGTAGAGAGATGTGGGAAAAAACAACTATATTGTACTCATACCTCATCAGCAGATTCAGCATGTTCTAGACACCATACCATTGCATCTGCAATCTTGGATCTTTCAACCGTAAGATTTCTCAACATGTCTTCTAGCTTGTCACGTTGCCTATGAAAATTTAAAAGAAGTTCACAAACAATGATATTAAATATTTTTGGTGGAAACCATTAAAATAAGTTAGTTTCTTTCTACCCTAAGCTGAGCTGAAATGGTTGACACTTTGTTTGTGGCATAAACAACAGCTTGAATTATCTGGTAGTTTAGCAATTAGTTCCAAAAGCAAATTGTAATTTTGCGATTATTTGAAGAGAAATATACAGGTCTGGTAATTTGATCAAGTGTCAGTTTATGACAGTAAGCTGAAGTCATTTTAAATTGCAATCAACTTTTAGTGGTCTGTTCAGATTTTCATTGCATTTATGAATGTTATTCAAAGTACTTTTTTTGTACTCACCGTGATGACAGCAAAGACTTCCTATCTCTATTATTACTACTTGACGATACTGTCTCTCTTTCTTTTGGAGGTGGTACGGGAGGTGGARGYTGCTGTTCAGRTTGTTTTTCAATGTCTGCTGGTTTTATTAATGGCTGTGTAATCAATGGCACACCTGTCGTGTACTGGTTRCATGGAGGAGGCTGCCACCATGAYCCACCRATAAACATCTTGAACTTMTCTGTTTTCCATTTTGTTTGCGAGTCTCCCTGTCAAATAATGTATTTAAGTGTGAGTTATGYTTTGAYTGGARAATGGGATCCCTGTGTCAAAATTCTTATGTGTATTCTTGTGCTTTAGAAGGTTTCCTTTTGTGATTAGTGAAAGAAGCAAAGGTTTTGTGTGAATGCAAGTAAACCTGATAATATAATGAATAAAGCAGATCAAAACTGGAGAATACCTGTAGAATGGAGAAAAGTTTCCACCGATAGTAAATATGTTCAGGGGACTGATTGTCAAAAAGAAATCTGTAATGAAAGAAATGATTGACAACATTTAACCCTATTGCTCATTACTCAATTATCAATACAGCCTTACCAAAACCTTACCAATCCCTCCCCTCGCAAAAAAAGATCCTCTCCTCTCCCCCCTAAATTGAATCCAATCTCTCACTACAAAAAWTTCCACACCATCCAATCAAAATGATCATTGAAAATTGTCATATGAGTTTATAGTCAATGATCATTCAATCAACAATTATTGTGCTGCAGGCCCTTCACACAATTTAGTAAGTGTAGCTTTAAAGTTGATATAAATTAATATAAGAATACATTTGAAATCTTTTACCTAAACATGTGGTTGTTAATTTCTCTGTTCATGACCATAGCTTCAAACATGGGACCTTCTCTGACCACAAAYTCTATAACACGATGAATACAGCCCAAGAGATTCCTGTGGAGCAACGRTGGCATTAACAACACAGACATTAGATAAGTATTATACGAATCTATGTAATAATATCATGGATTACTATTCACAATAGCATTATCACACAAYAYATCATTGGTTTTTCTAAGTACCACACATTCCCAAACGAACCAAGKACTTTGTGTTGATTATTGGACAAGGGGGGCCATGAAAYACATGCTTTTAAAACGTTTGCACATCCCCTCCTTTAAAAAAAACATCTTGTAAAATTTTACCTCCACTCTCATTAACAAGCCTTAAGTATGCATCTCCCAATGATAAAATTGTGACAATCAAAAATACTAATGCATGACCAAGAAGATTTGTGTTTCAGAGAGTTCTTGTTAACATTCTTTTACTTGCTCAAAGTTTTCATTAAAAAAAACATCTCTCCATGTTCTTAAAATGCCCTCCCCCACCATGAAGAACAGTTATCTCCGCATGTGCCATAAACAAACTGCCCCTAAAAAGATTTTTTTGTAACAGATGCTGTAAAATGATACTAAACAGACCTTGTCTAACACTGCTTGCTCAGGCTGCATTGTTTGTTTATACAAATTGCACTTTTTCCCATAGTGAAAAAATATTGAAAAAAGGTTTTAACAGGTTTTAACTACAATATGTACTACCTATTTGAGTATTGTTGAAACTTTATCATGTCAATTGATGTACAGCTACAGTTGTACAATATCAGAAATGAACTAGAACTTTTTAGCACTCACTTATTATTGATAATAAAGGTAAGTAATCAATTYATAAGGAATATTTAGGTAGAAATAACACAAAATCACACACAACAACAAAAACATCAATAGCATTGCTTTATGAAATACAGAACACCAGGATTTTCCAGTACCATAAAACAGTACCCTATAATATATTATGCATATTAAATAAATAAATTATATCATGTGTAAGTATCATCAAAAAATGGTCATATGGTATAAAAAATGTGTTGAGTGGATCCATTGTTTAGAAAATGCTTGTATCCGCCAGCAGACATCTCTTACTGTATGTTGAATGAATACCTTTCTTTCGGGATTACAACTTTCACAACTGCGTTGGCTATTGTCTATGGAATAATTGCCACAAGAAGGTGGTAAGTATCCTATTACAGTGACCAGAGTTGGTGCATCTTTATGAATACATTATACACACATCACAAGACTTTATCATATATACATTAAGTCTGTTTTAGMAAAACTGATGTCTAAAAAGTGTGAATATTAGTGAAATTGAACACCTATCAACTCAAGACCCTGTATAAGGTGGTAAATTTGAAATATGCCAAATATATCAAACTGCTAATACTTTGCAGTAAAAAAAATGACAGCACACCTGCACACTACTACACACCAGACATAAGGCTAAAATAATATTGTTTATTAGAAAATCGTTGACCATAGCTGTACCCCAYCTCACCTCTCTATTRAACCCATTGGGGTCCAGTTGGTCTTTGTCTTCAACGTTTGGTGCATTCTTATCTGGTTGACAGTTGAATGGCATCCCAGAGGGTGGAGGAGGAGTTGTGTCTTCTTCCATTTCAGGGGGTACATAGATAGGGTGGGGTGGTAAAGGCACTGCCTTCCCCCATCCTAATTTCATTTCATATCCCATAATATCTTTTCCTGTTCAGATTTAACAATAAAGAACAAGGTTACAAGTACTTAGATTGATATTTTAGTGCCAAATAGAAAAGTTTATTTTTTTTAAGTTTATTTTTTTTAGGGCTATTGACAAGGAACCTACCACCCAAGTCCTTAATGGCTTTGTCTCCATCTTTCCTTCTCATGTAAGCAACAAATCCACAATTTCTATTTCTTGATTTTTCCTCCTCTGTACGAGGCCACATTATTTTAACACTTGCAAGTGGACCATATTTTCCAAACAGCTTCATCAGCATTTCTTCATTCATCTAAAACAAATTGGCTTAGGATGTTATTTCCACACCTCATTCAAACATGGTTTGTGCTACATTTTCATCACAAATTTCCAGGACTTCTTGAGTACTTGTAAAGCACAAAACTCACACTTTCAAGAATAACGTTCTAAGGTCGTGTTTTGAATATTTTCCACTTTTCAATGAAAAACGGAAAAAAAACAATATGTAAGACTGCAACACAATAAAGGAGCATTCCAAGTTTTTTTAYTGGATTTCCTATTTTCAATTACCATTAACTTTTTAATTCCAAAGCTTTTTAAGGATTTCACTTGAAATTGCCCAATTGTCAATATATTTTAGCAGTGACTTAAATACACAAAACACAAATGTAGCACAAGTAAACAAACATACTTTAGGACTGATATTTCCTATGTATATGTTGGTTGTGTTAGGGTCACCAGTATCATGTGAACCTGTAGCATAAGGATCATCTGGAAACAAATGTACATTAGATTAGTYTAAAATGATGTTTGGTTGAGTGAAAGAATATACTGTAACTTTATCTATAGAATCCATTATTCCTCTTAGCTTATCAGTAGTTTTTCTATACATTGAATCTTTTTGAATTAAACCCTGGATTGCATAGAGCATTCRGTCTATCTACACRCACTACCTTTTGGTGGTGCCAGAAATGCAGGAGGCAAGCTAGTCAGGACATCCTTAGGTATATCGACTAGCTCTCCTTTCTTTATTTTGTGTCGAAGTTCTCTTTCTTGCTGATTCCTGCAATGAAAATGAATAAATCCTTAAAAACATGAAGCTATGAGTTCTTAACAGCAAAGATCATGGAACTGTTACTCACATGAAATGAACCTCAAGATTTTGATTTGTATTCAATCACATGGTGATCCTAGCACATGCAAAATGTGAATACAAAATACCTTTTTAGTTCCTCTTTAAATAGTTCAAGATTACTCTTCTTCTTTTCTTTTTCTTTACTCTTCTTTTTCATGTCCTGAATACACAGAATATTTCATATAGTTTAGGATAATCAATGGATTAAGGGGACTGAAGAGAGATAACTAAGATTGATATATTGATATCAAAATAAAGAAAAAAGTAATAGTGCTTAGAAGGAGGTTATTCTGGGAGAAAGACCCTTGAAATTTAATTTCCAACCTCCCTGAAATTCAAACCCATGGCCCAGAATAACCTCCTTCTACGCACTATAACTTTCATTTTTTTTGATATCACGTATCTCATAGTGCCATGTGGTCCTCATATTCATATTGAGAGTTTTTATACTTACTGCTTTTGGTGAAATTTCTGCTTTAAGCTTCTCCTCCATGATTTGAGCACTTAGCTTAGCCATTGGTTTATATATCTTACCAGCATCATCAGGTTTTATTTCAGCTTTTTAAATGAGAAGAAAAATGCAGATAGACAAACAGAACATAACTAAATAAATCAAGTGATAGATAAATGTAGATATTAGGTTGTATTAGCCTATATCAAAATCGCTAGTAAGTTTTCCTTTTTCATTATAGTGTAATGAGTACATTRTATATTTTTATCAATTACTTAAATACATCTTATAACTGAAATAGTGCTTGTGGTGAGACTATTAGACTAAAACTTTGCAAATCTTGTCAAARTAAGGATGATTTCAATTTGAACAGATTGTGATGCTAGTGAATTGTGGGAAAAACCTTTTTGAATTACGTGAAAATTTATACAAATACCGCCTAAAAAAAATTACAACCACTAAAAAAATTAGGTATACTATTGTGCATTAATACCTAATTCCTAAATTTCTAATTCCTATTAATTTCTATAAGGGATGATTTATTAGAATCTTGAGGGGGTTGGGGGTGGGGGTTTGGGGGGTTGCTTCAGCCTTTCGGGCTGTGCCCCCCTTAAAATTCCAAAATTCTAGTTGATCGCCCCTAAGTGCTTTCATTAATAAACCCTATATAGCAATAACAATACCTTTAGTCTCAGGGTTAATGATGCTACCCCTTACAAATGTTTTCCCTTGAGCTCTTGAATCTTCGAATGAAGCCACAAAGTCAGCAAACACTTCAGCACATTTTTCTTCATCTCTCTGTTTCAGATAAAATTTGCATATAAAAAATAAGATTGCTGACCTATATAATGTATATCTAATGCACATKTCGTATAAATGGATGCTTATTATACAACATTAGAAACTTATAAGACATTTTATAGGCTTAATTCTTAACTSTGACAAAACTGATTTGAAGAGAGGACAGACTCTTCGAAATGCTTTACAACGTAACATCATGGCAACACCATACCTTTTTTCGATCTTCAATTTCCTGCTTGGCCTTGGAAGATTTCTTTGAGGCTGGATTCATGGTGCCGCTCGTAAAAGCTTTCAGCTTATTATCAGTCAAAGTCTAGCTCAATTCAGGCGCGTGGAGATCAAGACACGATCGTCAAAATTAGTTGTCAAAATCAACAATTATTTGGCACACAGCGTTGCCACATAGGTGTATAGAAAGCTAATAATGTACACCAATGTCTGACTGAGACGATTTTACCTTCATAGACCCAGGGGTTAAGCCTTCAGCCGACAAACCCCAAGGCAAAGTCTTCTTGCCTGAGTTCGCCATGTTTTCTTGCAAACTTTTGAAAGCTTCCCACAATGCTTTGAAATGCTCGATCCGGGAACGTGAAGAACACAGGTAGCCCAGTTATGAGGCCTTATGAAGTTGTTACTGTCTCGAGTCTTGTCGTGATCGTGGACTCCAAAACCCGTCGAGGTTCCCGCCGTGGAACATAATCTTTTTGTTTTCAGATTTATTATCATAATGACACTAAAGGAGTAATGGGGAAAATAAAGCTTGTGAAATATTCAGTTTGGTGTGAAGTTTTATTTCATTTTATTTTAAAAGATTTATTGAACAAATAGTAAGTTGCGAAAAAGAAATAAGAATAAAAAGAAATAATGGATTCAAATGATAATAAAATGTCCAAAAGGGAATGCACGAACGGGCGGCGCTTCCCTGAAAGTTTGGCAACTATGATCGAAAGGTTTTGGAAAGGATGTGCTTAATTTGATCAATTAATGTTCACTTAATTTTAAATAGCCCTTTCAGTTGTCAAAAGCTTCTCTTTAGCATGATAGGCTTTGATAGCGGCATAGCCACGGAGCAAAAATGTCTAACTCGGTTTCAAAATGTTTAGCGCGGAACATTCTAGATGTAGTCTAGGTGTAAATGATGGATATGCAGACTCCGCCTATATAAACAATGCCAGATTTGTGCGCTATTAGCGGTCGCTTTATAAGATATAGAGAAACTCGAGTACCTTGAGAAATATGTGAAAATTTGAGGAGCGATACCCTTTGACAGTCAATTAACGTGTTTATTGCTAAGTCTACACAATTAATACTTTACTGACACATGCCTCAGCACTTTTCCTTTCTCCCAGGCAACGTTTGCGCATTTCATGACAAAARATACACTGAAGTAAACAGATGTTTTAATTTTCTTTTCTGCTTTGCCTGCTGGGCTAATAAATACGTTGGTTTTCTCCTAAGCAACGTAAACAAACTTCTTAACGAAACAATTCATACTTAAGTTTCATTCGACTTTTCTTCCGCTGTAGCAAGTATTGTTCTCGATATAGTAACAGTATTGCGCAACAACGACTTAGCCTTCTGAACAATGCTACAAAACTGACAGATTCATTGAATTCAGCGCAAGAGTTTATATCGGAATCTTTAGTCATTTYGTATAAGCCTAAGGAAAGTCGGGTTAACGATGAATATAAACTGTATATGGAAATTACAGAATAACAGCTCCAGCGAGCTGGCCGCATGACGGCATTGACAAGCTACTTCCAGCTTCCTCAATTTGATATTAGGAAATGCTAACGCMAAAATATAAACGTCAGGCTTTGTCAAAAGTTAAAAGCAAAAATTTGATACTTTGAAAAAAAAAATGTATTCGGCAAAACCCGTGAGAGAATTAAATCTTTTTCCGAGGCTCTGTTTACAAATCCTACCTTGTTAAACAAGATTAAGTTAATCGAAAAGATAATTTTACTTGCGCTGAAGTTATCTAATTTTGACCGTTGAATACGTCATAACTTATTCTGGCCAATAGGAAGTGTCAATGGGGAAAGTCCTTGTATTGATTGCACAGCAAAATTGAATATAAATCTCCTCAAACCTACCAACAAATGTTAGTCCTACGAACTGCTTTCATTGAAAGGTGTACAATGAAACTCCCAACAGTTTTCATCTTTGCTGCAGCCGTGTTTGCGGTTTTGCTCAAACTCGGAACAACATCCAACGAAGTAAGTCGTTTGTTTTACCTGTAACTGAAACTTACCAGTGGAGAATTCATGAATCGTTTAGCACTTTTGAACTAAAAAGAACTATAACTCGTGAAGTTCCATGATATCTGTGAGTTCTGGTGAAACATGGTTGATGTGAGGTTTGAGCTCTTTGAAAATGCGACCCCTGCGCATTTTAACTACCAAGTTTTTTTGGATATTCGCGGGTTTTTCCATTGTGATCTGCGCCTCAATTATTCAAAATAACGTACTGATTTCGGTTTTACTTACTGCAATTACTGACTATGACCACCCTCCTTATACGGTGATTTTTGCGGATGCCAACTTTTTCGCTTTCACTTCAACTCGATCAATTAATAGATGCAATGGCTGATCATGAACAGGATTTGTGTTTGCTTTTGAATGAYGGATATGTCTTCCGTTATACCGAAACCTTTGTAATAAATGAAATGYGTGAAAACTGATTATAGTTACAACGAACTGAATCATGTAGAAAGACAATCYGAAAACATTCTTTTCTTCCATAATTGAGATCCCACGGGCACAGTTTTCTAGAGCYYGGCTGATGCTATGAGKGTGAATAAAGTAGGCAGTTAATTAACAACATGCCTTTCACCTTTAATGATAGTCCATTTTTTATCTCTTCAAAGGACCAATCAGAAAAAAMCGATCAACAAGTGCTTGGACATAATATTGCTCTTCTGCGKCAATTATYACTCWGGAGAAAYAGTCACAAAAGAACAGAAGAAGTTGAACAACAAGCCACGGATGACGATGTTACTCGTTTGATTTACAGCTACAAAAGAACGATAGCTAAACGCAATTCTTTGCCGACATGTGACAGCTGTTGCTATCCCGAAATTGATAGCATTAACGCTACCTCAAGTAAGATTTTTGATATTTTGTTTAAGCAGAAAGTCTTAGTTTTGTTAAAGTCCCCTAGAGTACAATCTATTATTACCCCTKCACCCATTGGCGATGTAGACGCTTAAGGCGTGGAGTACCAGCCGGCCAGGAACGTACACCGGTCGCGCCTTGAATTCTTGAGTAATCAGACTTGCTAGAGATAAATCATTAAGTGACTTTGAAAAGTCTATTGAGAAATATATAATACGGATGATACAATCTATGGATGATACAGACTCGCAAAATATTATTCTATTCATATTTTTTTCATTTTATTCAAGCAAACAAAGCTGTGAACGCATCTAACAAAAGAAGGCAKAGCACATGTGCACCCTACGAGATTCCTGTCAGAATTCCAAACAACATCATCATTTACCCTGATCCTCCATTTGTGCCCCTCCATCGCTGCCTTGGATCTGATGACACCATTAGGTCAGCATTTAGTTACCGCTGCAAAGCGACAAGCAAAGAAACAGTTCGTGTTCAGTACAAAGGATTAAGGGACGGHCAGGTATGACATTAATTTGTTTGGATCATAAAATAAGTGCGCTTTGTCAGAACATTATTCTACAGAAAACCTCGAAATGACTGAAAAATGTTGACTCGAAAAGCATTATATACCTCTAAATAGAGTGGACTGGCCGGCCAGTTCTGCCTAAATGGAAAGCACCCTAAGAGTTGACGGGGTCTGTTCTTGTAAATAGCTGTTCCTGTAAGACTGAATTTTTTCCTGGGAAAGGGATTTTGAAATCCATTGTTGACAATCGCACAATCAAATGTGGCGCCCTTCCTTAATTCTTTAAAATAATTTTGTTCCTGGAAAACTTCTAAAACGGCCGTATATATTTTTTTTAGTTAGGAAATTTTTATTTTCCTTGCAAGAATTTTGAAAAAGTATTCCTTGCCTGGAGAGTTATTTTTTTCCTGAATTTCTCGCTGGCACTCAACCAGTTGTGACTGACAGGAGGACAGCTGGCTGGAAGAACCGCTATATTTCTACCAGGAACCCATGGGTTCCTCCTGCATTGAACGGTGGAGAGCCTAGGTATAAGTGAGTTTTTTTCTTTACAGATTTATGAAGTARCCATGCACAACCACACTAGCTGTAAAATGGCGTGTCACATGACTACCAGCTGTGGTCCAAACAAAATATTCGACAAGGATAACTGTTATTGCTATTGTCCATTGACGCAAAATGATTGCAGTAAGGGAACAATATTGAATTCTGACGATTGTGAGTGTAGATGTGCTCAAATGACATCTTGTCACACCATATATGAAAAGTATAACTGGAGAACGTGCAAGTGCGAGTGTGACCAGCGGCTCAAGGATATTTGCCGTGAGAACAATTTGAGTATTAACCCACAACGTTGTGCTTGCATGTAATGAAAGTTGACTCAGTTCAAGATTGACAAATATCATAACTACGTGACACGTGACGCAACTGACAAMTAATACAATTGCCCTATCGCATAATTACGTCACACCAAAACATTCTATTGCTTTTACGCTAAGGATATATGGTCGCCAGAGGGGATCAGAGTGACTGCATATCAAATAAAATGTACATGAGCTATCATTGATAATGGTATACTTAAAAACTTGATACACTGAATTTCTGCTTTTGGAAAGAATATTACTAGGTCCAAATTTCAAGTCTTCCTGAGCATCTATCCACAATGTAAACATACTGTGACGTCATTATGCCATAGGGCAATTCGACATCAGATCATCAAAAATATCCTRCAGAGGGACGAACCATTAGAAAAGTAAAGAAAAATCCAAACAGGCTTTAGAATTCAAAACAATACGTGTGCACACACGTACATATTGAAGCTGAGGTGCGTAAAAAACATATACAAGACTGATTGTTCACCAAAGAATCCACCTAATTCATCACCCAACCCCATTGACTCTCATCAACTTCGCTTTTCTAATAGTCGGTTCCTAACCTGATAACATCATTGACCGTGACAGCATCGAACTCATGCACATAACCTTATTGATAATATCCGACGSTGTGACTAACTTTTTTGGTGACTTCCCCAATCATACCACGTGATATTTTCCAAGGGCACACAACGTTCATGAAGTCTTTTTCTCTTGATTATTACTTCACGCCGTCTTGAAAAAACTTTTTAGAACTTCTGACGGTACTCTCTTGGTTACTAGGCCAATGTAGCCTCAGGCATCCGTCAATGATGCATGTAAAGCAATATTGATACTTCCTCCTATTATAGTGCAGACTACTGSGCGAATTCTTCCTTTCAATTCAGTTTACATTTGGCCGTAATCAAGAGACTTAGACATCATACAATTACTCATAYGACTGAAACGACAGACTCGTCTTGAATTGACATACATTAAGCTAAGAGGCAGATCAATTAGAATGAATAGGAATTGAAGATAAAGGATAACTACTAACTTATAACAGTATTAAATGTATGAATTAAAAAAAATAACTGCATTACAAAATTGAAATAATTTCTCATAATACACCTTTTCAGTTGCTCTTACGCCCCAAATTCAAAAGAATAATTAACTTGCTATCGAGGCAACTGAAAAGGTGTATTGTTCACGGGTTTTGCACGGGATCAAGGCGTAATACCACAGGTAATCCGAATCTCACTAAGAGCGCGCGCCAATAAATAAAAAACGTGCGCAGTTCATTCTTTTCTTCTTTAGACACACTTTTAGCATGTTCAGTTCTATGGTTCAACTTATGTGCACTTTTTTTAAATGAATTTACTAGTTATTTATAAGGAGTTTTGGAAAATATATGATATAGTTACCCGTGCAACCGCAACTCAGGTTAATTAGTGGCAGCTACATTTGCCAATAAATTTGAAAATATCAAGAGAAAAGGAAGGATAGAAACACAAACGACAAAAGAAAAAAAAGAAAGAAAGAAAGAAAAAGGAAAAAGAAAGAAAAAGAAAAAAAGAAGAACAAAGAAACGGGAAAAAAGTGTTACAAGGCTGGACTCGAACTCGCACCTTTCAAAGGAGTGGAACTTGCACCCCCCGGACATGTAATAAAGAAAAAAGAAAAAAGAAAATAAAAAAGATGGGACGATTCCCCCGAGACATKCTATGAAGCTGAGGYGTCGAATCGGCTTACGTTACGGTTRGAGATTTCGGCTCTTCCACGCTATCCCTCGGTGATACATAAAACTTAGTCTTAACCAAWAGGCCAGGGAGTGAGGGGSTAGCCGCCCACTAGAGCATACCTTTAGCTACCCTCTTAGACCATCGCGCTATGAAGTCACTGATATATATTTAATGCCTAATCGGGATGGTCTATTCGGGGAAGTTCTATGCTAATGCATGACGTCATCATAATCCTTCGGGAGCAGCGACCCAATCAGAACTCAGCTCCAGCTCCAAAATTGTAATATACAAGGCTTCCACACTGTATTGCTTAGTGATTCATTAGTCAAGGGGGGAGGGGTAGGGGAGTGTCATTCATCTAATTCTACTCGATGGAATGTGACGCGTTACATTCTAACAATTGTTGTTAATGGTTGAAAAGTTACATATCGCAGACACGTCTAGATTACGAAGTCATATCCAATCAAATTGATACTGAAACKTTATTGAAAGCTCTCCAATCTTATTACCTAAGCGGTAATTCTGAAAGCGAGTGCCATGGTAACCGTCGGGWTTCAAATGCACAATCGAAGACCGACATGACACGAACTCTTGGGTCGATRGTGCCTCTTCAGGTTTCTTCTTGCCAAAAATGCTAAACATAATGATTTAGAATTTATCTGCTTTGATTTTTARGTATGCCTTGCCACTATGCAAGACGCGAAGACCAAGAAGGATGTTTCCAACGATATCGAATATTTAGGGATCCCATTATAATTTTCTTTTAGCCGTACTTTTAGCAAAAAGTCGCTTTTTTCAACAGCAACTCTTCTGTTGATCGTACTGATCGTAAAAAGCACTAAGAAGGGTATTGTATAGGCCGTTTCCAAACCCCATTCGTAGCTAGAGGAAGGCTTCTAGAAATGGGCTCCTGGTTTTGCACAACTACGAAAAAAGAAGAAAAAAAAAGAAATAAGAAAAAGAAATAAGAATAAAACAAAAATAAAACTCTCGATCGTTAATGCGATCTATGTCATCTGATCTGTGATCCAATTCCTTCAGCCCCCTTCTGATAGAAATCCTGGATCCTCCCCATCTAAAATATATAGTCCCTGTTTCTATTAAGGTGGCCTCGAAGTATGGGTTCCCTGTGTCAGTCAGAAGTTCGTCCTGCTCCCTCCTCGATACATTTTTGGACCCGACTTYTTGTTGTTTTTGTATTTTTTTCAATAAGTTGTAAAGCAAAAGCAACAATGAACAAGCAATAAAACATGATGATTGCCATGCCTGGGATGCCTGTGTACACCTTGCGGAGAGGCTGGTGAGGAGCCCTTCCCATGTGACCCTACAGGAAGACGAACCAAGGGCCAAGAAACATGGCGTCTTCAAATGTTGATTTGTGTCATCTTGTAACTGAAAATGGGGTTAATTCTCTGCTTAATACCCTTGTTTATGGCGATAGAAAGTTCCTTGTGTGGACTAGACTCTCTTTGGAGAACAGATCGTGGGTTTTAAAGTAAGTTCATTCAAGGAACCTTTTAGTTGAGGGACTAGAAGCGTTGTCTYGTTTCGCCCCTTAYGGTGTGTTCCCACGTAAGTCCAAAACATAGAGAGAATATTTGTYAGTAGAAACCGCGGAAACATGGCTGTTATCGACGACTATATCAATGATTACCTCTTAGATATTGTAAATAATTACATTTACCATTGGTTGAACAAATGGCGGTGGAAATCGGAGGGGGCGAGTGAAATAATACTGAAATATTGGATCAATTTGCTTAATTTAAGCTTAAGTTAACCGTTTGGATTGGAGCTGCACAGTCTTAAATATTTCTACTAAACGTTTAAGCTTAAATTGGGAAATTGAGATGTGATATGCAAGTGAATATGCTTCACTGTGTCCAATATTGSGCGGAAGTTTCGAGCGTTCTTTCACGACGACTTGTGCTAGCCGCATTTCAGCAGTTAAGCTAATTTCGAATTTTGAGACAAAAATGTTGCTGTTGCTGGTTATARCTTAAAATTACAAATGAAAGAATTTATTTCAGATGATAATCATAAGAACTGTTAAGTTATGGCATTCAAACAAATCMAATTTATTTATTTATAAAAAAMCCCACAGGAATCCCAAAGATTTGTAAATTTAAGGTGGCACCTACTGCCAGAACTTGGACAAAAGTCATTCTTTCTGAATGCTAGTATTGTAAASCATAGTAATGCCCTTAAAATTGTAGAATGCAGTTAGCTTACTCACTTGCCTAGATAAGCATTGTTACTCAATGAGCAGCTTGTGAAGAATAATTCTCTGCCTTGCAATCATTTGCATGGCGTAACAGCAGGYATCATGCAATTTTTACAGTGCAKTGCAGCAACTTTAACTGTGATTTCGAATAATTTTAAAGTCTCYCAGCTTACCTAGTCAAAAAAATATTGCAAGTTGCTAGCGGAAATCGCATAGGGCTATAATTCCCTGCCTACTTGTGTGCGATGGCATTCCAAGACAATATGAGAAAATTTCACAGTGTAACAACAAAGTAAGAGATTACAGTAAAAAGTTGTCCATTTTCCATCTATGTAGCAACTAGCCTTAAAAACCACTGTATGTTGTTTTTTTTTTCATTTTATTTCTATTTTTCCTTTTTGCAGTGCAAGTGATGGAGTCGATGTCTGGAAAGTGGAAATGGACAAAGAACACATTGACTCCTATGTAAGTAAATATTAAATAATGTTTTATTTATTATATGCACATGCCATATAATTTGTACTTTGTTCAGTAATAATTGTACAAAACTCAAATTTTGAGAGCAAAACAAAACAAAAACACTAAATGGTTTATTACAGTTTCTAAAATATTTAGGATACTACGCGCGCTGTGATTGGTCAAAAACCATGTTTGATTACAGTATCAAAACACGCTCGTGCACGTCAAAAATTTCTTGTTTTCTTTTAATTTTAGAAAAGAAATAAAAGACAAAATTCCGTGTTTGATACTCTGATCAAAACACTTGGGATGTAGGGAGAGCACTCGAAAAGCTGGAAACCACTCCGCTACGCGTCGTGGTTTCCTACGCTTCTCTCGTGCTCTCCCTACATCCCGCGTGTTTTGATCAGAGTATCAAACACGGAATTTCGTCTTTTATTCCTTAAATAATGACTTGATCATGTAATGATGTTCAAGCTAAAATAGAACAAACATGACATATTATTGTTATATTATTGTGATATTATTACAGTTGATTCAATCAATGTTTGTTTTCAATTCTTAGAGAGTAATTGCTCAAACCGATACGTGTGAAGCTTTCCTTACAAAGATAAGGTATGGATGTCATTGAATCAAAAGATGTGAGCTTGAAAGCTATGGAAGAGAATGTTTGAATACAATGTTTTTCATGTCAAAAGTAGCCAATATCAGCACCTTATTAATTTTAGCAAATGAATCGGCCTTTGGGTTATCAATAGGACATGTGACTAATATTTTAATGAATTAGATTTTAATATATATTATGTTCACATTAATTATGTTTTGAATGTTTGCATAAAATCTCTAATTAGTATATAATATTTTTAATTTACATTTTTTACTTCAGGTCAGATTTTCATCTTGGCCATCTCATGATAAACCCYGAGGCATCCAAAGTCCTTCTCATGGTTGGAGCAGCAGAGTCTGTRATAAGAATAGATCTATATGAAGCAAGTACTGATGACAGAAAGGCTGAGCTGCAACATCTTATTTTATGGATGGCTGATAATATAACTACMCTAACTGATAGACTCAAAGGTATGTATRGTGCAGGGCAGGATGRCGAGGCTTGCTTCCCCTGGAAAAGGGTGGAGTTCACTWGGGATGGGATGGATGGGGCCAKGGGGAAAGCAAACTTTAGAAATTCTTGTGTAATAGACATGAAATATAGACATCAGTGTGCTATCCCTTACCACTGAATACATACTGAATACAAGTCTGATAAGTATATCTTGTTTGTTTACGAATTTTTCTTCAACTGTTGTAAAACATATAGTGAACTGAAGAGGTTTTAATAAACAAAACTAGTTTTCACTATTCTTGGTAGTCCCTGGCCTGTACGTACGAGAATCGTTACGTTGGAGTGATTTACATTTGTAAAGTTTATGGGCATTATTTGAATAAATCGTAAATCCAAGGGGGGATCCAGCTGAAATTTTAAGGGGGGACTAAATGGTTATAGGGGGGACTAAATGGGCTTTATTTGTTATAAACATACTGAAAATAATGAAAAATAATTTATTCTCTAAGAGGGGTTCCAGCACCCCTTTGCCCCTCCCTGGATCCCCCCTTGAAATCATGTCATAAGTTCAAATGATAATAATTCTTCATACAATTATAGATCTTTTCTTATTTTGTATATTACAGCAACCACAGAAAGTCTAGACAGGCTAAAAACCCAGAAAGAAACAAATCCTAATGTGTCAACTAGTTTTGGTGAGAAAATACAGCTTCCTAAGTCATTCACTGATTTTTTGTTTTTGTTGTTATTTTGTTTTGTTTTTCATCATATCCAACTGTCTAAATGCAGCTATTAACTTATCCATTCATTTCTTCATTTCTATCCCATTCATCCATCCATTTTTCTAAGAGTACACATATGGATTGCATGATAATATCCTTTTTGTTTTCAGATCTGCCACCAAAGCAAATTCAAGCTACYCCAGTCAAGAGGAAGCCTGGTTATAGTTTAGTCAATCCTGGAAGTCGAAAGTAAGTAACAATCATAATTTCATAAATATATTATTGATATTATATTTGTCTTCTCCTTGTGTGTAAGACTTGTCTTTTGCTACTTTCCTTGGTGCCAGCCCTATCAATTCCTTTTCTATTGTTTTGACAGATCGAAACAAGCAAAAGGAGTTCAATTCGATGATTAGATCTTTAAGACTTGTTTATATCTACATTTGACAAATAGAGGCTTTGCTTTGCTCAGCTCAGCGCATGCTGGACAGATATAACCTGTGTTGCATGCATCTTTTGTTGTTTGCAAGTAGATTTGAAACCACATAAAATAAACTACATCATTGTAGGTTAGGAAACAGAAAATAGAGCAAAAATGCTGACGGATGAGTGCTGGAACTCACAGGTCATGCTTCTCTCTTCACTTTACAGAATGCACTAGTAGACAAATGGAGCATAGCAGAACCTCTTCTATCATTTTTATAAAAAGAGTTGGGTTTTTCATCACAATTAGTCACTAATCACTRTAGAAAGCATGTAGTATTTCAAATGTAGAATAATGTTTGACACACAATTTGATACAGTAAGGTCGAAAATGAGTTCACTCAAATATATACACTGATATAATAAAGGTTTAATTGTTACTGTTGTAACCGCTATTGATATCAACACAAACAATATATACTTTTTTCCTGTTGTACGTGAACACTGTTTTATTTGGCAACAGACTCTTACAGTAAGACATATCCAAAAACCATAGGGAAAAATCCTGACTTTAAAAGAGCCTTACAAATTTGCCAATATAGGCTTGTCCTAAAAATGGAGAAAATTCAAATCTTTATGGCTATTGTTGGGACATTTTTTTTTACTTTTTTATCACCATTCCTCGCTTTTATTCTCAGTGATTCTTTTGACAATAGATGTAGTGACGTCATAGTGACGTCATGTGACGTATGTAAGGACACTCCCAACTTTTAAACCCTGGATATTCCTACTATCGGTGGTTCTTCTTACAAATCTCGGCTTTGTTCTATTATACTACATTTTAGTTTCGCAGTCATGCCTACATATTTAGGTCGTTGGTATCCAATATAATTGAATCTATTTAGAATGAAGCCATTATATAGCTTTATAAAAGCGTTTTTAGTAGCTCTTATACTTTCTTATGAATGTAATCCTCACTTCTTTTTTTAATGAAGTCCTCATCCTTTTTTTACAGTTTACCAGCAGATTTAAACGCACCAACTGACGGCGAAGAGCCGACAACACATATTTCCGTTCTTTCTGGTTCTAACATGCTGGATGTGTTTCGATGTCCTGATCCTTCTCGCTGTCATTTCCCGTGTACRAAGAGCAACAGACGATACCACTGCCCGCTTTGTGATAACAAACCACAAAAACCTGGTCGAATGCGCAGGCATTTCTTCACCATGCATGCTGGCAGACATGTTGTTGAGCATGACGGTAAGTTCAACGCCATTATATTTTTACATAAAGGTCTCCCGCTCATATTTTATATATTACTCAATAAATMCCTATTGCTGCTAGTTTCTTCAATTTGCTCAGCAAAAGAACGATTCGGTTTGTCTTTGGTTAGCAGTGATTTTTCCCTTAAATCCTGAAGATCCAGGTCACTAGTTATAGTGGTGTATAGCAGTCCCGCCAAAATGGATTTTTTCTTTATTCTGCGGATATCTCTCATCCTAACAAAGAATTGAAGTAAAAATARGATAAARACATTTGTTAGCTTAACTTCCGTCTCCTTTGATCATCATCAATCTGGTTTCATTTTCAGGTTTTCGCATTCTTCGTTGTAAGCTAAAATGTGTTCGAGCTAACGGGCGTATTACGGACTGTTCTCACTATCACTGCTGTTTGTGTGGACGCGTTTGTCTGCGCAAAGTACATCTTTGTTGTCATCTTCAAGCTCACGCACTGGGCACGGCTAAAGATGTAGACGACGATTTAATGGACGTTTCAAAGGCTGACGAGGAGCAAGAAGAAGAAGAACAAGAAGATGACGAAGACGATGAGACAACAGAGGACACTGTGTTACAGACATCACAAATGGCTTGTCCTGTAGACGATGCTGAACAAAATATGGTGACTCTTGCTGATGGAACCCAAGTAAGTAAAAATAATCAAAAACAACAACATCATGTTCGCTGAATTTCGAAGGGTCGACTCTAGGGTCGATGGTCGCCTAATGTTGCTACGATAATGGGCGACGGTGACTAATTCGTCCTAAATATTAGCAACATGTAGTAGTTAGTTAAACGACATTAGGTGATCCGACAGTAGGCTTGAAARTGTTTTTGACGCCATCGTTTTCTAGGTATTTTATTGATTGTTCATCCCTCTATCCATCTATTCCTTCCTCCATTCATTTTTTTATCCATTCATTTATCCAGCATTGTACTGTCATTATATATAATCCATCATTACACTGTGTTTTCAATCTAATCGATTCCGAAAGAGAACGTTACCAATACACCTTTCGCAATGTTAACCAGGTAGTCTACGTACAATCGATGGAAAATGGTGAAACGCTTACAGTTGTTCCAGTCAGTAGCCAGTCCAACACCACTCAGTTATCGACYGCTGGMCAGTTAAATCCAAGTCTGCATGTTCTCGCATCATCCCAAGCAAATAACGGTATTCAGGACTTAACTGGAATCTCTCATGACGGCGACGGACAAGACTTGGAAACCATCCTCCGCGAKGGTAAGTTYACCTTGCCTATCAAACTTTGYTGTGTGTTGTTACAGTTTCTTTGTTCCTGGAGSCACAACACGTCCCRTCKGTACGAATCTAGTGTCTTTGCAAGTTGTATKTTTTGGAAAATATTGGATTTCTGACTAACATTCCCTCAGGTTATTAATGTTAACTTAATAAACGGAARAATTGTCTTGGCTGATAACTGAYYACGTGGTTTTATAAACGTACTTTATGTCCACAGAAGGAAGTCGTGAAATTGGTTCTGCTGGGCCGGCAGCACCGACCAACACATCAGCAATGTCCACATTTCATACTTATACATCACAGATCTCTGAACCACAACGACAGCTTGGCTTTGATCAGTCATTTAATGACCTCACCAACGACCAGTCAAACCCTAATCATGGCAACATAGTTGTTTACGAGGGCAATCAAGATCCTACAAGACTTAAAACTAATAATTTAACCAATGTACCTTGCGAACTGAATACASAGGATCCTATTGAATTGTCTGGTGTCAATAACAGTTTGAATCTGAACGATCTCGTGTCCACAACACCTGGAACAGCCGTACCTTCCATGCAGTCAAATCCTACCATGTCCACCCCTCTTAGTAGCCAGGCTTTGGGTACCCCTCTCAGGAAYGAATCTTTGATCACCGGTGACTCTCAGCTCGGTCAGACACCGTCAAATGACCAAACKCCAAGTAATAACAAAGGCTCAGATTGTATAGTGCTTCTTAAGGGTGACCAAGAGAACCAAGGTGACGATACTGTGTTTAATAAACTGTTCTCTAATACTAAACCTCGCGTCGACAGTATCTTTCAGCATCCGTCCGTTATCCCTGAAGGAACCAACTTAGAGGTAAATGGGGAGAAAAATCATTGTGTCGGTTTTCGATGTCATTTAATGCTGAAAATTGGAGTTACTTTGAGTAAAAATGAACTTCGCCTCTCGCTTCGCAGTTTCTTAATGATTTTTTTTGCTCTTTTTTATTTGTTATCGTGTCTTTTGGAAGTCGCTAAAGAAGTAGTTGAATGTGCAGTGCTTATTGATGAAAAGTTAAGGGTTCAAAACCTAGACACTGAATTCCAGACTATCTTTGTGGGTTTCTTTCAAAGGACTCGTTACACGCCCTCGTGAAATTATATGATACCCAGTCAAACTGGTGAACACTTTAACATATGCTGTTTGACTTTTTTTTAGGTTCCAAGATGTAAAAATACTGAATGTGACTGTAGACTTTATCATTGTCCATTGTGCACGTGTTTACCGAACAAACCAGGAAGAATACGAGAACACTTCAGGAAAATACACTCGGAAAATTTAATYATCAGATATCAAGGTTTGCTATATTGATATTATGAAAATATTCTTATTTCTTTGTGGAATATGGAACCAACCAAACAACAGCTGCAACACTACGTTACATTAGTCACAGCCTTAACAACTTTAGTAGCAACAACTACACCAACAACAGCATCAACATTCACTGCATAACAACAACAGTAGTTTTATAGTTTTTTTCTCCCTCGAAAATTGCAAGGGCATTCCTTAGACCGTTTGTAGAGTATTGAGCTCAAATCGTTTTAATTAAGTTGCATTCACTCGTGATATCCTCCATATTGTGGGCCAGTCGTATTACTTTTTTTCATCAAAAAAGGATCATTCAAGTCAGAAGTACATGTATCTGGTCAAGTCCAATATTAACAAATAATATTTTGTAATTCTTTAGGCTACCAGATGCTAAGATGTAAACTAGGGTGCTGTCGTTCAACTGGTAAACGAATCCTTAATTCTCATTATCATTGCTGTCTTTGTGGTTGTATTTGTATCAGCAAGTCAGGGGTCTATGAACACATGAGAACTCAACATGCAGACGTTTCACTTAAAAAAGGTAAGTAAATAGTCTCAAACTAAATTATCAAATACTGATGTGAATTACCTAATGACAATAGCGCGGGCGGCACTAAGGGAAGGGTTTTTGGGGGTTTCAGACCTTGTATGAGAATGACAGATTTGTGAATTCTTCTTCGCACACGATTCGTACGCGAAGCAAACTTTTTGATCATTATGTTGCCAGTTTTTCCACCATATTAATGCGAAATTCTCTCTTGAATCCCTCCTCTGACTAGCCTGGCTGCGTGCAGCCGGACCAAAACTGTTGTTGTGTTCGGCTGCACGAAGGCTATCCTCATGTATCCTCTGACACGACGAAGCCATCATTTGGCCGATCAAAAAGCAGACGTGGATAGCTATTTGGTTGTGGAGAGCAGAGCATTGATTGACTGAAACTAAACACGGCTGCGAGTAAACACCTAACATGAACCAGTGTCTCTACATATTTAGCAATACCTTGCTCGTTTTTGACAACTTGCTTGCTTACTAAATTCTTTTCTATACCTTTCCTCTGCTTGCCTTTTTCAAGATACGGACTCCACACAACTTAACGCTGAAAAACGCAAGTCAACAGCAACACTAACACCACCAATGCAGAAGAAACAGGCTATGGATGCTGGTCAGCCCGATCCTAAACCTGCAGATGAACCTTCTCAACGAACACCGTTAGTTGTACAAATCCCTTCTGTAAGAAATAACCAACAAAGAGTTTCTGGTAAGCTGTAGTGCGAATAGACTTTTAAAGCTTTACATCACCTACTTGATTTGCAATGTGTTGTGGGATCGGTTTGTGGAGAAAACACAAGAAATCCGCCATGTTTTGTCTCAAACCTATCCTACAGTGCATTGCGTATACTTCGGTATATGATGTAAAAGCTTCAGAGGNTCTTTGTTGATTATTACAACAAGTGACAACAGGACAGATTCTCGCTTTATTATGGGTTCGTGCGCCTAATTGAAAAATTTGGAAGTTGCAAGAGACCATGTCACACACGCGTTTTTCCGAAAAATGTTGAAAAAAGTAGAAGCCAGTTCTACTTTTCTCTCAACAAAAAAATGAAATGTTCAAGTTGCATGAGGGGGTGTCACACGTAAAAAAACGATCGTGCAACTTCAACATTTTTTTGCGCGACACAAGTTGCACAAAAAAAACGCCAGTGTGACACGGCCTTAAGGGAAGGGTTTCTGGGGATTTCAGACCTTGTATGAGAATGACAGATTTGTGAATTCTTCTTCGCACGATTCGTACACGAAGCCAAGTTTTTGGTCATTATGTTGCCAGTTTTTCCCTCATATTAATGCGAAATTCTCTCTTGAATCCCTCCTCTGACTAGCCTGGCTGCGTGCAGCCGGACCAAAACTGTTGTTGTGTTCGGCTGCACGAAGGCTATCCTCATGTATCCTCTGACACGACGAAGCCATCATTTGGCCGATCAAAAAGCAGACGTGGATAGCTATTTGGTTGTGGAGAGCAGAGCATTGATTGACTGAAACTAAACACGGCTGCGAGTAAACACCTAACATGAACCAGTGTCTCTACATATTTAGCAATACCTTGCTCGTTTTTGACAACTTGCTTGCTTACTAAATTCTTTTCTATACCTTTCCTCTGCTTGCCTTTTTCAAGATACGGACTCCACACAACTTAACGCTGAAAAACGCAAGTCAACAGCAACACTAACACCACCAATGCAGAAGAAACAGGCTATGGATGCTGGTCAGCCCGATCCTAAACCTGCAGATGAACCTTCTCAACGAACACCGTTAGTTGTACAAATCCCTTCTGTAAGAAATAACCAACAAAGAGTTTCTGGTAAGCTGTAGTGCGAATAGACTTTTAAAGCTTTACATCACCTACTTGATTTGCAATGTGTTGTGGGATCGGTTTGTGGAGAAAACACAAGAAATCCGCCATGTTTTGTCTCAAACCTATCCTACAGTGCATTGCGTATACTTCGGTATATGATGTAAAAGCTTCAGAGGTCTATTCTCTGTGGAAGTATTTTTCCACACACATTTTTCCAGTTGAGATTGCAATGATAGATACCTGTTAATAAKTGCCTTTGCTTTGAACAAAAGACCACTGCACGCTCTTGGCTACTTTTCAGGATGGCTCTCAGAAAATGGAGTATTTTATGTAATTCATCAGTATTATTYTTAAATAATAACACCTTAAAAGGTGTTTAAAAACACCTGAGGTGCTGAAAATATCCGCAGGCATAGGCTAAAGCATATACTTGCTGAAAAACAGATTGCATGCAATTATAATCCTGTCTAAAAACTTGGAACTTTTCTTTTAATCTGCGAACCAAGCAACMTCATCCCCAAGGCTTTTCTCCTCGCTATTTTTTCCAAAAAATGGAAAATGGAAGACAAAGTAAGCACTGGCATCGGCCGATCACTTGACACAMAGCGTTTTAGTATGGAATACCGCTTAAGAATTATACAGTTACAGGCTRATCAAAATCCATACTTAGCCGGCCCATRCCATTGTCTTTTCCCCTCTCGGAAMAAAGCCCTGGGAACGAGTTTGGGGAGCCAAGATGACAAAAAGTGAAACGCAAAAATGTGATGAATCGTATGTCTTAAATCTTATCGTATTTATTTTGGGTACTCTTATAGGAATTGAACAACACGGAGAAAGTCAAGTCAATCAACCAGCTAACGATTCTAACACATCGTCAAATCAACCACAACAACAACAACAACAACAACCATTAGTAATCGTGATGCCCCAACAGATTCAAAACACTACACAGGGACAAAATCAACAGCCAATAGTCATTGTCATGCCTCAGGGGGGTAGTGGTGGGGGTGTACAGATGGCACAACCGTATGTGGTGTCCATGCCCCAAGCAGCTAACAACTAATGCATGATATATATCAGAGCTTTTTTTATAAACAATGTTAATATTTTCAAGGAATATTTATGAATAGAAATTGTCCTTTAAGTATTTAGTCAGATAGTTACCATGGGAAAGAGATATTTTCTTCATATCCCCAACTGATACATTTTGTACTATAARATTGACGGAGACGCGCCGTATTTTCGAGAACGGCTTGTATTTGAGAGAGGCGTTTATTTACAATATGTGGCATTATTTAAGTATGGTTATTCGAGGGCGTTGTAAATACATGTAAATATGGTCCGTGTACCAATAGGCAACGTAAATCTCATAAATGTTACTGTTCTAAACTTATAATTTTGAAGAATAGCTTTTAAATATCAAGAAATTAAAACAAAAACAAAACAAAAATAATAATAATAATAAAAATAAAGAAAAATGATGTTGCCGTATCCGAAAACTCACAAATTTGGCCTTGTTCCACGCATCATGGCGTACCTCGAAAAATTTTCGATAAAAAATCTGACGTGTCGAACTCAATACTGGGGTCCTGAACGGAACAGCGTACTTTGAAATGAACTTCAAATGATGCTGCCTGGTTTAAACGTGAATCTCAAATGTAGCATACTCAATGCAAATTACTTCGAGCCATTGTTTCTTCTATTTAGTGACACACGTGTGAGTTTCCACGTTTGACGAACCAAGCTATGGTTACGCCATGAGAATCCTTTTTTTGCCAGTACTGTAAACTTCTCCAGTTAGCTATTAGGGGKACGAAGCCTAGTCCAAGTAGGAAAAACATGATAGTTTCTATCCAAAGTTTGGATTAAATAAGAAGCAACACGTTTTACCAAAACAATATTTCTTAATAAAAATAATGATAATGTTGCGGTTCATGAAACAAGCACAGCTACTATGTAAAACAGAATATGGATGTTTTCTCTACTTGGACTAGTCTTCATCAGCGTTAGTGTACAAGAAACTGTCAGACAGGCATAGCTTAGCAATCATTTGAAGAGAAGTTATGAAATCAAGTAAAAGTATAAAACAGATTAACAAATTAAAACAGTTTAAACTCTTTTGAAGATGCTTTCGAGTAACCTTAYGAATCTATGGCGACGTAAGATAATTATCGCCTGTATGTTTTAAATCTAGAACATTGTAATCGGGATTTTCAATTATCCCCAGCGCAATTTAAGTAATTATAGGCTATGTTTCTGTTTTGGATTACATTTACTGCAAATCGTACACGGCCCAAAATCCATTTGAGCTAAAAGTGTAAAAAAACGGATTAGCAAATTACAGTTTCTTGAGATAATTTCTGTCGCTGTATTTGAAAGTCAAACAAAGATTAGCATTCACAAACAGACTAGATACCTGGTTGAAAAAAGATTGTCAGCTATATCACTCTATCTATAATGGTTATATCATCGAAGCTAAGACCGAAAGGGAGCTTGGGAAGGTAAATGATAAGTACAAGGTTGTGCTTAAAACAGTGTCACAGTTGTTACMAAACACTGCAATCTGCTAAATGACAATCGTCACTTTTTATGGAAAATGAGTTGGTAGCGTAAATGGTTAGTCAAGTATGATTCAAAATCGAGACAGTAACGAGAATCCTTTTCGGCCTTAGCTAGCTTCGTTTTCACTCTTTTTGTAAACCTGACGTTTATTGTGTCAACTCGCTCGCACGTTTCAGGCTTAGCAAGTATACCGATAAGCCATAACAGAATGAATATTTCAATTAATCGTAAAARTCGTATTCCCGCTAGTTGCAGCTTATCAAGGATTATTCTAGTCTCTCTTATCTTCATTGTTTTACAAATAATCATCATCGTATATCAAATCGGAATATGGTCGAAGGCAAAATGCTCTGGTCCTCTTCAATGTTCTAAAGGTAAGATTTAGATATTCATAAATGGTGGCGTTTGTTCGTTGTGGTTAGTTTCCACTGGAAGCGAAGATTGACTAAAGCTGAATAACGTGCCAGGATACATGCAAACGTTGTGCACTACCTAAACTGTAGGAWTTTTTTTTTCGATTACTTTGCCTAATAGTCCTCGATAGTTACCATTTGTAAGTGCTTGCATGTAAGGCACAAATTAAGAACACTAGTCTAGTCCAGTGCCGTAGCTAGTATGAGGCCAACCGAGGCACTCGTTTCGGTAACATTTTGCCGATGCTTTTTATTTTGCATTCAAGAATTAATTAAAAAAGAAAAAAGCTAAATTAAATGAAATTTTGTGACCGATGAATGATGTGTAAGTGAGAGCTTTGTTTTGGCATCCCACCTTTGGATGATGTAGAGTGTTTCTCAATATTACATACTAAATTCCGCTCAAATCTGTCCAATTAAAAGTTACCAAGCCCACAAAACGCTGCAAACCGCATTTTCGAAGTCTGAAACTCATTTCTAGGACACCTCATTTCTAGGACACCTCATTTCTAGGACACCTCATTTCTAGGACACCTCATTTCTAGGATACCATACCAACGAACCCCCTATAGATGCTCACTACTTTCGGCGGTCGCTTGCCGGATTATCGATTAGCCGTTCATTCCACTGAACTACGGCACTATAATCACTGCAATAAATTATCAATTGATGTTTGTGTGTGTTTCTATTTCAATTTCAATAGCGGCGTTTTTTAATAAAATCATGGAAAATAATGGACAARAAATATTCAGAATCAATGAGATTGATACTTCACGGCAAGAGAGCTTCTTCATTGCTGACATAGTCGCTGCTAAAAATGTCAAAAGAGATGACTCTGGGAGATCTATTGAAGACGTCAATGTCAATGTTACTGCTGGGGCTAATGACAGCGTCACTCCTGACGTTACCACCAGATTTACTAATGATGCCAACACTAATAGAACTGATAATATTGCCGTTGACGTCACTGTCAATGTTACTGCTGGGGCTAATGACAGCGTCACTCCTGACGTTGCCACCAGACTTACTAGTGATGCCAACACTAACAGAACTGATAATATT